CTAAAATCTAAATACCTTTAAAAATATACTAGTAAAGTTATATAAGGCTTATACCCTTAGTAAAAAGCTCTTATGCTAATAGCACTACTTTACTTTATAATATATCAATCGCCACATATTCCTTAAAGGCCATAAAACGAAAGCCTTCAATCTGTGCTGGCAAGCTGATTCAACATGCTGCCCTCTGATGCAAGCAGCTCTGCTGGTGACCCCTGCTCAACAAGCCGCCCGTCCTCGAGAACAAGAATATAGTCAAAATTCTCAATACCCGCCAAAGCATGTGTGGTAGCTATTATTGTACTATCGGACAAGATGCTGAAAATTGCTTCCATGGCGGCGTTGTGACTGTCATTATCCATGCTATCAACACAATTAGCAAACTTGCACATGCGCACAATACACTAAATTATAAAGACGTACCCGCTTGTAGGTTCATCCAGCACGTAAATGTTCGATTGACGAAGCAATGTACGGCAGATGCCAATCATCTGCTGCCAACCTTTAGAAAAGTTGCACTCGTTCCATGGCGAATCCAACTTGGCCATAATCTCCGTAGCCATGTGCGGCGGGGCCAGCCGTGTCAGCACTTCTTCGATGCGAGAGACCGGCAGAGTATCGTTCAAGTCCAGATTTTGTCTGACTGTTCCGCCAGCATTAGGGATGAAGTTCTGCGGGTGTCCCACGAATCGCGACCGCATAGCGTCGCCCTCAATGACAGCAAGGTCTAGACCGTCTACTTGCACACATCCACTCGTGCGACGTATGAGCCCAAAGAAGGACTGAAGGAGCGAGGTTTTTCCGCTGCTCATTTAGTCAGGATATGTTCAAAGAAACGAGAAAGCCAAGTCACTTACCTGCCCGTTCTTCCTAGAATCGCGACCTTACTTTTTGGGGGGATATTGACGCTCAAGTGCTTTACAATATGACGCTCTCTATATTTTGCGTTAGTTAGAATAAACGGTTAGGAAGGAACTCGTACCTATATGCGAGGGAGAGGTTGGCTAGTCGAATGCTGCCGCGTTCTGGCCAGTCGCTTGGAGGACGCATGTCATGTGCATGCCCGCGCTCTGGCGTGGCGTGAACGTACCCATAGATACGATCCATTGACGCCATGTTCGACTCGAAAGATGTCCACCAATTCATAAGAAGCATATTATCTTGCCCAAGTCGTATGATATTTACCAACGCCAAACCGCCCCACGCCACACTCTTCGATCCCCCGAGGCCGATCAAGAGGGCCGCGAGCGCGACCGCCAGGCATCCGTTGAGGAGACCGAGCATTAGAGTGACCCATGTTTGCACGGCTTGGAACAAGTATCTAATCTTCAGACCCCTTTGTATACGCTCGGACATGACACGCGCAATGTATTGATCTTGTCTCAGCGCGAGAATAGTCGTTCGGCCCTCCAACATGGCGCTCACCATTTCGAGCATTGGCGCTTGTGCAGCAACCTGAAGTGAACGAAGCTGGAATGACGTACACAAGTAGAATTTCTGGAGGAAGAAGAGGATAGGAAGGAGAATGGGTAGGCTGATGAGGGTGAATGGGGAACCGATGCCGATGACTACGAGGGAGCCAAGCGCCGACGCAATCGCACTGATTAAGTTGAACAAAGATTGCGGCAGGTGCAGGTCGACAGCTTCGATATCATTCGTAAAACTGCATTGTGTAAGCAAAACAGGAAGGGATAGTGGCAATAAGGGTTGAATGCACCGATTCACAGTCTCCAATTTATGCTGCTCAACGTCAAAGACGGGAGTCCTGGTACACTACTGTGAGAAGACAGCGAAAGAAATGGATATGAGGCGATGATACACACTTTGAAAGTACCGCAAGCATGTCCTTATGCAGACTGACGCTACTGTTTGGAATAGCTTGGTTGAAAAAGATCCTGTTCGCAGACAGTTAGTTAAGTGGTGAAAAAGACCATGCAAATGAGAGTACATACCAAACAGATATGAATGCTGCTAGAACCCCAGTAATAGCAAAAGCAGCGTAGATACCCACATAGTGGCCCGTGTCAAGATCGGTGCCTATTTTGGTAGCATGGCTCGCCCATTGCGACAACCAGAATGCTGTTCGAGTCGTTAGTTGACTCAATGTCAACTTTCCCACCAATTCATGATAGGCACGTACCGCTAGCTCTTTCAATTGCGACCCAGATACATAGAAAGATGAAAATGGCTGCAATTACGAAAGGAGAACCCAGAGCTTTGAAGTACATGCGATGTGCCTCCAGGCTCTTCTTGGCTGCTTCATTTGTAGCGCCTGCGTCCACAGCGGGGTCAGTCTCCCTCGTGGCACTGTCCGGACGGGCTGTCGAGTCACTCTGTCCTGTAGTATCTCGAAAATCGGTAGCTTGAGCCGTCCGAGAGCCCTCGGCGGCCTCATGCTCCCTTGTATGGTCTGTAAATGGGCTTTTCTCGATCGCGCGGAGCCGACCACTTTCCATGACATAGAATTCAGTGTTTGCAAAGGACGACATAATTAAAGGAGCTAAAAGGCATTGTCAGTAGGACACTCGATAGACATGATACAATTAGGAAAGTGAGAAAGGCCTCTCCATAATAGAAACGCAAAAGACTTACCGGTAGTACAGCAGAGGATGCCAGCGGCGCGCCTCTCTGAGAGAAAGCCATGAGCACCAAAGAGATTGGTGGCAACGGTATTTCTCGTGGTGGCATCTAAACCGTTGAAGATGTCGTCAAAAAGGAACAAATCGCCGCTTTCATACAAACCACGCGCGAGTGACACACGTCGGCGCTGTCCTCCGCTGAGAGGAGCCCCAATGACACTTAGCTTCGTCTCGTCCCCAGCTTCCAGGGCACTGAAGTCACGGTTCAGACAGCAGCAGGTAATAACCGCGTGATATAAAGCTTCGTCGTAAGCTTTGCCAAAGATAATATTTTCCCTGATCGAGGCTTCGGGGAGGAACCAGAGGCTTTGATCGCAAAGCGACACTTTGTTTGTACCAACATGGAGAGTCCCTGATACGAGTCCAGTTTCTCCTAGTATTGTCTTCAAAAGGCTCGACTTACCAGAGCCAGCGATACCAGCAACGATTGCCAACCTCCCTGCTGCGACACACAAGCTGGCATTCTGAACAGCTGTTGAATCAGCAGCCCAGAGTGACGTCAAGTTCTCCATTCTTAAAGGCAGGTCACCGGCTACTGGTGGAATAATGTTCATTCTCACGCCGAGGCCTTCCTCCAGAACTGGTAAACTTGACGAGGTCGCCGTCTTCTCTGGCGTGATGGCCCGGGCCTGAGCTTGCCCGCGTTCGTTTTCTTGCTCAAAAAAGGCACGCAAGCGCTTCCAACTAACCAGAGACGCAATGAGACTGGGTAGCATTTGGATGATGGATAGTAGAGGCGTAAGCATGATTTGCATCGTCGAGAGCGATGTGAAGAGTACACTGTAATCGAGCTGGCGCTGTGGCAGGAGGGAATAGCCGCCAAAGGCCGCCAGAATCGCAGCACTCGAGAGAAACACAGCTTACTAAATTAGCAAGTATAAGAAAAACCCGGGCAAATATTGAGTCATACCGACAACGATCACAACACAGAGGATACGACGAAACGTTTTTGCGGCCATGATTTCCTGTCGTCTTTCGTTGGCAGCCTGGCGCTCCACAGTATGTTGCATATTTCCGAATCGAATATCTCTGAGTTCGGAAATCAGATGCTTCACTGTTGCTATCCTGCGTTCTGCGGCCTCCAGCAAGTTTCGCTCGCTTCGGGAAAGTGGCTTGCCCAACAAGATGGGAATCAACGTGCAGACTACGGCCGCGAGTAATGGCCCTAAGAAGGCAAGCTGTATCTTTCTAAATAGTATCCATGATCCAATGGCCACAATGATAAAGTTGGGAATAATTATTCCTATCATGTTAATGGCGGCGGATACTGCGGCCGAGTCTTGTGTCACATGGACAATAACTTTGCCCTTGGCCGCGCTCCAACCGCCGGCTGGAGGGGTACGAGCAAGTGAGCGTAGTGCCACTTTGTGCACAATGAAGGACCTCGTACGGATAGACAATTGGATGAATGCCAGGTGGCCGTGAGCTTCCAGGATGTTGATTGCCAGCTGGCTGCGAATGTGAGTTAGCTGGTATTGTGCTGGCATAGAAGATGAACAACTCGACGTACTCGAAAACCATAGCTATAATAAGCCACGTGCCGGTTGGGCTTCTTTTTTCGCTTTGAAGATACGATACAATTCCTTGGATTATGAAAGGCTGCGCCATAGTCGCGCCAGCGCTCAAGATTTGAAGAATTACCCCGAAAGCAAAGTGCATACCAAACTCGGAGAGAAATTCTTTATCAAGACACTTTTTCCAGTCATCATCCATTTGGTGTATAGCTTTAGAACGTATTGTGGAAGACTCTGTATCGCTGGTGATGAGTTGATTCTTGCTTCCATGTGCAAGAAGCGGCCAGAGCCAACCGAAGAACAGCACGCTCAGGGTGCCACTGTTTGGCTCGTCAACATGGGCCGGCCCAGCTTTCCTTCTTATAGTATGAAGACCTAAGCTGGCTTTGACTTCTGAGTTGACCAGCGTGGCAGCACTGAGGACCATGATGGCTGTTTGCAAAGCCGCAAGCACAATGCCTTGAGACTCGCCCGACTGGTTGACAGTGGCCCACAGCGTGTGAATGCGAAAACCATCAGCAATACATGTAGCCAATAGGTATAGGTCGGTGGTGAGTTTCAGATGTCGTCTGGAAAGAAACAAGGCGAGGCAGATGAAGAGGGCCGCGATGAACCGGACAGTGTACGCCGCGGCACTGGAGCCCATGGACCAAACCGAGGCATCGGATAGGCGAAAATACAAACCCAAGGAAGCAGAGTGTAGAATGAGGAGAATCGTAAAGGCCATCTTTAATAGCGTCAGTTATGATGTGATGAAAGGAGGATGCGACCGTATACCTTGCTGGTGGTAACGATCTTTGCATTTGGATTGCGGCAAGCGGCTCGCCGCCACACCCTGTTGCTGGCGCCAACTAGAAGCATGGCCAACAGAGCACAGCTCGCTGGGAGAATGGCGAGTAGTGCGTTCTCGCATTCGATGGAAAAATCCAGTCGGCCACTTTCGGATAGCTCAAAAATTCGAATTGCCATGTCTCCAACGATGCCGCGTTGGCTGAAACCTGACGCAGTTGCGGGTGAGCAAGCCACAGAGCTCAAGGCGAACGGAGGCGCTCTCGAAGTTATCAGACGGGAAACAAATATCGCCAACTGAATCTCACGATGCCAATAGAGAGACAGCGAATAGGAAATTGGAAGTGACTGCAGGCTACAAACACTCTGTGCCGAGGACGCGCAACAGCTTTCTGCTTGGCCGGGTGAGGGGGCGTTGTCACGCCCGCAGGAACTTTTGGAAGGATCTCGCAAATTACAACTGTACACAGCCCGCTACCACATCCCCATCACAGGCTTGTTGGTAGCAGCAGCCATTTCTCCAACAATGACAACCATCAATGATGAGCAGCTTCCCGAGGTTGACGAGACGGCGCCGCTGCTCGGCCATGACACCCCCACGCTACTGCAACAGAGCAGCCGGTCGCCGTTTACGCGCCCCGTATCGGTCGTGACGACTCTCGTCTACGTCGTCTACTCTGTGATGCTCGAATTGTCCCAGTCTCTGCCCGGCAATGCGTTCCATCAGGTCGTCGAGGAGAATCTCTGCCGTGACATGCATGGTCGCACCGATGTAGAATTCTGTGGCGCCGACAATGACGTCCAGTCGGCGCTGGCCGTCCTGTTTGCATGGCACGGCACCGCGCAACTTGTGCCAGGGCTGCTTACCGCCATACCATATGCTCTACTCGCCGATCGTTACGGTCAGAAACCGTTCATCATCTTAAACGCCTTTGGCATAGCTCTTGCCGCAGCGGGCGATCGAATTATCTGTATGTACAACCATCTTTTACCAGTAGCCTTCTTCTGTTGACAGAGTACAGGCTATTGGCCACAAACTTTTTCTGTTTATTCTCTTTGGGCTGCTCCTCTTCTCTACTTTATTGGTGGAGGCCTGCAGGTCTCTAATGCTCTGCTGTTTTCCAACATCACAGGCCTTACTACCGACGCTTCACGGTACATGAATACTTTGGCATTGTTGTTTACTTTGGCTAATTTTTTGAATAGTCCTTCAGTCATCTCTGTCCTGGTAACGCTTGCCTACGGTCCCCGCCTGATCGCCGCGATGGCAACCTCCAAAATGATCCAAACTTACGGCCCTTGGCTGCTTCTGTGGCTTAGCCTTGGGTTTGCCGTTCTGTGTATCTTCTTAGCTCTTTTCTTCCTTGAGCCAACGCAAAAGCCAAAGTCTTCCACAGATGCGATCGCAAGCGAAAGCGACGCCGACCTCAGAAAGGCCGGACTAAAGGCCCGAATTCTCAAGAGCTACCAGGAAACAACAGCTGGGTTTTCCTATCTGTTCAAACAATGTAACTCTGGCGTCCTCAGGCTTGCCATTTGCTTGCTGGTTATGACACTAGCTTGGCAATCAAACGGACTCACCTCACAGATCATGCGAAGAAGGTTTGGATGGACATGGGCAAACGTCGGTGTTTCTGTTTTGCTATACTCCCCTACGATATACTAATGTCTGATTGCCCTAGTAGCTTTCATATCTCACCGCTCTGGAGGTTGCCCTTTCTATCCTATCTTCTATGGTTCTACTGCCAGCTGGATCCTATATCTTGTCTGTAAAGTTCTCAATGGCAACCGAGATACGAGATATGCTATTAGCACGTTTATGCGGGCTCCTGTTTCTTATTGGATCGATAGTAGCTATATCCGCATCTACAAGCACTATAATGCTCTTTGGTTAGTTCATGATTCGTGTTGATATGAACATCAGTTTTTAACTTGATCTAGGCGTCGGCATCTGGACACTTGGTACGATGTATAACCTGATCCTGAGGAATTTGCTTGTATTAGCAGTTGGCGAGAACTCGGTCGTTCTTTTTAGCTGTATTAGCACTATCGAGACCATAGGTAACCTCCTCATAACGCCACTCATTGCACAGGTGTTCAAGTTCGGCTTGCAGTTAGGAGGCGTCTGGGTGACTATGCCAGTGATGATTGGCGGTGGCTTTTCCATCCTCGCGCTTCTGCTACTTGGTCTTAGAAGGAGCTAAGCGGTGTTCTTTGTTATAGGCTATCGAGCGGAGAACCGACGACCAAATTCGAAAGTCCTTCCCTCCAAATTTTTTTTTTTCGTCGCTAACATGATATTACTGGCTCTCATTATCTGCATCCGCTTTTCTCAAAATTACATCATGAACCGTATATTGTTGGTTCTCTAAGCACGCAATGTCAGCAGGCCCTTCTCTTTCGCATAGCATTGTAGAACTTTACCCCATGTAGGAAATTTGGCTAGTTCGTTCCAATTCTTCTCTTCATAATATTTCATAGCCTTCTTGTAGGTGCCTCCAGGTAGATGAATGTTGTGTCGAATGCCATTATTGTCAGTATATATAAAGTTGTTGGGTTCAAACACTGCTATGTAACCCTTAGGAAGTCGCTCGCCGGTGACGGGGTTCGTGTTTGAGGGGGGAGGGTCCGGCGCAGCCTGGTTGGCAGTGTCATCATTCTTATATTGACTAGACATGGTAGTTTCTGAGAGAAGAGATGTTTTCATACTGTTTCTTCTTGAATGATGCTGTATAATGAAGGTGCAAGATTGAGGGGCAACGTATTGGGCTCACCGGAGCTGGAGCAGCAAAAGTCCGGAAGATCATCGAGGTTCTTTTGCCACGCATTCTCAGTGTATGTACCTTTAGGTGCGGAATGGCTTCAGCTAGTGTCACTTTCTTGCTTGGTAATATTTTTTTTCGACCGATGATCAACGAGCCATCGCGGAAGTCGAAAGGCGTTCTCAAAAGCGCAAGCCACGCACGACGCCATTTTCCTTGTGTTGGATGACTTCTGTATCATTTCAGCGTATAATCATCAACTGTGTAAGTTTCCTTGCACGGCAATTAAATGAGCAGACAATAAATCAGATGTCAATTTGTCGATCATCGGATGGCTAAGGAAACGCTACGTCGCCAAGATAATGGCCGCCCTCAATTTTCTACCGGTATTTATTTGTACGCAACCCACACAGACTCTAGTCGCATGCTCCGCTGGAACAGGACCAGTCGCCCTTTCTTTTGGAAGCAATTCTAATTTCTACATGTTAAATCAATGTTACTGTCGGATATGGGGGCAAAATTTTCAGCTGTCGTAAATAAGCGTGAGACGTACGAGGCGTTGGAGCTGATGAGGTGAAAGTCTTCATGGATCCACCGGTATCATAGACATAACTTACGCTGCGGAATACGACGCATATATTGGGCGATGGATGCGTGGCTATTGAAGAAGTGACCGGATATGGCAGCTGTCAATACAAGGAGAGTTGAGGGGGGACAAGGACGCGATTCCACTTATAAAGGGATGGGTGGACTTCGAGACGTTTTGTTTTGCAAACAGCTAAGACGGTATAAGGGACCAACTTCTCAGACTAACAGAAAAGCCATTGTTTCATGATATTATATCGTGTCAACACCACAATGCCTTACTCGTCTAGCTCCTTGCGAGCTGCCGCGTTGCGTTTGTTGATGCCATCAATCTCGTGATTGATGCGGGCAACGAAGGCGTTCCGGTCGTTCTTGTAGTCGTCGAGCTTGTCAAACGGCAGCGAGAGGACCAGGACGGGGACCGTGGCGGAGTCGGGACCGACGTGGGCGAAGCGGTGTCCGGGTGTCTTGGCCGCGGCGCCCTCGTAGACCTCGAGCACGTCGGTGTCGAGATCCACGACGTACGCCCACTCGCAAAACAGGCCGTCGTTGGCGAACTCGGGCTGGCGGTGGATGGGCAGGGGCCGCTCGGCCGAGGCGCCGCGGGCGACGAGCACGAGCACGGCGGCGCTCGTGTCGCGGTGCAGCGAGGGCAGCATGTCGAGCAGCTCGGGCGCCCAGCGCGCGAGGGGGTCGCGGCGCCACTCCTGGTAGTCGGAGAAGCGCAGCTCGCCGTTGTGGTCGAGCCGCGCCTCGACGTGGTTGAGGATCTGCAGCGGCTCGGCGGCGTCGGCCTCGAGCCGCTGCACGGTCGCCTCGTCGGGCTCGTACGTGTGCGGCAGCCCGGCGCGGAGGTCGCGCACGAGGTCGGGCCTGGCGAGCAGACGCACGAGCTGCATGCCGACTACCTCAGGGTACCCGTCCCACTGGCCGTACTGGGCAATGTACCAGATGCCGTTGAGGATGACGACGACGAGGTGCCGGGTGCCCATGATGATGTTGGATGGGGGTTGGTGAGGGTTTCGCTGTTTGGTGGAGTGGGGAGGCCGTGTAAGTCGAGGGAGGGGAGCTTGATGCAGCACGAGGCCAGGAAGAATGAAGGAGTTGGGTTGATGTTGGTGTTCTTATTGTCGTTTTGCGAAGAGAAGATTTGATGTATTTGTAGTGATTTGTTCCGTCGTCTGTTTGCAAACGGGATCCTGCCAGTTGGCAGTTGGCAGTGCGTTGGCAGAAAGCTCCTCACCATGTCCGCATGCCATGCCACGCCGCAGCCAACCAGCGTCGCCCGTGGCGCGCTGCTGCCTGGCAGGGCGCTTATACGATCTCCATTCACACTTCACACAAGAACTCGAACCGTGAACGGGCAAAGGAGCCATGCCAGCAAATCTCGCACGACGCAGTGTAGACAATCATGTCTTTCTTTATACGTTGTCGACGCGCTGGACGCGGCGGGCATCGCCATCTCCACTGCCAATCGCTGCCCAACATCGCCCGCTCCCGCTGCGCCATACCGATCCCCGACCCACGGATGCGGGGATAAACAGCCTACAGCCTACGCCTCACCCGAACCCCCCTGCCAACTTTCTGACAATATTTACAGACAATGTTTTTTGCCGTGCGTTGCGTTCCTCTTTGTGTGCCGCTGGCCATGAAGCTGGGAGTCTTTGCCTGGATGGTGAGGGGACAAGGACAGAAATTGGACTGGCAAGCGAGGCCCAGCACACCAACACAGTAGTGCAACGTTAATCAACGATGGGTTGATGCGAACAACCTCAGGAAGCCTCGACCGCCACGGCTCGTGCAAACGCTCGACAGACTTGACCCCGTCGAACGAGGGTCTTCAGGGTCCAGCATGCGGCGGTGCCCCGGACGAGCTCCTTCAGCCCTTGTTGGTTTGTTGACCGGGGTCGTCAAGCGGTGCTCCTGTATCAATTCCGGCGTGGTATTATCTGCCGACCACAGCGGTCATCCCGCCTTTCGGCGGCCCCAAGCAACTAGCAATGGCGCAGGAACAAGGATGGAAACAGGAGAAGGGAGGGGGGGGGGGGGGGGGGGGTTTGCTCGTGGAGAGTCGCATGAGGTGGTTTTATCCCAACTAGCACGATTTTCTTCCTTTTCAGCGCCCACTAGTAGAAGACGGTTGGGGGAAATAAATAAGGCTGCTCCGCAGGGTTTTCGGTGTCGCCGTGCTAGCATGAAATGCCGACCCAGAAGCTAGCGAGGAGGCCTTGAAACATGAACGACTTCTTGGCTCTGATGAACTCGCACGATGCCGAGACCTCAATGATGCAGCTGCGTGCATATTTTGAAACGAATTTGAAGACTGTCAGACACAAAGAATATGAACGTACAATGTAGATATGACCTCGAAAACTGAAAAGAAAAAAAATCGACCAAAACACACACAATTTATCAACCGCCCAACGCCAGTATTCCTACTGTGTAATTTGTAGTTTTCGCAATCCCAAGACGCCAAATGCCCTTTTCTTCCCTATGCTGTTGTGCCTTACTCATCCAGTAGCAATGCCCACTGGTATCAAGGCCAAACATCGCCGCGCGCATTATGCGAGTGGAAATGGCATTCACACAGACCAAGCTTTGGTTCGAGCGGCATCGCCGCGTCAAATCATGCTGATGGCGGCGTGGCCAAGCTATATAAATAGCTATGCACAAACAGCGGGCACGCAAATGCGCAGGATCGATGCGGCCGCCACATCGTCGCCTTGTCTGTAGCCACAAACTGCAAGATTTCCGATTCCGACAAGTGCCCACCATGAAACGTTTTTTTTTTTGGCGCGGTAAAGTAAAACAAGCTGCCATCCATTCCTCCCCGCGCCGCCCATTCTACTACCTCTTGATGAGGAACCCGCCGCGCCGCGCCTTGACCGGCGCCCGGTTCCTCTTGAGCAGCAGTGCCTTGGTGTTCCGGCCCTGCTTGTTGGCCTTGGGCGGCAGCCGCGCGTCCGTCGTCCGGGAAACCTGGTACACCGTGGACCCGACTGTCGCGTCCTGCGGGCCTTTGTCGAGGCGGGTGAGGAGGCGCTCGACGGTGGCCACCTTGCGGCGCTTGGGCTTGGAGCGGCGGGTAGCACCCTCGCCATCGTCGTCGTCGCTCTCACCGGACGAGTCGGTGAGGTACTCGGCGGGGAGGAGGGCGGGAACGTCGCTTCGGCGGCGGCCTGCGGACGGGCGAGCGGTGGCGAGGCTCTTGGACTCGTCGGCGGCTTCGCTCTCGGCGGCGGCGGGGCTCGACCGGGCATCATCTAGCTTCTTGCGTTCCCCAGCCTGCTTCTTGAGCTGGGCGTCGCGCTCCTGGCGCTTTCGCTTTTGCGCGGCCGCTTGCCTATGTCTGCGGTTAGATCACACGCCACTTGCTCGGGATTGAACTTGCTCAAGATTTGAGGGGTGTATTGGGCATAAACGTACTCTTGTGTAGCTTTTTGCGTAGCTTTGGCGGCAGATTTCATCTCAGACGCAACTTTGGCCGTCGAAACGGTCTCGGGCGCCTCATCTTCGCTCTCCCCCTCCTCCTCCTCCACCGGCTCGATGGGCTTTGTGATGGTCTTCTCGATCACCACAGGTTTGCTCATCTCCTCATCGTCAAAAGTAATGACGGTATTCTTCTTCGCTGCCTCTGCAGGCGAGCTCTCGTTTTCGTCATCCCTGGCCCGGAGCGCGAGCTTCTGGCCGCGCTCGGTCGCAGAGCCCTTGGGCGCGGGTGAAGGCTCTTCTGCAGCGGACGAGTTGGCCTCCATTTCTGCTTGCTTCCTGCGCGTAACGGGCGCCATTGTAATCTTTTATGTAGCCTCCCTGATTTCTGTAAAAACCACCGAGAAAAGTGTACAATAGGCGAATTGGTAAAAAAACGAAGCGCCGGCGCGGCTTGATCACGGGGTGGCGAGTGTCTGAGCTCCAGTGTAGACGTGGCAGGGTAAATTATCTCAGAGCAATCAAGAAGTAAAAAACACAATCAGCAGACAGCGTCGCGATACAGTCTTTAACAGCCTGGCTGTGGTTCAAATTGTTGCGCAAAGTCGGACTGGATGTTGCGTTATCAAAACTTTTAGGTGGGCCCTCAAGGCTTTCGGCCTCTCCAGGCGCCGTGACACCGACCTACCAGAAGCACGCGATGCTGATTGGCCAAATGACGTCTCGGTCCCTCCAGTGCAAGTCGAACCTCTGCTTCCATCCCAATCATCCTGCACAGATGTTCTCATGATATCGGATCGTCAGATTTCTTGTAATTTCAGACATCCTTGGGCAATTCAATTGCGCATTGCGCATAGCACGCTGCTGCTCGGCTCTAGCAGGTACCCGACGGGGCGAACATGGTAGCAGGGCAAAACGCAAAGTTGGCTCTGTCCACACTCAGTCGATACCTCGTCCTGCAACGGCCGAGATTATATCCTCGACTTGCGTCTCAATGCCGATGCAGGCGCTCCGTTTCTTCCAAGCCACCGCGGGCGCATTTGAAGCCGACGAGAGGGGCTCAAGAGGCGGCCAGCAGGAAGCGACGTTTGGCGGACAGTATACTCGATCTCACAAGTCTACCTCCATCCGTCGTCGAATCTCTCATACGCGACAGGAGTGACGACTTCAATCTCCTCTCTCCAGCCGAGTACTATGAAAGCTTGGCCGCCTTCACACTCCATGTCCGCGACCACGACAGCCCCTTTCAGCTGTTCTCGCCTACAAGTATGTCACCAAGCGGTTGGCACGAGGCCGCGAATGCTAACAAATACCTAGAAAAACTACCAGGAGTCGCTGTCCTGCATGACCTTGGCTGCATAGTCATGGAAGTGTCCCGCGGCGGTCGGAGCGGTCTCGCGTCGGCGCTCTGGTTCACCGCCGGAAACTGGGGGTACGCGCCGTCCACGTGTAGCCTGATCGCCGTCATGGCCCGCGCCGGCCGGTACGGTCAGGACGCGGCGATGGCGCCCGCGGAGAAGCGCTTCCGCGCACTCGTCCAGAGCGGTGACCCCGTCGCCGTGGCCATTGAGGGACAGATCCTCTACCAGCAGGGCAAGTACGCCGAGGCTGAGGCGGCGCTCCGCCAGGTTCTGCGAACGCACGCGGGCACTGGCGGCAGTGCCGCCTTCGCCCACTGGGAGCCCAACGCGCGGCTGGCGCTGGGCATGACGCTGGGCCGGCGCGGCCGCACAGACGAGGCCGTGGCCATGCTCCGCCAGCTGTCCGACGACGGCTACATCGAGGCCGAGCCGGTGCTCGGCCGACTGCTGCGCGGCAGCGACCCGGAGGCAGCCCTGCAGCACCTCTTCAAGGCGGGTTGCACGGGCGCGCTCGAGTGCTTTGAGGAGATGGCCGCCATAGAGCTGGATAGGGCAGCCAAGACAGACAACGCGAATGACGCTGCTGATCATCGACTTTGGGCGGAGGAGCTCGCACGTCTCGCGGATAACAGGGCGGAATTCTAGCAAGCTCCACAGGGCCATTCTTGTACAACATCTATTAATGTATATAGTAGGACACGAAAATATGTGATCCTCAACTTGACCAAAAGTGGACATGAACTCTACAGCATGGGACTTTTACGTTTTCTGCTTCTTCGCTGGCATATGCTGCAACTTGGTTGATCTCTTCTGTCCAGTGTTTGCATCGTCCGACGCATCGCCTTCGTCCGCGTCTTCGCCATTGTCGCTTTCAAACTCAAGATCCCGGATGCTAGCGTGTTCGCCGTGCGGAGGGAACAAGTTCGCCCAGCTGCCATCCGCCACGCGCTCGTCGTTGCCGAGGAGGTTCGCCTCGTACGCCGTCTTCATAGCCGCGAGGCACACCTCTCGCCGCTTCGAAAAGTCAAACATTGGCTTGGGGTACGTCTTGTCCTTGTCGCCCGAGAGCCCGTCGCCCGTGACGCGCACGCCAGCCTGCTTCTGGTCCAGCAGCGGGGCCTTCCAGGGCTCGTAGATGTACTTGGCCGAGAGGTCCTTGAGCTCCGGCACCCAGCGCCGGACAAAGTCGCCGTTCTTGTCCCACTTTTGCGGAAACGAGACGGGGCTGTACATGCGAAAGTACTGCGAGAAGAAGGCGGTGCACGAGAGCCACTGCCAGTTGCCGGCGTTGCAGGCGGGCTCGTGGTCCAGCAGGTACTCCTCAAAGACCTCGGCGCCGCGCTCCCAGTCGACGTAGCAACCGCCGCGAGTGAGGAAGCACGCAACCGAGTGCCGGCCGAGGTGGTGAATCCAGCCGTCGTGCCGCAGCTGGCGCATCAGCGCGTCGATCCACGGGAACCCGGTCATGCCGACCTTCCAGCGCTGGAACCACTGCTCCGCCTCGGGCGAGTCGACGCGGTATTCGCCAGTGCTAAGGCCCGTCTCCTCGTCCACCTTGGAGGGGAGGTGCCACGGGATGAATCGGCAATGATCGTTGCCGAGGGTCTGCGTAAACTTGGGCCCTATGGCTGCCTGTGCCGCAAAGTACATGTCGCGAAAGAACAACTGCCCGGTGAGGCTGGCCGGCGGCATAGACGCACCTTTGCCGTACTTGTCCACGATGTCCTGCACGCGCCAGTAAAATTCTCGGACGGAGAGGGCTCCGAAATGAAGAAACGGCGACAATAGAGTCGTTGACTGCGGCTCAAACTGCGCGGGACTCGTCTTTGGCTTCTCAAACGTGGCCGTATACTTTTTGTCCTTGGCAATGTCGTCTAGCAGCTTGAGTGCGCGTGTTTCTCCGCCCTTGTGCGGTGTGGTAGCTGATGGAAAGCCCAGCTCCTCCATGGTTTCAATGCTAAAGTCGCCTTTTGGTCCAGCTATGCTCCGATATTCCGTGTCTTTTTTTGTGCGGCGCTCCGAGTTGGCATCTGGCTTGCTAGTTGGTTGCTCATGCTCAAAATCGAGCGGCATCTCACCTGGGTCCGGCAGGCTCGACGGTGCAGGAATAGGCCGATCTATAGCTCCTAGCTTCTTGCCCGCACTCTGCAGTTGCGTAGTAGACATTGTGGGTTTGCCATTGTTTTTGGCAACGATTGCGTCGCTGTCCCATAGCGTTCGGCCGGAGCAAGTAATGACCTTGACGCCAGCATCTTTGGCTGCAGCCTTGACAATTGCATCTCTCTCAAGGGGGTAAGCATCGGTATCCTTCTCGAAAACTAGATGAGTGACACCCCATGCTTTGAAGATTTTGGGGAAGACTGTCTGCGGAGCTTCACGCAGCAAGAAGAGCTTGGATTTGGAGTTGAGCTTGGTGATGGAGGTTGATAAATCATTCTGGCAGTCGAGGCTAGTAAGAATGTTAACGCAAATTCGAACCAGGTATGAAAGCGTCTGTTGCATCGTCTACTGACAGAAATTGCCATCTATTCAGTCCCCCTCGTGCGCGATACACGTAGTGAGGATCCCAGGTGAAGATCGGCCATAGTACTTCAGGGTCGAGGTCGAGAGCAGCCTTGAGTGCAGGAGAATCGTGCAATCGCAAATCGGTACGAAACCAATAGATGACTCTGGATTTTGCCATTGCTTTTGCTTCTGCTAGAAATAGGGGTTGTACGATGTTGGTGGTAGCTGATGAGAGAGTTGGGCAACTACAAAGTGTATATTGTCTCAGTAGCCGTTTTCGAGGATCCATGATGTCAGCGCGGGAACTCAGTTTTGGCGGATAGGGCACAGTTGTCCGATACAGACTTGTCACGATTAGAACTAGATCTGTCTCCGATCTTTTATAATTAGTGCCAAATCGTTGCAAGGTATCCATGTAAACGAGCAGCTGGTTCATTGTCTGGCCTGGCTTCCGCCTTGGCATACTGCGACCTGATAATAGCAAAGGAGGAGAACCCCTATAAACATCGCACATGTACCAGGCCTTGCATACGATGCGCCTCGTAACTAGAATATACATTCATCCCGGATTATTTCCTTTTTAGATTGACCTTGAATGATGCCGTCGTATGCTGGTGGGTGGTGTGGCATTAGACTGGTCGCAAATCAGCCTTGGTAATAGCCAGCTGTCAGGGGCAGAGCCGCGATAGAAAGAGCATGTAAAAAAACCCCCAGCTCAATCAGTTGACTGAACTGTCTGGTTGGTATGATTGTTGAACTGCTTACCTACACTATGGCACTGGAAAAAGCATGTTTGCATGACTGGGAGAAAAGCGATTGGGCGGAATAAAATTACAACGACGCCAGCCTGCCGCTATTACTAGTTGAAGCTGGGTCGCCTGTATGTCTATGATAATGATTATGGTGGATGAAATTGCAGCAAGACACGATCGAGGTTGCTTGTGCGTAACTACCTACCTAGGTACCTAGATGAGGCTGCTGTTTGTATTTTTGAAGCTGCCAGCTGTCTGGTGCCAGCTGCCAGCTGCCCACTATTAAACAAACGGCTGGATTTGGCGGCTGGAGCTGGCAGCTCGTTTTTGCCCCGCGACCCCACCAGCTGGCAGCGACTTTTTATTAGTGGATTTGTCCACAACGGCAGCAACAAGGAGAACTCGATGATTTGCATTATTCTGGCCAAAGGCTGCCAGCTGCATCCGTCAGGAACCCACGACTGCACGGCTCTTCCTGGTTGTTGTTTTTACGCCATTGTTATCATCCTATGTACACGTCACTTGTTACCGAGACCGTTGTTGGATACACATTTCCGCCCACAAGCAAACATTACGTTCCTTTGGTCGTCGCGACGCGTCCAGGTCGCGTTTAGCAAATAAACTTTTACCCTCGCGCCAGACACTGAACCGAGACGGTGGGTGGCCAGTGGCCGGCCAAGGGAACCAAGGGAAATTGCTCGCCAATCCGACCTTGCGGGGCAGCCTCAGAATAACCACTCGTCAGCTCCTGTCCCGCATCAAAAAGACCATCGGCCTACAATCCAATTGAATCGGAACTGAGACCGGGCAACATCAACAACCTGCTACGACAAATGTTCCTTCGACCGGCTGATGCCCGCCGTACAATTGGCCGGTTGACATGCAGCTCGTCGACGATGAGCCTCGATAAGAAAATTGAATTGATGCCGACTCACTTCTGATACACTTCAACGCTCTGAAGCTCCTTCAACCCGCAACCGATTATAGCGTCGGTCCACCGTTGTATCGAAGAGCCAAAGAGCCTCTCTCGCCATCCAATCGGCTCCAGGTACAGCACAGTATCACCCAGACTTAGCCGGAAGTGACGTCTCTGGTGTGCTCGGTCGCGAATCTCGCGATGCACTGGAATGATGCATGCATGTCTCTGCTGCGCGACTGGCAAACAGAGCTGATCCGGGGATTCCTGGGCTGTCTGGAGTTCCCCCTCCCCTCCACAATCAGCGGCAGTCCGAATTGCGACAAGACCAGCACGACCAGCCCTGCTCGCCAAACCCCAAGAAACCAAGCAACACCCACCTTAACTATTACTTAATAACAGTGATATTCATTGCATTCAATGGGGCTGCTGGAGCTGGTGCCAATATGTAATTACGTGCAGCTGGCATTGGCCTAGCTCGTCCCTCGCATAAGCAACCATGGTGGAGCGGACGAAGCAGAGCAAACCACACCACACCACACTACTATTCTTGGATTCAGCTCAGCGCACAGCCTTCGGACTGCCTTTCTTTTTGTCGACTTGTGCGGGCTCATCTCAAGTTGGACTCTCTTTTTGCTAATTATCGTGTGCCATACCGCCTGTCTAGTGCGACGCGTTCTGCTGCCCTCCTTGATTTAGACTTAAGGTGTCTTCCCCTCCATGCCCCGCGATGCGCCCAGTTACAACTCTTCTCAACTTTTCCTACCTACCTACTTTTCTAGCATCATGCGCTTCCCGTCGTGATTGTCCGACCCCGTCATTCGTCTTCGCCGTCCAAACTCCGTATACACTGCCTCCCCTTTGTTTGTAACACTTTGCTCCGCCATCGACACTCTGGCAAAGTCCATTCCACAGAATCATTCACACGGCGCCGACCCAAGCCTCGTCCGACAACCACTCAGCATTCCAACAATAGAGGCCACCAATTTGTTTATTCCGAACCAGCTAGAGACTGCCGAGTTGTATGGACTTTCTCCGAACGTTGCTGTTGAAACAGAATCACACCACCCCCGCAGTTGTTGTGCGTGTCCGAGTCTCAGAGTAGTCGCTACGACCAAGATCAACATCCGCGTCCACCCACTCTGTTCTATTCTCGTTCGGTACTTACATACGTCTGCCCTCCAAACACCATCCGATCAAATCTCCGATTCCCCTTTGCATCTGCTTTATAAAGGACTTACACTTTGACCTCTTCGTTTGCGCAGCAATCTGCACGTACCCGCGGGTTCGAGTCACGCCCGCTGCACTTACACATTATTACCTGCATCCCCGGTTCCACTCTGTCGTACCAGGAGAAACAACAAACATTCGACCACGACATTAAGGGACGTCGCGGCTGTCGCAGAGTTTCCTCCCATCCGACGATCAAAAACATTCGGGCTTCCTCGGCCCTTCTCAGAAAGAATTCTATATCTCACGGCGCTTCTCTGCCGTGAGGAGCTCTCTTGAGCCATGGCGACTTCGCAACCTGGTGCCAACGTCTCATGCTCTCCTTCGACACAGCCTTCGCTTACAATGGGTCGAATATCGCTTGCCGTTCTCGCTGGAGTGGCCATCTGCACCACGGCTGGCGCGACAGCATGCTTTGCCATGCTCTCTTGGAATATGTCGACTCTCCCCGCCATCAGGGCCTCAGCGATTGCCGCCGCGGCTCTCCAAGGCACCCTACTAATAGTACTAGCTTTGTTCATTTCAGCACGTATGCTGGTGAAAATGCGTCAAATTTCACAGCCCTACACGGGTATAGCTTTGTGTTTGGGAGTTTTGGCGAGCCTCGTCTCGGTCGCAACGGCCGCTCTTTCCCTGATCTGGATGGAGACGTCCAACAGCTACGATGACCAAGTTCGTTCCAACCGGTCGTCAAAGGTCATTATTGTTTCAGTGATGCTGGCCCTCGCTGTTACCAGCCAGATTGCATTCATGATTATCCACTTTGCGCAATCACATCAGAAGCAGCCTGGTGGGCGTCCCCTGTTCGCTCCAAGGGAAGCTTCGCCGTGGTCACCAGCCACCTATTTCAAGTCGATTCGCTACAGCCAGACGTCACCACGGAAGAGTGACTCGGAGGAGTCGGCGTCTTTTGCCTTGAAAGACAGCCCGGCCTCGCTGCGTAACAAACTTGTGCAGACTAGCCCTCTCAAGATCGCATTTCCGCAAGCCGTTCGTCACACCTCGTCGCGAACAAGGCTGCTGCACGCCAAAGACAGCGCGCAAAGCTTGGCCATTGATACAAGCGTGCATCCAAATGCTACTCAGGAAAGCTTCGATACTTGGGACACATCATCAGTGGATGCGCAAAATCGCCAGGCTGTAATGGAAGTGTGCACATCGCCCATCATCCCTTATGCTCTGGAAACTATTCCCGGTAGTCCCCGAGGTAGCATCAGTCCCGAAAACATGCTGTACTTTGAACCACCACGACCGATTCTGAAGCGCAGCCGCAGTCACAGTCCGGCGACTGGGCGTCCAGCACCGCGTGGAAGAGCCCCAGTCAACCCCGACGAACTACACATTCATCCGCTGTTCCGATCAGACTCTCCCAGTACGCCGCCCATCCTGACGCCAGGAACGAGAGTTGTAGCCGCGCCCGATGCTGGCCAAATCCTTTTTCATCATGCTCCGATGAGGTCACTCCCTCGCGTCCGTAGCGGGAGCCTGCCAACCATGTCGCGCAGCTCGTTTGTTCAACACATGGACCCCGCTATGACAGGGGAACAGTTGCTCAATAGAGAGATTGCGCGGGAGCAGGAAAGGAAAATGACGCCCCCCGTACCTGAATGGGTATTGAACAGCAAGGTACCCCCGATTCCGCAGAAATCGGCCAGCCGCAGCACTTTGCGAGGGTCTGCACACTGAGCCACGATATATGGCTTCTGAGGGTTGTCCTTTTGCTCTTTCTTCTTCCTACTCGGAGTCTAATTCTCTATTGTCTATATTATTATTATTATTCGGATGAGCAGGTCGAATCTGTATTGTACTTTTTATGACTGTGGTTTGGAACTTTTTCAGAGCAGACACGCACACACGATTTTACAAGCAAGGCGCTGGGGCTTACTTTATTATAGGTTTTTGGAGTACTGGGGTTTGTCATGTTCTGAGCGATTTATATATATGAATAATTGCTATTTTTAATGAGCACTTTTGTACAAAATACATGATGTCGAAATGAAAGATGACACCATAACTAGGGATACTCTTGTATTCCGAAGAGATGGTACGGGAAGATGGTACCACCATGCGTCAATAGCTTACGCCAATACCTCATTGTGCATCTCGTTGTAGCCGTATCTTGTACACGGTATCTGTAGTCTCTGTACAAATCAGCCACCTACGGAGTAGAGACAGTTACAATTGTGTGCAGCGCTGGTGTTCAACGGGGCTCCACCAGAGCTCATCAGCTTGTAGTTGCGGCTTCGTCATTGAGCGGGTGCCTGGACAGGACCAGCCCACAGGTACCTAGCTATTCGTAATCTGTACTCCATACAGTGGACGGCGATATGGCGGCGCGGCGAATCGCATCCTTGGTATAAAAAGGATCGAGACTGTGGCTCAGGTCTCGTGTACATTGCAACGCCCTCCACACAGGTTATGGTGGCAATGCAGGAGCAATGGATGGCCATGGTGTGGTGATTGGTGATTTGTTGGTGAGACTGATTACAAGTAACTCGGTACCTCCAGCGGTCTCCACCGCACACAGGCGCCAACGGCATCCAGCCTGCCTCCACATCAAAAACGCAGCCCAGGCCAAAGCTGGACCACGTCAAGCGCCAGCCCGCCAGTAACTTGTCTTTTGCATACACCAGAGCCGACAGTCAACAGTCTGTTCCTCGCCAACCCTCGTCTTCTTTTCCTCCCCGGCATCTCCACCCGCCGTTCTATTCCTCGTATACTGCGTCCATTTATTCCCACTGCCGCAGCCATCCAGCTGCAACCACCATACCCGCCATGAAGGTTACCTTCCGAGTATGTTTTCGCCACCTGAGGCTGGGCCGGCCGCTGAGAGGCATTCCGTGTCGTGGCCACCTGGCCGCCGACGCATACTGAAACCACGCGAACCCAGAGAAGCTGACCACTGGCTCGCGCAGGATCTCAAGCAGCAAAAGTTCACCCTCGAAGTCGAACCCGCCGACCTGGTAAGCCGCCGCCCGCCATTTCCCGAGGCAGCTCCGGCTTTGCTTGTCCTCTCGCTGCCCGACTGCCCGCCAACTCTGATCCTACGATGCTAAAACAGCTTTACTGCAGATCTCCGCCGTCAAAGAAAAGATTTCTGCCGAAAAGGGATGGGATCCCAAGCACCAAAAGCTCATCTACTCGGGTGCGAACCATCGAACCCCGCGTCATCTGCCCCGCCATTCCTAACCACAAAACTTTAGGCAAGATTCTCAAGGATGAGGAGACGGTTGCCTCATACAACATTGAAGAGAAAGGCTTCGTTGTCTGCATGGTGAACAAGGTGAGACTTCCTCCCGCCATTTCTGTTTCATTGCGCAACTTCTAATTCACCCTCGTCCAGCCCAAGGAAAAGCCGGCCGCCGCTGCTCCCTCGGCCGTTGCCCCCCCTGCCACACCAGCCCAACCTGTCACGAGCACGCCCGCCGTTCCAGCAGCTCCCAATCAGTCGTCCGCTAACCAAAGTACCGCACCTCCTGTCACACCGTCCCCCAACCGCAGCGCCGATGCCGCGGCTCCTACCGGCGCCGACGCAGCCGGCCTCACCATGGGCGCCGAGCGCGCCGCCGCCATCACGAGCATGGAGGCCATGGGCTTTGAGAGAAGCCAGATTGAGGCTGCCATGCGTGCTGCCTTTAACAACCCCGACAGAGCCGTTGAGTACCTCTTGACTGTAAATGCACTCTACACCTGCGGTGACCTACCCTAGATGTTGTGGCGCGACTAACGTGTAAGCTAGGGCATCCCCGACAACATCCAGCAGGAGCAGCAGGCTCGCCAAGCTGCTGCCGCTGCCTCGGCTGCCGCCCCGGCCGCCCCGGCCGCACCTCAGACGACACAGACCGGCGGCGACGAGGAGGGTGGCATCAACCTATTTGATCTCGCCGCCCAGCATGGTGGCACTGGTGGATCTCGCGGCAGCAGTGGCGATGCTGGTGGTGCCTCCGCCGACCTTGGAAATCTGGATTTCCTGCGCACGAACCCCCAGTTCCAACAGCTCCGCCAAGTTGTACAACAGCAGCCCCAGATGCTGGAGCCCATCTTGCAACAGCTCGGTGCTGGCAACCCTCAGCTTGCCCAACTCATCGCCTCCAACCCTGATGCTTTCCTTCACCTCCTGGGCGAGGATGCTGAGGACGACGTCCCTCTGCCTCCCGGCGCCCAGGCCATCTCTGTCACCGAGGAGGAGCGCGACGCCATTGAACGTGTATGTTTCCGACCCCACGCCGCATTTTGTTGGTTTATGGTTATCTCTACATAAGATACTAATGATTACTGTAGCTGTGCCGCCTCGGATTCGACAGAGACCAGGCTATTCAGGCCTACTTTGCCTGCGACAAGAACGAGGAGCTCGCTGCCAACTTTTTATTCGACCAACCCGAAGACGAGCAGCCGCCCGCGAGCCAATAAAGGAGAGGCGTAGTGTCGTTTTGAGTTTTACGATAATGAGAAACAAAATCTATTTACCTCAGAAAACAAGAAGACGATCAATTGCTAGTATTAGAATTTCGCCAATCTGGCTCTTGAATGGCCATGGGACCGGAACAGACTTGGAGACGAGGAGACGTACTTAAATTGACTGGATCTCGATCCTGTGACATGATTTTTGTCATGGTTGTAAGCGTTGGAGCTGTGATACATGATAATTTCTTTGTTTCGGAGCAAAATATCTAAGCGCTAGATTGTTACCTAACAGGCCTCTGAAAGGAGAAGAAAAACGAAGAAAAAAAACCCAATAAAAGCTACTAGGGTATCAATTGCAATACGTGCAATGTATCAAAAGGCTAGCAACAGCAATGACGTAAAAACATATCTGTGCCTGCAAACTAAAGAGGAAGGGGGGGGAAACGATCAATCCACTTGCGCCGAATCCAATGCAATTCATACTCATCCTATCCAGATGCCGCCCAACGTAGGTAGTTCAAAACTCAAAACTCAAAGACACCAAAACACCAGACCCAGCCAAACCTCGAAGCATCACACGCCGAGTCTTACACATCCTTGACGATGGGCTCGCCATTGAGGCCGTACTCGACCGTCTGTTTCCCCTTCTTCTTGCCCTTCTTTTTGACGGCCTGCTCGTCGTCGGCGAACAGGGCCTCGCGCTTCTTGCGCATGACCTCGGCCTGCTCATCGGCGATGCGTTGGCGCTCGGCCTCGTAGCCCTCTTCAATCTGGCGCTGCTCGGCCATGATGGACTCGACCGACTCGAACTGGGCGCCGGTGAGCGTCTTGTACTCGTCGAGGTCGAGCTTGGTCGTCTTCTCGCCGACGAGGGCGGCGTCGACGCGCGCGGCGTTGCAGCGCTCCTCGCGGTTGAACTTGAGCTTGACGTGGCGCCGCTGCTTGCCGGGGAACATGTGCGAGATCATCTGGAACTCGGTGCCGAACATGGCGAGGCCGCGGTAGAAGAGCTCCGTCTCCTCGTCGCTCCAGATGTTGGGCCCGCGCAGCTTCGACGTCGTCATGAAGGAGCTGCTCGTGATGAGCCGCGTGAAGTCGTTTTCCTCAATCGTCTCCATGTCCTCGCCGGCGTGCGCCGCCGCCGCGCGCGCGTGCCGGTCCATCATGAGCGAGCTCTGGTCGACGACGATTTGCCCGTCGACGATGCGGAACTGCGGGCCGGCCGGCGCCGGGGCCCCGCCGCTCGGTGGCGCGGCCGTGTCGCCCGGTGTGGTGGAGGCGGTGCCTGGCGTGCCGTCCTTGACGCCGTTGGTAGCAGGCTCGGCGAGGGGCGTGTCCAAACGTGAGCCGGTGCCTTGCGGGGTCAGGCCTTCCTTATTCAGTTTGGCTTGCAGGCGGGCGTTGCGCTCACGCTCGCGCAGCTCGTCGTGGCGGCTAAACTTCTTGCCAATGTGTAGGTCGCGCGTGAGGTCCGACATCTTGAGGGCCTGCAGGTCCACCATTTTGTTCTCGGAGTCGTCGGGCGTGGCGGAACGCGCGCGGCGTGACCGAGCCGGCGGCGCCGTTTCGCCCGCCGCCGCGGTCGTCGTCGTCGTCGTCGCGGCCGCCGTGCTTCGCTTTCGGGGCTTCTTCGCAGCGGCAGCGGCGGCAGGTGATGCCTCGCCATCGACGGCTGCGCTCTTTTTCGTTCGCTTTCGAGGGCGCGAGGTGACTGCCTCGCCACCCTCGGCGGCTGCGTCGGGAGCGGCGGCTGCACGGCGCCTTGCCCGGGTGGCCTTGGGTGCGGCGGCCGGCGGGGCCGCGGCTTCTGACGCCTCAGGCTGGGGTTCCGAGCTGGAGGCGGACACTTGTTGTTCTGTTGATGGCGGTGTATTTAGCTGCTGTACCTCGGCCGCGGGCCTCGCTTGGGCCGCTTGCGAGGCTCGCCTTTGTCTGGTTTGACGCCGCGTGGCCGGCGCACTGTCGACTTCTGGCGTGGCCTGCATGGGAGCCTCCGCGGGAGTGTCCTCCACAATGGCCTCAACATTGCTTCTAGCAGTCTCGGCCAATGCTTTGCGCGTGGCTGTGTCTTGTATAGCTTTGGATGTCGACGCCGCGCTTGACCGGCGCCGCCGTCTTGGTTCTGAGCCCTCTGGCGCGGCAGGTTCGTCGGGAGGTTGGGGTTCGGGGACGGAGTCTGACAGTCGCTGGACCTCGGAAGCCTCGACGGGCAATTCTTCGACAACGTCGTCGATGGCTGCTGGCGGCTCGACAGGTTTCGCGACCGGAGCAGGTGCTGGCGCAGGCACGGCTGGGCGCGGCCGCGCCGACGGAATCTTGGGCTTGAAGGCGGGCGCGCCCTTTTTTTTGAACATGGAACTCATCGTGGGTGGTTATCGGACAATTTGTCGTCGGGATTCTGGTCTTGCGAGATGCAGCCCCGCGTTACATGTCGAGCGGACTCGGGCTGGCTCAATTTGATTCACGGTCTGTTGAATTCAAAAGTCGTCTAGATACTGTAAATTCCTGGGCGGGCACTGCGATACGAGGGTTTAAACGGGGTTTAGCCGGTGCAGGGAGGCGATAATGCAACGCCTCAGTGGTTAGTGGGCTGCCAGTGGGTCGGCCGTGCAACCTTTGATTTGCCCGCCAACTTGGAAATTTCAAACTCCTGGCTGTCATCAACTCGTCTCTGCACCATCCACGCCCTTCTCGATATCGTGGATGATCGCCTGCACGGCCAGTTAACGGACGAGACTTGGTTGCGTATCGCATCTTTATCCCAAGTGCTCGCTCTGCGGCTTCCTCAGCGCGACCAGTAAGGTCCCCCTTATTGGCGTCCTTCTGATGCCTGCGGTGACCACGCCCTCGACATCGCCTCTTTCCTCCACAATCTCCAAGATGGAGGACAGGAAGAGGCCTGCCGTTGGCAGCGCCGACGATCTCGCACCGCCGAGCAAGAGGGTCGCTGTCAATGGATCCAAGCCCAAGGACGACGCCCCTGAGATGAAGGAGGAGAGCTGGATTGAAGTAAGTGTCGCGCGACACCTTTTAGGGGTCCCAAACCCATTGTTTTGCGCCGTCTCTGGTCCGAAAAAGCCTGTACAAGGAAAAGCGACACCGCAATCATTGTCTTTCTATCTTTTCTGCCCGTGTTGGGTCAGTCATGCGATGAGAGTGGCAGCATGCGTGCGCGGGCGCGCCCGTCTCGCGCCCCATCCATCCCATCCCTGCTTCACCAGCGCGCAACGTCTGATTGCACCAGTACCATCGGGACCAATGCAGAGACATCATCAAACGATTTTGAAATGCTAATTCGTGCTTGTTTCAGGTATACACAAAGGGTGCCATTTACCGCCAAATGCAAGAATATAGTCGCAGAGCCGCAACTGCAGAATCGCGATTGGAAGAAGTACACAAACGAGCCGTGCACCATGACGACCATATAAGAATAATTGATGCCTGGTGGCAGCAAGTAAGTGATGACGGGCACGATCTTGCCGGCAAGACTCTAACAAACGCGCCAGGTTCTTGACGAAATTGAGCTGCTAGCCGACGCTTCGATCCCGACAAAGAAACTGGACGGTAAGCTAGCCGTCCTTGTCAATGTATTGGTCGAGTCACTAATGGTGTTCACAGGCCCGCCGTTTCTAAGTAGTGTTTCTTTCAAGGACTTACAACATTTCCAAAGCCATTTACAAGAGAAGGGAAAAGCCATCAAAACCAAGACAGAAAATCTCCTTCAGCGGGTTGCCGCACTCCGAGGGGAAGTTAAGCCAGAGATAACAGCTTTGGAAGGGAAAATAACGGGGCTTCACGCCGCGCAAAAGGAATACCTTCTCAAGTTGGACCGACTCAATAGCGAAAAGGATACCCTTTCAGAGCAGCTAAACACTGCTACATTACGATATTTCAAGGCCGAGAAGAAACTGGACCGCGCCAAGAGCTCACAGGTGCAAAAGTTGGAACAACAGGCATTCGCGAATGCCACACGACCACCATCGGCCACCAAAGAGGGTTCAGAAGAGCCAGCACCTTCAAATGGAGCTGGCGCAGAGCTACTTCTAAAATATGAGGAAACGGCTGCTGCGGCTTCCAAGCAGAAGGAGCAATTGGACAACTTGTTAGGAGAGATACGAACGTTACGAGACGAGAACTCGACAATGAAGGCTAAACGCGAATCCTGCTCAGACGAGGACTTTATCAGGACGGACGTTTTCAAGCAGTTCAAAGGTCAAAACGAGGAGCTGATCAAACGCCTCAACAACCTAGAGGCCACAAACAAGCAGCTTCGAGAAGAGGCCGAAAAGCTGCAGTCTGAGCGAACGACATTTCGGACACAGCTTGAAGCCGAGGCTAGCCAAGTCGCTTCAGAACTGGAAGCGGACATTGCGGCCAGAGATCAAGACCTTGCGCGTGTTCGATCTACGCGAGATGAAATTTTAGCCGAGAATACGCAACGGAAAGCCAGTATGGAGCAAGAGAGGCTGTCTCTGGAGCACATGAAGGATCTTGTGTCTGCCAAGGAGGACCGAATTTCTGCTCTGGAGTCGGAGATTGCGAGATTAAAACCATCTGCTGACGAGAAAACTACGACGGACCTTTCTACATTGACTGAGGATGAACTTCGCCAAAAGTTTAAGAAATTGGAGAAGGATTTCCAGGCCATCAATCATGAATTGCCGTCGATAGAAAAGGCCTTCAAGAAGATGAGGGATTTGGGACAACAGAGGGTCATGGATTTTGCTGGCCTGGAGGAGAAAATACAGCTACTGATGGCTGAAAAGAACAAGGCCGATCAAAAGTATTTTGCGGCACGCAAAGATGCTGATACGCGAAATAACGAGATCCGATCCTTGCGCCATCAAAACAGCAAAAGCGCCGAGATTATTGCCCAATTAAAGGATCTAGAGACGCAAAATCGCACATTGCTTGGCAATTTGGAAAAGCAAATGGGTGACCTCAGACTAACAAACGCCACTCTAGCTCTGGACAACAAGAAGATGGAGTCTGCCACCCAGGATGGAACGCGCCGAGTCGAATCCTTGACCAAGCAAATTGCCGACCTCTCAAACTTGACCAAGTCCAGAGACTCGGCGTTGGCTGTTATAAAGGAGAGGAATATTCTGCAAGAGGCCGAAGTAGAGAAGCTCAAGGTGCGAATCGAGCACGCGCAAAAGGACCGGGACAACTGGCGAAGCAAGGCCTTGAGCAACTCGTCGGAAGAGGAGGAGATGTTGCGAACATATGCTCTGTGCACCATCTGCCGAAACAACTTTAAGAACACAGCACTCAAGACGTGCGGCCACCTCTTTTGCAGCAAGTGTGTGGAAGATCGCATTAGCAACCGCATGCGCAAGTGTCCTACCTGCTCGCGCGCGTTTGACAAAATGGACGTCATGCCCGTACACCACTAATGTTGGGGCCGTTTGTCGATTGTGGCGGAGAAGACCTCGAAAGGGAACAAGGCCAGCTTGGCGATGGGGAAACTTGGCTGTGATGGAGAAGGGCACGAGAAGGACATGAGAAGAAGGCGTTGCGTAACGGCTGTTCACGAGCTATTTCATACCGACCCCCACTGCAAAACGGCGTTTTACGGCAAAATTCAAAGAATGGAGTTATTTTTTTTTTGCAATTTATTGCTCTGTACCATTTTGGACTTTGGGTTTCCCACTCCTGTTTTTCCCTGGGAAGGAAAACGAGGTGTATACTATTTGCGCACGTGTTTGCTGTACAGCTTTCAAGGCGAGAGGGGAGCAAGGATGATGAATTTGTTTATTTTTTTTTCTGGCTGGTGTACGAGGTGTATAAAGGCAACGATGGGCATCTTTTTTCTACGGCATCGGGGATGCGCGGCGCTTCAATCACCAGACAAACAGAGATGTTTGGCATGGTTTGGATAAAGAAATAAATATTAATCATTCACCATCACTACTGCCTGTGATATTGATGATTGTCTATTGTACAAAGGAACAGCTGTCGCGGTGTTTTCTCTGCCCTTGCATTTCCTATATGCTACCAACGTAAGCTACCTTACAGATGGAATGAAGGCGTCACAAGTCATCATCTGCGCCTGGTCGAACCAAAACCTGTGCTCTCGCGTCTCTCGTTGGAGCTGCTGCCGCCGCCACGGCTCGAAAACGACGAAGGACCGGCCCGAGAATCACCGCCGCCCCATCGGGACCCGGAGCCGTAGTTGCTCGCGCCCCAGGGTTCGTAGCCGTAGCGGTTTTGATTGTCCCTGTTTCGACCGCTGGTGAGGTAGGTGGCGGCCGCACCGCCGGCGAGGCCCGTCCAGAAACCAGGCCGCCAGCCCTGCTGCTGCTGGCCACCGCCGCTGCTGCTCGAGGACGGCTTCTGGTTATTGTTCGATCCTGGGTAAGGAGGTGGCGGATCATTCCGGGGGCCCCAGCCGCCGCCTCCAGGGCCATCACCACCACCACCGCCGCCGCCGCCGCCGCCGCCGCCGCCGCCGTATCGCCTGGTAGTGTTGCCTTGTCCTCTGTTATTACCGGAAGCCACACAGGCCGAGTACGCAATCCAGGCAAAGACGCCCAAAAATATGACGGCAAACAGCCACGCCGCTGTGTTGGTGCCGCTCTGCCCGTCATCAAACAGTCGAGTCCCCCATCCTCCTCTGGCCAGCTCGGGGTAGCGGCGCTCACCCTGTGCGGTGAGCGCAATGGTGTACTCGACGCCGCAGCTGCCCTTGAGAACGTAGGGGTCGTCGGACGATGCGTAGCCCTCGCAGACGACGTCGGTGGCGCCGAGCTTGAGGTCGGGCGGCAGCGAGGCGGCGCAGCTCCACTCGATGTCCTCGTCGCCGTACGAGGAGCCCTGGTTGGTGCAGCGCATGACGTCGATGCTGTGCAGGTCGCAGAGGGCGCGCGGCGAGACGCACTTGAGCTGCGGCACGGACGAGACGCGGCGGTGCGACGTCTTGGCGCCGCCGCCGCGCAGCGTCAGCGTCTGCACTTCGGAGAGCAGCACGGCATTCTTGGGGACTGCCGGCGGGCGCTTAGCCGATGCGGCGGTGACGCCCAGCGTGAGGAGGAGCGTGTGGTCGAGGCGCATGACTCTGGCGCGCCGCTGGTGGTGAATGAGGCTGGTGCTGGGTTCCTGAATCAGAGGGCGGTGGTTCGCATAGGAAGTAGCGGAGACACGGTCAAACAGCGTCACTCGGTGCCTTGTTGGTGGAGTGTACAGCACGGGGGAAAATGGAAGAATGGAAGTTTGAAAAGTTCAGAGAGAAAATCAAAGAGAGGAAATATACTTTGCAGGAAATAAATTGGTTGTTGTGAAAACTCTACAGGAAATCGTCATGGGAAGGTGTAGCGTATCGGGTTGAAAAGAGGCGAATTCTTAAAGGACACGATGTCCATTGTCCCAAGGCGGCAAAATGGGGACACCATGACGAATACAGTCTGCATCCGCCACGCGTTCTTTGTGAGGTGCAGGTTAGGTAAAGAGGCTATATTTTTTTCGTCTCTTCTTTTTTGTTGCTTCTTAGAGACTGGCCATTTCTTCTATGCCGCGATAGTCGCTCGCTGCGAATACCAGTATGCCACGCAGTCAGAGCACGGCGTATCATGCAGCCCAGGACAAAATATTCATCGGTGACTGGTGTGCATCTTCGACATGCTCGAATCAAGTGCATGAAGGGTTACCCCTTAGTAGCCGCGACCATATCTTGAATGCATGCAGGGGAAGGGTTGTTGAGTCCGATGGCGTCGGTTTAGAGCCACGATGCAAGTGGGTTGGGTGGTAGTGCCCAGCCTTATGTATCAGTTCGACTTCTGAGGAGGAGCGAGCGCGGAGCTTTCGGACCTAATAATGATATTCCTCGTAGGGCGATCATGGAATCGTGGCCGAAGAAGGAAAAAAACGCATACCCAGTCTTTCGGCGGCGTCGCATGCTCCTGGTTCCTTGAGACCTCCCCCAATATCAATGCGCTAAACCGCCCCTGGTCAGTCATGTAGCGACGGGTATTATTATTATTACTGCCAAGGAGGAGCAGACTCATGTTTTCCATAGATGTCTTTATTATCGACAAGAGACAAATTGTTGGTGATGGGGCAACCAGCTTATTCAAAGGGTCGGCCACTAAATCAACACCAGGTAGTTACGGCGGTACAACCTCGCACATACACGACGGACCATGGTCATCGATGCCAGCCTGCGGCTTCTTTTTTGGGAGGAATTTGAGAAGAGATGAACGCACCGCAGCACCGCATCTGCTCATCTGCCCCGTAGACATGCGGCTAAGCCTCGATGCCGCGCAGTCGTCTTGGCCCGCTCGCGCCCACCTTGTTTCATGGCCATCATGCCATTTGTTGGGCAATTTACAAAAGCATACAACTACTCATACTAGTACGTGGGCTGAATAATGAGGGTGGGGGTGCGAGTAAGTGGTTTCTTGACTCGTTTGTTCGCTGCCGAGCGCCTGCATAGGTAACAAGATGCCGCTTGCGCTGATAAATATCAAGGCGGTAGGGCTTGGCGCCGGCTATCCCGCCAACTCATCCCACCATTTTATCCCACCTTCTAGTCCCTCCCTGACAAACTGCCCGCCATCAACCGCACAACGGAACAAGCGACGCATTTCCGAGCCAAGTGATCGACCCAGCGACGAGATTGATAATTTGTCTACTATAGGGAATACACCGAATTAAAGTTTTCTTACTCGGCGATGCAGCTCTCTATAAGATCCATGCCGCCGCCGGCTCATCATGGGTCACCGAAACCACAACCTCGTCAATACACTCAATCACTTTCTTTAAAACCCGAACAACTTTGACAGCTTTTCACATCATCGCCAATCATGGTCTCTTCCTCAGTCCTCCTCGCCCTCATCCCGGCTGTGGCCGCTGCTCCTCGGGCCTGCACTGCCCCCAAGCCTACCACCTGCCAGTCCCCCAAGGGCGACTTCACAGTAGTCGCCCCCGGCCTGTACCCCGAGAGCGCCGATTTCGACGATTCCAGATGCGTCACGTACATTGGGTACGTCATGCAGAACTCATCAAGCATCAACACGAGCTAACGCGGCCTGTGCTAGTAACCTGTACAACAGCACCGTCTCCGTCTACGATGCCACCACCAACAATGTCACCGAGCTCATCTCCTTTGACAAAATCTCCGGCGTACCCGCCTTCCACGTCTCCGGCGTCCAGCGCGACCGCCGTCACGACATGCTGACTGTGAGCGCCAACGCCGGCGCGGCCTTTGACACCTCGGGCGAGAACGTCTCCGGCACCAACCTCATCGTCCAGTACAACCTGGCTAAGAAGCGCGTCGAGTGGACCCAGAACCTGACGGCCGTCTCCAACGGCGCCTATGGCGGCTTCCAGGACATTGAGCACGACGCTGCCGGCAACAGCTTCGTCGTCGGCACCTTTCCCAGCAGCATCATCAAGATTACCGCCGACGGCAAGACGCCTAAACTCTGGTTCGGCCCCTCAGGTACCAATACCACAGCGCACGGCTTCACCGGTATCGCCGCGTTCAACGACGCCCGAAGCGCGCTGGTGCCTGACGGCCAGACTGGCCAGGTTGTCCGCTTCGACCTGACCGCCGAAACTGGCGAGCCCGTCACCGTAACCCTCGACAGCACCGAGGCCATTGGCAAGGACCTCGACGGCGGCTACCTGCCCCCCCTCTTCAAGGACACCGTCTTCCTCGTCTCCGACAACGCTCTCGGCACGATTGTGCTCAAGTCCGAGGATCAGTGGAAGACGGCCAAGAAGGTCGGCGTCGTCCCCAACCCCCTCGGAACCGAAAATGGCTTCCACGTCGCAACTGTGCAGATTGTGGACAGAATCTACGCCGTCACCGAGTGGTTTTTAGACAACACCCCTGAAGTGGCCCTCAACCGCACGGCGTTCCCCTTTGTTGATATCACTGATAGTATCAACAAGCTTCTGATCTAAGGAGCGGGTTTTTGTATTCTAGTACTAGGATCGCTTTAAAATAGATATCAACGGTCCTTGGCTTCTTTAGACTTGTATTAAATATATGGACATGGAAACATAATGTCACACTGTGCAGCTATAGGCATATGAGTCTTGCCCAATTGCTCTTTTCATTCGTCCAACATCAACGCAGTTTAGGTCAAGCTGCCACAGTATTCAATCAAGACTCGACTATGAACAGAACTTTACCAACCAAAGTGCTCGCTACCTGATTTAAAAGAATCACCAAGACAATGTGCGTTACTTTAGCAGGCTAGGTGGGAACGTGTAGTAGTTGTTGAAAATCGAGGTACGCGGCAGTTGAATATTGGTACTAAAAATTAGAAGAGCTAAACTCAGATCGAAATACAAGACGAAGTACACAAAGTACCATACCAGGAACCGCTCCCTTGGATTGGATTTACAAATCTGAATGATGCTGGAGGATGAACGATGACGTCGAGAACAAGCTTCAGTGACACCGAGTCGCACGGAACCAGAGAGTAGGGAATGCTTGTATGCAGAGATGCGACCCCGGCAGGCGGGTCGCATCGTTGGTACAATGTACGATGAAGCAAGACGAGGCATGGCTGCGATGAGAGGGTAGGCATGCATACTGTAGTACAAGATGCTGCAGATGAAAAAAATGTGAAGCTGCTGTACCGGGGGTTACATGTATCAAGATACGTAGATGGAGCTGTTGTAAGCGAGTCGGGCGTGGGACGGTTTCAGAGATCTAAAAAGTAAAAGACTGCGGCGGAGAGATTCACGAGACTTTTGATGGTCGTGTTTCAAATTCTTGCATCCGTACAGGGTGATTTGTCTCTGCCTGATGCTACGGCCGAGACATGGGGCAGAGGAATTCTACAGGGCGCGTCAAGATGGTGGCAAGAAACATGATGTGGAGACTATTCTAGAATCGAAACTAGATGGATGGCCATTGATAGAGAGATGTGTTATATCTATGTGTTATATCTATGTGTACTTGATGTGCCAATGCCAAATGCCATGAGTGATGGAAAGTATTAAATAATAACGAACAAAGCTACTGGGGGGAGGCTGAAGGGCTGTGACAGGGGCGTGTGCGTCGGCTCGGACACTTGGACGGACCCGAGCCCGGAAAAACTGGGTCAGCCTCGGGGCGGGTTCTGGGGCACGACCTTTCAGGGTAGTGTTCATTAATGAGTAAACGAGTAGAATATGTATTTTCTGTGTCAAAGGAAAAATAAAAAAATAAAAAGACGCGGCCTCTGAAGGGGCCATGCCATCCGGATGAGGCTGGAAACAGACAAGAACTTTATGGGGCGGTGACACGAGGATATGGTGGGTGACGTTTACGAGGCAATGAGCTTGATCAGGGTCCCAAGACTGTCCTTTTGCTCACGCTCGCCCACCGGGTTGGGCTGGCTCGCTTCCTGAGGAAAAGACATGGATTCGGCAACCTGCCGGGTGTGGGAGTGCACGTGTGTCTTCGTACAGAGTACATGTGACCCATTCGGCGTAGTGATAAAACAACAAGTACCTCGAGTCAAAGTTCAGTTTCTTGGACATACATTTAAATTTTGTGACCACTGGTGACTAGTGCAATTGTCGGATGGCATTGTCAAGTTGGGTCGATGCATTTGTTGCTGGCCCCGCTACAAGACGACCAACTTCACCACACGAGCTAGCCATCCATGGAGAGCGAGCAAACCAAACGAAGGGCCTACTCAAGAAGCACGCCTGGGCGGAAAATTGGACATGTTACATGTTGACCGAACAGTGACGAGTGGCACGCGTAGGTCGTGGCGGATCCTACCAGCCTCGCTGTAGGGCTGCTCGTCGCAAGGCTGCGAGGGTGGTATCTTCACTATCACAATGATTTCTTGGCGTTGTGTATGGTATATATGACTTAATTCGGACATATCTTTGGGAATAGACAACGCTCTAAAATGGCGCAAGGAATTTATGCATGGCAACGTCGTAAATTCTCTCTCTTACATGTTTGTTGCTTTGAGACAATATTTCATATTTTTTTCTCGGCCTGGTATTGGCTGTTTGCTGAGAGCAGAACCAATGAGACCCTGCCCGGAATATATTAGCTGGTAAGATGAGACCGGCGGACACGCTGGGTACAGATCCCAGAGGCGTCGTGGAAACCCTACGGACTCCACATGGCACTGGGTGACAATGTGGTGAAGATTCCAAGATGACTAGGAGTGGAACATATTACGAGTATGCCTGGTAGGTTTGCGGGCGTCTGCGGTTGGTTGTGGGACTTGGTTAGAGTCTGGTGGTGTCCGATGTAACTATTATTTCCAGTCAGCAGTCAGCGTTGGGCGGAGCGGAGGCAACGGTGCTGTGCGAGGCAACCACTTGTTGGGATATTTGGATATGAGATGCAAATAGCTGCAGCTGAGAGAAATGTTGACAAACAGGCTCTCGTACGGGTACGGGTACGGTGTACGGATATTGGAGTCTTTTTGGTGGCGCCTACAATACCTTCTTATTAGGTACAGGTAGGTAGCTTGGTAGTACAGGCGGTACCTACAACCAGGTAGGAGGTTAGTACCTACCTAGGTACCTAGGTAGGTACCAGGTAGGCAGGTACCAGGCAGCAGGATAGTGGCGGCAGCGGGCTTGCTGTATAACGCTGTGCTGTAATAGGCACCAGTAAACCAGAAACCTTAAAACCAACGGTCAACCGGTCAACCGGTAAAACAGACAGCCGTTCTTTCTACCAGCTTCACCGGTCGTATTGACCATCTTCAACTTCCATACTCGGCACACACCCCTTCTTCATCATCACTCGGCGCCCCCTCCATCCCATCTCGCCATCTACATCTCCGTCATCACTCATCAAACTCGCCTCAGTAGGTAAGAAGAACCCACCCGCCCGCTTCTCTCTCCCGCCGCTCCTCCCGCTCCTTGCTTGGTGCTGATTGTGTTTAGCGCCTCTGGACAAAAAGGCAAACCGGATACCCATTCAAGCCTGGCTTCTTCGCTGGTGCCTGTTTGTCGGGTCCCGGACTACTCCTCGGGCCCATGCCCTCAACCTCAGACCCGAACAGCGCACGTCCGCACTTTAAACCCGTCGAGCGAGGCGGCCCATGACTCTACTCCTCGCCGCCTCCTGCTACCGCCACTACTCCTCGCACGGCCCGATATAATACACAGCCGTTTTCTCGCCATCGCATCTCGCACCCCTCCCGTCTCTTTTGCTCTGTTCCTGCCGACTCCTTTCTCTTGGCCTCCTTTTGCGTCCATTTTCCTCTTCTTTTTTTTGTGTCGTCGCTACTTTGATCGCCACCTTTTTTCCGATTTGCTCGACAACTGTTCTGCCTCGGCTCTCGCCTGATCACCTAACCGGCAAACACCCCCGACAGACGACAGACGCAGCAAACACCCCTCCCTTCTCCCTCTTTTTCTGTCTCGTCTCACAACGCCGCCGACTCACCTCGCACCGCTGCACCGGCTTCTAGTTACATTTCACATTCCCTAGCTGGTCCAGAACAGGCAATTGGCGCGCCTCACTTACCTTATAATTACCCTGCGCTGCGTGCCAGTCCCACGTCGACTGTCCGTTGTCACACGCTCGCTTCACCTGCGACTGTGACTGCGACTGCGACTACGACTGCGCTCGACTCTCTGTGAGTCTTGTTCCCCGACTTGTCTATTGCCGCCCGCCTCCTTTCGTACTCGTTCACATATCTTTCTTACATGCTTTTCTTTTGCCCTATTTTCTGTTGCCATTGAAAGCTGACAATAATCTCAGTGTTTGCTTCAGCCGCAGACGCGGCCCGCCCTTCATTGCGCACCGGCCTCATCCTTCCGCATATCGACATCGCTGGGCCGTCCTTTAAATCCGACCGCCTGTGGCCTGAAGCTGCCAGCCTTCAACCCATTCAGCTTCAGTCGCTCGCGTCGCAGGTCTAACCTGCCTCCAATCTCGCCTCTCATGGCGCCTCATTTTTCCGAAAAGTCTGGAAAGCTTCGCCAAACCGCTGCACCCGGATATCACCAACCTGCTTCTAGCCATGGCGACTCTTCCGATCCCGAAACCCGTCCCCTCGAAAAGGCACATAACGAGCTCGCAACTCCTCCCAAGACGCCCAATGCCGATGACATCTACGCCCACCTCTCAGATCATGCCGCCGACATTTTAAGGAAACAGGTCGACGTGCCTACCTTGACCAAAGGCGCCGGCGTTCTTTACCGCTACGCCTCCCGCAATGACAAGATCATCATCTTCATCTCCGCTATTTGCGCCATTGCCTCTGGTGCTGCTCTACCCCTCATGACCGTCATCTTTGGAAATCTACAGCGCGTCTTCCGTGAATTCTTTTTTGGCTCAATGACGTATGATGGCTTCGTCGCCGAACTTACCAGATATGTCCTCTACTTTGTCTACCTCGGTATTGGCGAATTCATCGTAACCTACATCTGCACCGTTGGCTTCATCTACACTGGTGAGCACATCTCCGCCAAAATTCGCGAGCACTACCTTGCGGCCTGCATGCGACAAAATATTGGCTACTTTGACAAGCTCGGTGCTGGCGAGGTCACCACCCGCATCACCGCAGACACCAATCTTATCCAGGATGGTCTCTCTGAAAAGGTCTCTCTCACCATTGCCGCACTTGCCACATTTGTTACCGCTTTTGCCATTGCTTTTATCAATTACTGGAAGCTCACCCTCATCCTCTCCGCTACCTTTTTTGCTCTTGTCCTTAACATTGGCCTCGGTTCCAGTGTCATGCTCAGGCACAACAAGGCCTCCCTCGAGTCCTACGCCGAGGGTGGCTCTATTGCCGAAGAGGTCTTCAGTTCTATCCGCAATGCTATTGCATTTGGCACCCAGGAGCGCCTTGCCAAGAAATACGACAAGTACCTGGCCAAGGCCGAATACTTTGGTTTTCGTGTCAAGTGCGCCATGGCTGTCATGGTTGGTGGTATGATGCTCATTCTCTTCCTCAACTATGGCCTGGCCTTCTGGCAGGGCAGCAAGTTCATCGTGGCCGGCGTTGTCCCCATCAACAAGATTCTCACCATCATGATGTCCGTCATGATTGGTGCTTTCCAGCTCGGCAACGTTGCCCCCAACTTACAAGCCTTTACCACGGCTGTAGCTGCTGCCGCCAAGATTTTCAACACCATTGACCGCCCTTCTCCTCTCGACCCCTCCAGCGAGGACGGCATCAAGATCGACAACATCATGGGCAACATTCGCCTCGAAAACATTTCCCACATTTACCCTTCTCGCCCCGAGGTTCGCGTCATGTCCAATGTCAGTCTCATCATCCCTGCTGGCAAGACAACTGCTCTTGTTGGCGCTTCCGGTTCTGGAAAGAGCACCATTGTCGGTCTCGTTGAACGTTTCTATTCTCCTGTCAACGGTAGAATATACCTCGATGGCATCGACATATCCACGCTCAACCTCAAGTGGCTCCGCCAGCAAATGGCTCTTGTCAGTCAGGAACCCACCCTGTTCGGAACAACTATTTTCAATAACATCGGCCACGGCTTGATTGGAACAGCTGCTGAGTACGAGACGGAAGAAAAACGCCGCGAACTCATCATCGAGGCCGCCAAGATGGCGAATGCCCATGACTTTATTTCTAGCCTACCTGAAGGTTACGATACCAACGTTGGTGAACGCGGCTTCCTCCTCTCCGGTGGTCAGAAGCAGCGTATTGCCATTGCCCGCGCCGTCGTCTCAGACCCCAAGATTCTGCTGCTCGACGAGGCTACTTCTGCTCTCGATACCAAGTCGGAAGGTGTTGTCCAGGCCGCCCTTGAAAGGGCCGCAGCTGGTCGAACGACCATCACTATCGCTCATCGTCTCTCCACCATCAAGGATGCCCACAACATTGTCGTCATGTCCGAAGGTAAAATCATTGAGCAAGGCAGCCACGACGATCTCATTGAGAAGCGAGGTGCCTACTTCAACCTTGTATCCGCCCAGAACATTGCCGCCGCCGAAGAGCTTACTGCCGAGGAACAGGCTCAGCTTGATGAGGAAGAATTGGCACTCATTCGCGAGAAGTCCACCAACCGTGCCTCAGTCTACGGCGGAAACCGGACCTCCATCTACGGTGCGGACCTTGATGACAACATTGCCGACAAGCTGAGGCGGCAGTCGACCCGAAAGTCCGTCTCTAGCATGATTTTGCAGCAGCCCAACCCGGTGGGCGAGCGTGAGCAGAAGGACAGTCTTGGGACCCTGATCAAGCTCATTGCCTCGTTCAATCGACCCGAATGGAAGCGGATGCTCTTTGGTTGTGTCTTTAGCATTATCTGCGGTGGTGGCAACCCGACCTCGGCCGTCTTCTTCGCCAAACAAATCACCACGCTCTCCGTGCCCATTACCCCCGCGAATCAAGACCAGGTCAAGCGCGACTCGGATTTTTGGAGCTCCATGTTTGTGATGCTGGCCTTTGCTCAATTCATAGCCTTTAGTGTCCAGGGCGTTACTTTCGCCTTGTGCTCGGAGCGCCTTGTCCATCGTGTCCGCGACCGCGCATTCCGAGTCATGCTCCGCCAGGATGTCGCCTTTTTTGACCGTGAGGAGAATACTGCCGGTGCCCTGACCTCGTTTCTCTCTACTGAAACCACACATGTTGCTGGTATCAGCGGCGTGACGCTGGGCACGATTCTCCTCACCGCCACTACCTTGATTGCTGCCTGTACTGTATCCCTCGCTATTGGCTGGAAACTCTCGCTCGTCTGCATCTCGACTATCCCTGTCCTTCTTGGATGCGGGTTCTTCCGCTTCTGGCTTCTTGCTCACTTCCAGCGGCGATCCAAGGCTGCTTACTCTTCGTCTGCCTCGTATGCTTCGGAAGCTATCTCTGCCATCCGCACTGTTGCCTCGCTCACTCGGGAGAAGGATGTCCTTGCTCTCTACCAGGAGTCTCTTGCCGAGCAACAGCGCCGCAGTCTCATTTCAGTCGCCAAGTCTAGTGCTCTGTACGCTGCCTCTCAGTCGCTCGTGTTCCTTTGCCTCGCTCTTGGTTTTTGGTATGGAGGTACCCTTATCGGCAAGCGCGAATACTCCATGTTCCAATTCTTCCTGTGCTTCATGTCCATCGTCTTTGGCGCCCAGTCTGCCGGCACCGTCTTCTCTTTCGCCCCGGATATGGGCAAGGCCCACGGCGCCGCCCAGGAGCTCAAGATTCTATTTGACCGCCAACCCGCCATCGACACATGGTCTAACGAAGGCGAGCCTGTCACCCACGTTGAAGGCACTCTTGAGTTCCGCGATGTGCATTTCCGCTATCCCACACGTCCTGAGCAACCCGTCCTGCGCGGCCTCAACCTTACTGTCAGGCCCGGCCAGTACATTGCCCTTGTCGGTGCTTCTGGCTGCGGTAAGAGTACGACCATTTCGCTGCTCGAGCGTTTCTACGACCCTCTGTCTGGCGGTGTGTATGTCGACGGCAAAGAAATCAGCACGCTCAACGTCAACGACTACAGATCATTCATTGCTCTTGTCAGCCAAGAGCCTACTTTATACCAGGGTAGTATCAAGGAGAATATTATTCTGGGCACTTCCCGTGAGAATGTGACGGATGCAGAGTTGGAGCATGTCTGTCGTGAAGCCAACATTTATGACTTTATCGTGTCGCTACCCGATGGCTTCAATACGACTGTGGGAAGCAAGGGTGCCCTACTGTCTGGCGGGCAAAAGCAGCGTATTGCTATTGCCCGTGCCCTGATTCGTGACCCAAAGATTCTGCTCCTTGATGAGGCCACATCAGCCCTCGACTCGGAGTCTGAAAAGGTTGTGCAGGCTGCACTGGACAAGGCAGCCAAGGGTCGCACAACCGTGGCAGTTGCCCACCGTCTAAGCACTATCCAAAAGGCGGATATCATTTACGTGTTTGACCTGGGTCGGATTGTCGAGCAGGGTACGCACTCGGAGCTGATGCGTAAAAACGGTCGTTACGCGGAACTTGTCAATCTGCAAAGTCTTGTCAAGTCGGGTTAATATGTTGTTTTGCATTTTGAGCTTTTAAGAGACTCGGTGTCTCTATTGCATAATTTTCGGCGTCATTTCATTCAAAGTCCAATGTGGTGGAATATGGACAAGGCAAGGTTATTCAGGCCCAGGAAATAAAAACAATGTATATAGATGAGATTGAAATTTGTTTGGGCGGTGTCTGTCATTTTACATTTGATGGCTCTATGATTCCTCTCAATAGCAAAATGGTTGCATCCCATGTTTAGGAGATGATTGTGGGTTGTTGCCGTGACGTTTTGCGCCGTATTCTTATTAATAACTATGTAGTTTGTATTGGACTCGGACTGGAGGGAGGACTCGGAGGCGCGAGGGGAGCGAAGCCAAGTTGGGGTGAAACACGTCTGTTTGGCCGTGCGGGCGGCCGTGGGGATGACGGATTATACTTTGTCAGTAAGTTGTGCAATGTGCTGGGTGATGTTTGGAAAATTGGCTCGGAGAAAAGGCATGAGCTGAGATGCAAGGGATGGATAGAAGACTGGATAACTATATTTGGTCGGCCGTGTTGCTATTTAAATCATTTGATACTCGAGTTGTGCACCAAGGTCGGTCACCTGAGACTGGGGACAAGGGACAAGGGCTCAGTGTGGACTGGGCGTGCATAAGAATGGCAAACAATGCTTCATCATTACGAATGAGTTTCTGTTATTTTGTCTGTTATTTTGTCTGCAAAGTAGTAGTTACTATTACTACCGAAAGCAGGTCGGTGGCATTCTGTCGCGGTGTGGCAAGGTGTGTGATGGGTGGTTCGGCTATGTAAATGAATCATGGCGAACGATAACGTTAATACCGGACGAAAAGAACTAAATGGGGGGATCTGCCGACGGGGAGATGAGAAAATTGATAATACTACAGGTCATACGAGAATATTATGCGGGAATACAGTGGCGGGAGTGTGTGTGGGCTGCCGATGCAGGTACAGCGACGAGTGGAAATGGGAGGAAAGGCCGATGACAGTGTATGTGGGCAGTAATTTGTACAAGGCGACGATGATGTGAAGAAACGAGGACAAAATTAGAATCAAGTGGTTGGTGTAGTTGTTCTGTTGTACTGATGCTGAAAGATGGAACCGTGGTGGAAGGATCGCGCCAGTTGGTAGCAGGTAGGTACCTTTCTACTAGTTAAGTTAACTATGACCAGCCCCAAAAATAGGGGATCCAGCAACGAAATGAGAGAGTACTTTGTACCCAGTTTTGAGCTTGGACGTTGAAGATGGTTCAGAAACTCGCAACACTCGAGGCTGGTCTGACAGACGGGGCTTACTAACGAGTAGATGGAAACGTGTAAACGATGATATTCCGGGCTCTTTTTTTTTCTCTCATCTTTTTTTCTCTCCATCGACAACACATCAGCAAGCACTGTACAAAACTCGTACTGTGTAAAGATATCAGTACATGTCTGGTAGTTGAGCAGCTGTTGGCCCCTGAGGGAAAAGGAGAGAGCTGTTCTACCTGTAGGTAGGTACCTGGGCAGGTACGTACCAGGAAGGCGGCTCTAGCGCCTCGGTCTAGAACCCTCGAGACCTGGGGCGGCGCCGCAGCAGCAAAAAAGTCAATAGTTTGTATGTAGTAACAGCGTGCCGAGATAACTAGGTATAGACATAGATGGCAGGGGTGGCACTCGGTGACCGCTGACGACTCAAGGTGAGCGAGGTTTGTCGACAAAAAAAAAAAAAGTAAAGAAAAAAAGAGGTCAGGTTTTACCCGAACGGACGTACGGAGCAGAGTACGCAACTTCATGTTAAAGGTAACGTACATGTGATTGATTAGTAACGTGCCAATCCAGGTCTATAGAGTACGTTTAAACTGTTCCTGGCCATCTTTTAAACCACAATCTGTAATTTGTACAAATTACGGATTCAGCATCTAGATTTCGGCTTCCCCCTGTCTGCTTGTCCACGTTTTCTTATCAACGAGGCGAAGGCTTCGCTTTTGATGAGTGGTGGTGGCCAGAGCCTTGTCTGGTGGGCTTTTCTTTTTTGGTGCATGCCCTGGCTTGCTGCCAAGCTGCACGCCTTTTTGGAGACGGAGCATCATTCATGACAGAAAGCACGAATAGCAACCCGCCGGCTGGGGCAAGGGATCCCCCTTGTCCATGGGCATGGGCGAGCAATCCCAGCCCAGTACGAAGTACCGGCAGTAAGTAATAAGGCCCCGTCAGGCTGCCCCCCAGGCTGTTCAGGCGTCCAGGCACACAGGCGTCCAGGCACACAGGCACAGCAACGCAAAGAAGCGCTAGACGGCCGCTAAAAAGGTAAAATAATGGCTTCCATGATGCTGCCCTCTCATATTCTTGTCCTGTATCCATATCCGTACATGCAAGCTGTATGTAGCCGGTCTTGTCCATGTTTCAAGTTCTTGCACTTGGATAATTATCAAGTGACTCGCGATCCGCCAAACAACATCGCGAGATGCACCCTTGTCGCGCCATCATCCCCGCCTCCTACCTGGTCTACCTGGTAGCCTTTCTCTAAATTACCATCCGCCCACCGTATGTACCAGTAACTGGTCCTTACTGCTTATTACGCCCCGGGATCCCTGTCATAACAGTCCCCGGTCGCGGCTACGTGTATTGCAGAAAACCCGACCAGGGGGAAGGAAGGGGAAAAAACAGACTGCCTCGGGGAAACGACTGCAGCGAAGCCAAGCACGCTGCTGTTGACTTTGTTTCTTCTTTTTGTCTTTCTTCTTCTTCCTTGCCCAGCCGTTGCGCTCGCCCAACAAACTACCTACCTACCTAACTTACCTAACCACACTCGTTGAATCTTGCTGGATAGCCTCTGACCTCTCCAACTGCCATCGTTCGTTTGGCAACTATTCGGATCCATTGGCTCACACACACGTTCTCACACTATTACTACCTACCTACCTTCTTGCCATCCGGATACATATGCTTGGAGAGAGCCCAGCCTGCGACGACCGCCCACCCCCAACGCACGTCGCCGCCCCCGGAGCTAATAACGCACTCGCAAAGGCCGTCGTCGCAAGCTTGCTTGCTTGCTCTGCTGTGCACGCGCCGCCAACAGATCCAGCCGGGTAAAACGGAAGCCAAAAAAAATCAGGACAAGAAGAGAAGCTCTGGAAAAATCTGCGCCACGCAACGAAAAGGAAAAATCAAGGAGCCTTGTTGCCGGCCAATTCGTTCTAGCCGCGCCACCGTCAGACATCACACACCCACGGGTGGTGCCCACCGCTGCTCACTGCGAACAACAAACTGCATTGACGACAAGAGACTTGCTTGTCCAAGCACAACGAGGGCACGTGAATTGACATGGCGTTGGACGACATTGCATCCAAGAAAAAATCGACGAGACAAAAAACGGCAACAAAAGACCAACAGCGACCCTTGGACGCTGGTCCAATCATGGCGAGCCGTGTCTCACTTTCCTCGACGACCCGTGGCACAACGACGCCCAACAGCTGTCCCTGCTGCTCCTCGTCCTCCCGCCGCCGCCGCCGTCGTTCTGGATCTGCCTCGTCCTACTCATCCTCGTCATCCGCGTCGCACAATAACCGCTCCATGTCGCTCCGCGCCGGCATCATGACGGTACTCGTCGCAGGCGCCGCCGCCGCGACGCAGCAGTGGCGGCCACCCGCGCCAGCGTCCACCCCGACGATACCTTCCTGGACCAACCCCGAAGTCGACCAGCCACCGTCCAACCATGTGCGCGTGCCCGCGCCAATGACGCTGACACATTTCACGCGGCAGCTCGATCTGGTCCGGCGAGATCCTGACGCTGTGATTGAGATACGAGGCACAGCGGTTGCGGCGTCTAGCGATTCTGCCTCGTCTTCATCAGCATCATCAGCATCATCAGCATCATCTTCGGCGACGCCTACTTCGTCCTCGCCTTCCTCCTCTTCCACATCCTCGCCTCTCCCCTTGCCATTCGACGACGCCCCCACGTCGATATTCAAAAGCAGCAGCAGCACAACCGGCGCCTGCCCCAACTTTATGAAGAAGCTGCTCGACGACGCCACCTTTAAAAAGTGCTACCCGCTCTCCATGATGCTACGAGTACGTTGACTTGCTCTCCAATCCCCTCTCACCTTTCTTGTCTTCTCTTGCCGCCGGTCCGCGACACCTTGACTAACCGCCTACCGCCCCCAGACATCCACCTCCTTCTTCCAGGCCTCCAAATCCCTCGTCAGCATCGTCCGCGTCCTCGACGCCACCTGCGCCGCCGACGTCGCCCAGTGCGACACCTTCCTCACCCAGGCCGCCAAGAAGATGCTCGACGCGTCCAACTGCAAAACGGAGTACGACGCCGACCAGGGGCAGGTCACCGAGGCCTTCAACGGCCTGCGCGCCTACAAGGTGCTCTACGCCGCCACCTGCCTGCAGAACCCGGCCACGCAAAACTACTGCTTCGCCAGCGCCGTCACAAACGTCACCAATCCCTCCGACATCTTCTTCTACTCCATGCCCCTCGGCCTGCCCCTGCCCGGCGGCTCCACGCCCTCGTGCGGCCCCTGCACCACCCAGACCATGGCCATCTTCCATGCCGCCACGAGCGATCGCTCCCAGAAGATTTCCTCGACCTACAGGGATGCTGCGCGCCAGGTGAATACTATTTGCGGACCAGGCTTTGTCAATGACACGGCCACGTCGGGCGCTGGACGAGGCGTCGCCCCTCCCGACGCTGTGACGACGCTCGCGACCGTCTTGTTTGCCACGCTCTTGGGCTTGACTGCCATGGCATGGTAAACAAGCCCGAAACCGAATCTTGTCGACTCGGCTTGCCTCCAACATCACACACCTTTGAATGTGGAGCTTTGACGCTCCCTTCATCAACTCTATATACCCCCTCTCCGTCGAATTCCATATCCGACTCTCCTCCAATCGCCACCCACTGCATCCACACAACGTAAAAGTGTCTCTTTTTTTGGTGTTGGTTTTTTGTCTTTTACCTTCTCTTCCCCATCTACACCATATTTTTTTTCCCTATATTTTCGATTGGATTATGCGACTAGCAATTGGACTTTGAGGACGTTTTGCATTTCATTCTTTTTTTTTTACCCATCATTACCAACTACGGCCATCAAAATGACATAATATCTATACTTATTTCATCTCACTCAGAGATTTATATACACATCAAGACGAGTTCCTCTACATCTTCACTTTTATATATCCTGGGTCTTTCATGTGGCCTGCATTCTATACAGGGTTGGGAAACTCGGCTTGGTTATATACGCGAACAAGGGCAAACCCAGTCCCTCACACCCTTTTCAGCTGCATATCTTTTTTTACTTTGCCCCCAAGAATAGAAAGCTGATAATACAAACCCTTGACTCATTTTCGATTGTGTACCAATTTTCCTTTGCAATTTGGGATAACCGTATTTCCACCCACCCCTTACGCGTACTTCTTGCCACCATTTACTTGCAAGGGATTTTGCGGCTGACGCTTTTTTTTGCCAAATCTATTGTGAAATGTCTAAACAGCTTACAAAAGCAAAAAAAAAAAAACGAAGAAAAAAACACACACACACAAGGCAGTCGAGTGCGCCCTTGGGCAAGAGCAACGACGTTTATTGCTACGCAAGTATCACCATTGTCCACCCTGGTACAAATATTGTGCCAATGTCTATTCTTCTCCCCCATACCCCTCATCACCGTACACGTTTCCCTCTCCTCCATGTCTGTCACACACACACACACCAGGACCCTGAGATTTCGATCCGCCCTGTGCTCGTTTTCACTTTCGCATCGGCCGTTTCTTGTCCCTCCCCAAAACCGGTCCAAAGGCACGGATTCTCGCGCTGCCGATGGGATGGGTACACGCGCACGATTTTCACTACAGTCCGCCAATGCAGACAGAGCACAGGATGTACCACCCACCCACCATTGGTCTCCTTGGGGTCTTTGTCTAGCTCGTTTACTGGTAATGCTGGGGACGATCGTTTACCCTGCCAAAAAAAAAAGTGTCTTGGATGGGCGGGGTTGCCGTTTTCTCTTTGGGCATGGTCACAGAGCCGCCTAGATGTTGCCTCGACATTGTCTAACCATGCCAAGTCGTGGTTTCTTGAACCTCTTTGACCTTTCTTTCGTTGGCTTCGCAAGGTTACACACTGATTGGCTGATGGGCACTGTCCCTTGATATGCCGTATTCAAGGATCAATGTTTCGTGTCATTGACAGTGGCAGCTGTCCCGACTCCTTTGTTCGAAAACAATTTACATAGACAGACTCTTCCAAGGTTGCAGCGGTGTAGACCATCCAAGACCACGTGTGTTGCCAGAGTTGCCAATTGGGCGTTGAGCTCTTCTTTGGGAATGCCGAACTTATTATTCGATTGTATTCTCTCCCGCGTTGCGCAAAGACCGCCGCCAAGGGAATCAACTGTGAGTCTGTGACACAAAAGTGGCATCCCCAAAGCTACTTGGACATTATAACTCGGTAAGGGACTGCGTGATGCTGGACCGCTGGTATACTAAGTGGAGACGAGGCCTTTATCAAGCCAGCCATGTCTGAGTTCCACGAGCTGGCGGCAGACAAAAAAGAAATTTTCTCTCAGCTCAAAAGGCCGGGGAGAGGAGAAGTCGGTCAGGATCAAGGTGTGATGTGTGGGTTGAGCGTCGGAGATCGCACATGTTGCGCACGTCATGCACTGTGCTTCTTCAAAACCAATGGGCTGACGCTCACACAACGCCATCATTGGTTCCTTGAACCAGCCTTGTTGAGTGGAAAAAGGACGCCATATTGACTAGGGTTGGCTGCCGAGGCTGATTGTACCGGGCTGCAAGACATGGCATGCATGTACAGGTCTGGAACGGGTGAGTGGTTGGCCGATCCCGTTGTGACAATTGACGCAGCATTGGAAGAGGGGTTCAACAAAGACAGGCTGTCAAGATTGATCAAGCACCCGAATGCCTGGGCTCGTATGTAGCCAAGTGTCCAAGATGAAAAGCTTATTAGTGCGCGATCTACTCCTCCGGCAATGAGGGAATGCTGTTTACCTTGGGGGCAGCGGGCGCCGGACCGTATTGATGCTCATCGGGGATCGCTGCCGGCTTGGGCTGTTTCCTAGTGTGAGCAGGCTCCTCCGCCACCCCGGGCTTGGCTTGCATTGCAGTTGAACGAACCCACCATCGGGCAGACTGGGGGTAGGGAGGGCAAGGCTGCTGGGAGCCTTCAACCACGGGGTGCACCGGTGACCGTGGACAAACTCATCGGGTTGTCTGCGTGACAGCCACAAACTGCCATCGTATGCAGGCCAATCGAAGAGGCAGGTCGAACGTTCTCGGCGGCGCTGCTGAAGCCTTGAGGGACGTCATTCGGCCGTCGCAACGGAGCAGGCACACCATCAAATTACAGAGCTCAACGATGATGTGACGTCTTGGCGGGAAAGTGGATCTACAAGAGATGAGATTCAGCAGTGCAGGCTTCCGTGTGGCATCGTACCAGGCTACCAGTCAGTACTCGGTAGTTACGGATACCAGCCAGCGTTGGCGGAAGGCTGAAGCTGGCGAATAGTGCATGAGGCTGGTTGGTCGGGTGGTGAACAGGGTGAAGAGGAAGGGAGAGGGGGCGGCGAGCAGAACCGATGGGGCGTTGGAGGGGAAGCATCAGCTGATCAGCGAGGGAAAACGGCGGGCGCTACACAAAGACAGGTAATGTGGCTTGGCACCCCCACGCATCTTGGGGTCAGCCCGCACCTAGTATGTACCTACCTGAGAAAGCCAAGTAGCTCCATGTAAAGCTGTCAAGCCATCGTACTTTCTCTCAGGTTCGTGTTGGTGTGCTGTGAATTAGCTCAACTACTCATACGAATGTACGAATTACTCCCTGCCTAACTAGCTCCAGATGCTCCAGATTCACCAGACCCCCGCCCTTCCAGCCAAGACAGGCCCCAGTCGACTGCAACACCTCGTCCTCCATCTCACGACGTCCTGTAGCCAACGCGGAACACTTGTTCGTGTCTCGGCAACGGAACTGCTCGTCCCAGCTGACAGCCACACAATGCGTCCAACGTACGATACTTATCGAGTCTATCAACCACGGCGCGGATCAGACGCTCCGAGGACGACAAGTCGCTGGCCAAAAGACAGACTCCAAGCTACCCTAGCCATGTGTCGGTAAACTACTTCGTTTGTACGGATACAAACTACAAATCGCCACCTTGACCAGGGTCTTTATTGATGTGGGACGAGCTGGAGATGGCGTGCCGCATCGAGCTCATATTAGTGAACCCTGGGCTAGATCCAGGTTGCCAGGTGGCCGTATGTAGGTGATGGAGAGCAAAGTTATTGCTCCGTACAGTGACGACTTGGCCGCTCAACCAGCGGCCATGGGGCATTCTTCTGTCCCCTGCCTGGCCTTGCATCCATCCGACAGTCGCTAGACGCGGTCGCTTATTCAACATAATAATTTGCCATCTTGGAGTTGCTGCTGTTGCCTCGACTGCCGCCTCCGCCCGACGCCTAGCTTCCATGCCAGTAGCCTCGCCTACGCCTACCCTGTCCAAGCAAGACGCGCACTTTCCCCCGATTTCGACTCTCGACTCGGCCATCAGCCCAGACCCAATCCTGGCACACACCGAGAATAGCGCACTCTGGTCTTGCAACGTACCAGTACGCACCCATACACACAAGAGCGCTGTTTGTGACGAGCATCCTTTACCACCTGTTTCACAGCCACGAGCAACGTTCCAAGCCCATTGTTCGGGCCACCTCTCAATCGGGACGATGCCGTCACACTGACTTCCCAGACGCGGAATCCCCCATTCCCGGTGTCCAGAATCGGCCACGGGCCATCTGAGTCGCCTGCGGGCCTGGCAGATCCAACGCTGCGAAGCACAAAGTGCGTTGACGTCACATGGAGCAGCTCTCACCAGCTGGTAATACGCTAAATTCTTCCACCGGGGGGGTGCTGGGGCAGCGGATACTCGAGCCAGACTGGCCGTTTCGCCGAGGCCCTGAGGATCAACCCGTCTGGGGGTGTCGTCTAATATAAATGACCAAGAAAAAGGCAACAAAGAAGAGTAGATGCGACACGCCGTGGACGCCAGGGCCAATCTGGTCAACTATTCGCGAACAGGGCTAGTCTGTCTGTCAACTGTTTGCTCCGACAATCATGCCTCTATCAGTACGGAGTATGTACGCCGTGCGAATTCCTCCGTACACAGATCTGAGTTCGTACAAGGACACCCCAGTACGGTCGCAAACCACATTCCCGGATGGCAGCGGTTGTGCCCTTGTGGCCCGTTTTCAGGCGGGTCAAGCATCCTGGCCTCACCAGACCTCTGGCTGGCTCGCTTTCTTGACAAGGATGCCATGGATCATGGAGGCATGTGCCGTCGCCTGCCTCGCAGTCGCCCGTCGCCACAAATGAGATCTGTCACTTCTGGCCCAAATACTTTGTGCTGCAAAGCCTGCAAGTGCCCTGTGAAGGCGCTCGCTGGCTTTGGGCCCGACCCAGCCCCCCCCGGCAAATCTGCCAATACAGCCGCTCGAGGCACAAGCGATTTGCTTTTTGTACGGATAATTGCAACGGCTGCTCCGTAATGACTTCTGCTAACAACAGCTCCCTTGGACCATTCCTGTACCATTCCAACGCGGCTGACGACGGAACACGACTGCTGTCGCCTCCCAATCCATGCTCCTGCTGACGACGGACAGCTTGTCTTTTGCACTGGATCGAGCCCTGGTCTCCATCAGGCTTTGTCGTCATTCTCCTCCTCGGGCAACCGTCTACTTGGGCAGCTTCCTTTGGTGCAGCATTGTCCTGGCGCAGCATCGACCAGCTACTTGTCCTGTCACCACATCGACCAGCTCCTTGTCCTAGCACAGCGACCAGCTACTTGTCCTGGCACAACGATCAGCGTCTTGTCCCAACAACACAGCATCGACCAGCTGCTAATACTTGGTCCTCCCACTCCTATGAAACGAGTGGCTCGCCCATCTGCTTGCCGTTCATACTCATGATCCCATGCTTTCTTGGGAACCCTCAGCCGCGTCCGCCTTTCCCGCCGTCCCGCCACGACGGCGGCCACCTGTCTCACAACCTACGACGCCTCCAACAACCGCGTGTTGCCCGACCAGTACAATTGCTGCATTCGGTGGACCAGCACGTTACTCTTTACGCAATCACTTGACTGTTTGACTACCAGAGACATCTATTTCCCCGAAATCTGTGAGACGCACGCTAGACAACGGCTTCCAAACCCTGTCTCTCTTGTGGCTCATCACCGTCTCAGCCATTCGCAAACTCGGTGACGCCTCACGCGCCTTGCCAGGGAGTGGCCCGCTCCCGTCTGCCGTTCATTACCTTCATGTATGTCTTGTTGTGCGCATTATTAGGAATCCACCTCTGCCTGCACACTCGCACCTTCATCCTTTTTTCCCGCACTGGTCCACCGGCCTTTGCGAGTTGTTGCAGGCTCGAATTTGCTTTTGCTGCCGACTGGGGCTCCTTCCTCACAACGCCCGTTCGTTACTCGCTGAACCCAGACCAACTCCCCGCACGACCCTGCTCAAGACTCCCACCGCATCCTCGCCCGACGTTGGTGATTCGCAGATCAGAATTTGCATATAATTGCATCGAGCCCTCGTCTCTTGGACTCTGCCACATCTCGTATCTGCATACCAAAGCGCGAGTCAACTTCATGTCTGCATGCAACCGTCGACGCTTTACCCGTCTACAACGCTGCCTCGACACCTTCAAAGCCGACAACAGCACTACTACTGGCTACAGCTGTTTGTGAGGACTTGCAGTTCTCTCCGATACAAATCTCCAGTTTCCCTCTATATGAATAGCGGGGAAGCGCATCGTCGTGTGCTGTAGATTTTCACGCGTGTGATTCTGCCCATGGGAAGCAATGCAGCCTCACTCGCACAATGACCGGCCACACGACCGACGACAACCTCCCCATTTTTCGTCATCTTCAACACCATCAAATCAACAGCGCCCAGTGCTTCCGCCTCCAGATAGCCTCCTAGCAGGCGCACCGAGATATTCTTCCTCCATGCATGGCCTGCCGCAGGACCAGCGTCATCATGAAGCTCGCGGTGGGATGCATCCCATGGCGCCGCCGACTGGATCGGCATATCGCGTTCAACACCCAGGACATGGCCAAGATCAATTTCACCAACAATATGCTCCCCAGACTCTTCATACACATCACCAAAGGCCGTATGGTGGACCGGAGTCGCATGGACAGCAGCACTTCTCCAGGCCCCCCGAACACCAAGCCAACATACCGCAGCAGACAGCCCACAAAACAAGGTCGTCTTGGGTACCAAATCTCCTTGGGCCAGATCGCGAGCCTCACATAGACGCCATGATGTTCAGCCTTGAGGTGCGCCAACAGCCACGAGCAGCTCGCGCCTGCGGCTTTGGAGACCGGGACAGACGAGTCATCGACCCGCCGCCAATAGTGCAGCTCAAAGTTGACGGACCCAGTCTGTCCGAGGAAGAGAGGCGAACATATCTACGATATCCAAACTATGTGATGAACTGCTCCATCTGGGATGAATCAGGGTTTCGAGATGCGTCGTACATGCCTGACGAGTACAATCATCAACGCCGGCTCATGGGCTCATTGGTGGGGACGCCGTTTGTCGGGGATGATGATCGAGGTGAAGAAGGTTGTTTCTTTTGCTTTTCTGATCTCTCTTGTCGAACGCCCGGCGCATTTCGATTGAAGTTTACGCTCATCATGATTGATCCCGCCCGCGCCGCCGTTCTCCGACATTTCCCAATTCTCACCGAAATCAAAACGGATATATTCCAAGTTTTTAGCGCGAAAGAGTTCCCAGGAATGGTTGCGAGTAGCTCTCTCGCCAAGAAACTCAAGGAACAGGGATGCATCATATCGATCAAAAAGGGCAACGATAGAGGAAGGCCGCGGGGGGGAGACGGCCGATCAGACGACGAGGATGAATGAATGAAAACAGTACTCTGATAGGCTGAAGAGGGGGAAAGGCATCTCGGCGTTTATTGACCGATGGTATAATTTTTATGGGATTCAAAGAGACGGGGGGGGCAATGGTAACGATATAATATGGCAGCAGCATGCTGGGGTTGGCGTGGAGGGCGGTTTGTGATATTTTTGGGCACTCGGAATTCTTGTTCTCATTCTTTCTACTTTATCTATATACCCTATTACAGACTCAGCTTGACTAAGATGGGAGAAGCATCACTGCTCCGCATATCTAGCTCATATACATTGAATGGACTTTTCGTCGCAACATGCACTCGATCCTGGGGGGCTTATCCAAGTGCCAGAGGTCTTGATGCTGCACTTTTTTTTGGGCGTAAGTGCTGCACATTGCTGATCCCTTGGTGGAGGAGGGATGGGAGGGATGACCACGGGAAGGCCGCCGATGCTTCCCGATGAAAAGGCGGGATATAATTGAGGGCCTCGGTATACCTGTAGCTATTAATATGCATTACAGTATATGCCGATCTCGTACAGGTGGCGTATAATTTGGATCTCTTCTGCACAGCTACCCTGTTCAAGTGGCGAGCGGGTATATCTCGTGTAAAGAGATATAGTGCAGACTAGCTGTCAGCTTAATAGTACGTGAATATATTTTTCTACGGTTCGGTGGTTTGGCGCCTCGACTGCTGCTTGGTGCTTTGATGGTCGATTCGGCAAAGCCTGGGCAGAGTGTGCGCTGGTTGTTGGAGGTGGAGGTGAAGCAAAATGCGACTACAGGAGAAGAGTGACACATACGGTCAAAGCGATGCAGACACGGCTACCAGGTTGCCGTGCTTGGGTAAGAAAATGACGAGTGCGTGATACTGGGAGGGAGCATGGTCGGGGATCGAAGTACGTCACCAGGAAACGTGCACAGTGTGATGTCTGCGTGGCAAGATACTCGGGATACTCACTGTCGGTACCGGGACGCGGGACAACCACCAGAAGGATACAAACATGGGGATTTCCTCGCCAAGATGATCTATCGACTCTGTACTGGTCGGAGTATTGGATTACAGCTGCGGAACTGGCTCAAGTGTGTGACGTCGCTGGTAGTGTTGGACAGGCACTCATGCAGCTTGGAGCGAAGTATTTGTTTGGGGAAGCACCTTGCACTACAATGTGTAGCATAGCACGGAGTAAGGACAGCAGCCAAGAGTGCGAATTAACGTGATCGAGAGTATTCGATACCGATGATCATCTCTGGTGGATGCAATGACGAGAAGCTGCACGGGCATGCAGTGGTATGTTGTTGTTTGTTTGGGTTGGCGATATGCTCGGGCAGGAAGACTTTTGGTAGTTGGGATGCAGCGGCTATTGATTGGAGGAGCAGGCGAAGACGAAGGAGCTGAAATGTGTGAGAGGTGTCAAGTGTTTCAAACAAACAAGAAGCGGCGAGTTGGGAGCAACATGGTGGTGGGTGTCGCAGTGGCGCGTAGTGGTACGTGCAAGACCATCTGTAATAGGGAGGCAAGGAGGTTATCGGTAATCCGTAGATAGGGAGGGATGTGACGGCTGTGACGAGCAAGGCAGGAAAGAGGAATAATGCCGCAGTATTTATTTGACCAGGTGCATTCATTTCCACATTTGCGCGTTGCACAATGAAAGACATGGGCTGAGCGAGCTCACCAGGAAATGTGGAAAAGAGAGGGAGGCGAGGCGTGGAGTGATGAGTTGATGAGGGATGCAGATGAGGCGCTGTATGGTTTCATGTTGTAGCGAAGATATATTGACGTGGAAAGAACAAAGAAAACGGGCTGGTGGTGGTGATGACAGCGTAACACAACGAGGTCCAAGAGCGAAGCAAGCCCGCCACGCAGCCTGAATTGGGGGGCAGCTGTGCTGTGAGGATCCGGGCTGCCGGGGCCGAGAGCAGCGAAGGCCTTTTTATTCATGAATCTACCAGGGTATTTGAATCATGACAGCGGACACGGACATCAGAAGCCAACAATGCCGATAGTTAGCAGGGGGCAAACAATGGGAGGGAAACAATGGAACAAGCAAGGGGCAGGGGGGGATTTCGTTTTTTTTCTCTTCCATTTTTCTGGCCCTGGGCACAAACCCAAAAACAGCCACCAACAATTCCAGAGCCACAGTTAGCGTGTTTCATGGGCACCATTACCCAACCGTCTGGTGTGGCTCGCCCAAGAAGAGGAAGAAGACGGCGGAATTGGGGCCATGGATAAGGAAGGGCCAGAAAGGGCCAGTCAGACGAGAGGAAAAAACCAAGATGACCCCCATACTTGGATCATATGTCGATTTAGCGTTTGCTTATGCAGTGTTCAGGAACGCATAATGCATAACATGTCATCTTGGCTAGCGGATCTGTCCAAGACAGCCTGGACAGGAGAGACAGGGTGAGAATTTTTTATTTCGGTTTTCAGCTGTCCTCCGGAGTTACAGAGTGATGAAATGCAAGCCAATCCCATTCAGCTCGTAGTATCTTTGGGGCTTGGCTACAATTCCGCTGTCGTGTAATTTGTAGTAGGACAGCCATGTTATGTCCTCGCCCGACCCCTGGAAGGTTTTTTTTGGCGCTGGGCCGGATCAGTGGGCCAGCTGTGGGCGGCAACCCTTGTTTCAGATCGGGTCTTTCTTTTTTGTCTTGACGAGTTCCGAGTTCGAGATGGATTATTATTATATTAGTTGGATTAAACTATTTTGTTATTTTGTTTCTCTCAACTCGCTAGGTTGAATTGTCAGTGGACTCGCTCCATGTACTCGTACGTGCGGCATAAAGTGGCTTTCCACCGACAACCGAACAACCACCTGTCAAAAGGCGGTGCGGAAATCTGCCGCAGCACCTGACGCCAGGTACCAGGCACCATCTCGGCGCGATGAGGCTAGATTCCGGTTAGTCTTGGGCTCTGCAAGTCAGCAGCATCGTCGCACCATGGCCCTGCCCCTGGACCGACCGTCCATGGTGGCCCTAGTGCGTTGAACTGGTCGACCAATCAGGATGCCAATGTGCCTCGTTGGCGATTGCAAGAACAAGAACAAGGGATGAGGAGAATGGACGAGAAGAGCGAGAAGAGGGCTTTGCGTGGGCGAGCCCGTGCATGTCCCCACGAGAGCGCGCGTGTGCGACCAACCCAGTACATACCTACCTACTGTAGGAGTGGTGCCCTTGAACAGCACACATATTCATGCACAGGAAACGAAACAAACGGAGCAAAAGAGGGCCTTGCTTGCTCCTCCACGATGGGCATTGATGAAATTCGTCCAGTCCCGAGTTGGCTTGTCTCGAATAAATGTCCCCCCCCCCTCTCATCATCGATGGATCGTCGTTGACCGCGACGGAATCGTTACCCTGTAAAAAATGGAACGAGACGAGGCTTGATAGTTACTATGAAAAGAGTTGTTTGCAGCGCCCGGCGCCAAAATAATCATACTAGGTAGGTATGTACCCAGCAAGTTTGAGTATCAAGGACCAAACACAACCCCGACTGCAATATCGGCAGCCCGCAGTCTTGATGGGCAGCTCTCCGTCGAGAGGAAAAAGGAAATATACTAGAATTACCAGAATAAAAGCTGCAGCATTCTCCGATTCTTAAACACACCAGTCACCCAAAAAGTCACCCCTGCATCTCGTGTCAGTGTTCTGCAGCTTGCTTGCATCCATTCATTCACAGCTCACAGCCAACCCGCTCTAGCCTCTGAGCAGCCCTCTGAGCCGCCTCCTTCCCCCACCAGCCACTGCGCGCGGTTCCCTTTTTTAATACTCACCTCCCCCCCTCCCAATCACGGTCTTTTTCTTTTTTTTCTTCTTCTTGACTTTTCCTTCAACCGTTTCTTCGTTGCATTTCTTTCCTTCCCTCACCACCCTCCTTTCCGTGACAAGCTGCTGGACACTTACCCTCCTTTTTTTGCCTCTTCCCCTCGACTCTTTTCCAAGCAGCCAACTCGCTGTTTGTTACTCTCCTTTCTGCGTCACCCCTCGCACGCCAGTCCGTGTGATTCGTCCTCGCCCAGCTTCTTCTCTTCTTCTCGATAGACTTACCGCTTGCTATCTTTCTCTCTTGTCATTCTTCCTTTTTTGATGCTCCGGTAACACCAACCTATCCTCCCGAAACCCTTGTCTCCCGACTCACACGTCCAACAACTCTCGCATTTCTGCTCTGCCACTCTCGAATATCAGTCACAATGAAGTTCACCACCGTCGCCGCTTTGACGTCTCTCCTGAGCGTCACCGCCGCCGCCAAGGACAAGCGTACCTTTGCTGTCCTCCACTTCACCAACAAGCAGCTCACCATTGCTCGCGCCGATCCCATTGTTACCCCCGGCAAACCCTCGTCTCACGTTCACCATGTTCTCGGCGGAAGCGGCTTTGGTCTTTCATCCACTGGAGAGGATCTCAAAAACTCAAAGTGCAGTACTGCAAAGGTCAAGGGCGACAACTCCAACTACTGGTTCCCCTCGCTCTACTTCAAGGACCCCAAATCCGGCAATCTCGAGTCCGTCGAGCTCTTCTACGCCAATGTCTACTACTTCTTCGAAGCCACCAACGACGATATCAAGGCGTTCCCCATGGGCCTGCAGATGTTCACTGGCGATCCCACTACCCGCTCACCTCCCACGGCCGGCGCCAAATCAAACTTTGACCCTTCCAAGGGCCCCGTCAACGGTATCAAGTGGACCTGCCCTCGCAAGGACCTAGACCGACCTGGCTGGCCCGTCAACTCCAAGGGCCTCATGGCCGGCATGCAGGACCCCCAAAACAAGGGAGAGGGTGTCGGCTTCCCTGATGTCGAATGCGACGGCTATGCCTCGCCCCTCCGTGCCGATGTTCACTTCCCCTCTTGTTACAACCCTCAGGCCGGCCTGACCGACTACAAGAACAACATGGCCTGGCCCCAGGACAACAACGGCAAGGCTGACTGCCCCAAGGGTTGGATTCACGTCCCTCACATCTTCTTTGAGGCGTACTGGAACACACCTGCTTTCTCTGGACGCTGGGAGCAGGGCAAGGGCCAGCAGCCTTTTGTCCTTGCCAACGGTGATACCACCGGTTACAGCCTGCACGCCGACTTCATGTCCGGCTGGGATGAGCCCCTTCTTCAGCACATCATCGACACTTGTGATACTGGCACCTCTGGTATGGAAAACTGCGCCGGCCTCTTTTACGGTCAGAACAAGGATGAGTGCACCATTGAGTCGCCCGTCGCTGAAACGGTCGTTGGCACCATGCCTAACCTGCCTGGAAACAACCCCCTTACTGGATGGTCGTATGGCGCCGGCGATGGTGGTCAGTCTCCCCAGCCTAGCCAAGGCCAGTCTTCCAGCGCCGCTGCTGGTCCCAGCAGCAGCGCGTCTTCTGCCCCTGCCTCTTCGGCCCCTGCCTCTTCTGCTCCTGCTTCCTCTGCTCCTGCTTCCTCTGCTCCTGCCTCTTCGGCCCCCGCCTCTTCGGCCCCCGCTTCCTCTGCTACCGAGCCCCCTAAGACTTCTGAGGCAACTCCCAAGCCCACTTCCCCCTCCGAGTCTGGCTCTCCTATCAAGTCGAGTGCGTCGTCTCAAACCAGCGGTGCCCCTTCGCCCACCCTCTCCGGCGCACCTGTTAGCTCTGACCAGTGCAAGCCCGCGACTGTACACACCATTTACAGGACTGTCACCGTCACCGGCAGCGCCCCTGCCAGCACCAGCACCAGCGGCGCTGGCGCTGATGTTGGCGGCTTCAAGTATGCTGGCTGCTTCAAGGACACTTCGAACCGCGCGCTCAATGGCAAGGTTCGCCCTAACATCGGCAGCATGAGCAATGAGAAGTGCGTCGCTGAGTGCAAGAAGCTTGGCTTCTCCGCCGCCGGTACCGAGTACGGTGGTCAGTGCTACTGTGGCAACGAGCTCGAGAGCTCGGAGCGCCTCGAAGAGTCCGCTTGCAACGCCGCCTGTGAGGACAATGCCTCGTCCATGTGCGGTGGCAGCTGGGCTTTGTCTGTCTACAGCGAGACTGGTGAGGTCAGCATGAAGAACTCCCAGCGCCGCCGCCACATGCACGATCACATGAAGCGCCGCTCTGGCCGTTTCTAAACGAGAACGTGTTCATTGGCTACAGTACGGCAATGACATGTGTTGTGACACATCTCTGATCTTCATCTTGGATATTGATTTATTGTGGATTTGGGCAATAAATACAAAATTGGATTCTCGATTGCTCATTGGAGCAATGGCACGTACAATTTTGAAGGTTCAAAAATTTGACGTTCGCATTGTACTATGACACTTATGACTTATTCTTCTGCGTCACTTGGGTTGTTGACCCAAGCTAAGACGAGCTCTCTGGGCATTTTTGGACACAAGATTTTTAGCATGGCATTGTATGGGGGCCATTGGCGGGTATATAGAAGATTTAGCAATTGCACTTTTTCCCGCATTTATCAGATGTGTTATGCCATGTAGTTTATCTTGGTGAAGGACGGTTGTGACTTACACGGCTGCTGCCCGGTGCGGTGTGGGGCCAGCACGGCTAATTGCATTCATTAAGTTTTCAGTGCCTGGTGCTACTGACACTCATTTCATCCATTGTCATCGCCTGTGCACCTCACCTTGTTACCGCTTCACTGCTCCTCGTCGATTTTTCTTAGGGCAGTAGTCAGCTGTGCAATGTCCCTCTACCACGAAGCCGCCGAGATACTGGTTGCCTCCTCCACCGAGGGCGGCAGTCTCAAGTCGAGGATTTTCGGGCGCCGCAACATCAAGTCAACACCGGGCCAACTTTACGCTCTCGTATTTGAAACCTCTAAATGGAGTCTGGTGCTGAAAGAAGTCATTGATGCCTCGGAAATCTTATCAATAGAGAAAAAAGTAAGAATTCTCCCGCTAGAACAACCTTTCGCGGATCAGCGGCAAAGAAGACTGTCGGCTAATTTTCTTGAAGCTCACACCCATTCTTTCGCTTCTGCTGGCGCATGACTTGTTATTAGCAAAGGGCGGCGTTGCTCTTCCCAAAACTCATGGTCTGAGAGTAACTATTGAGAAGCACAAGGCGCGATTGACGTCAGAACTCACACGCGCGAGGCTGCGTCGCAAGGCGCCAACGATGGAGGCTCTCAAGGAGCAGGTTGATCGCGCGGCCGCCGGTGAGGAGGCGCAGATTCCGCGCTGGGTTCGCATTAACAGCATTAAAACCACGATAGAGGACCAGCTCAAGACCACCTTCAAGGGCTACGACCAAGTGACCACTATTCAGGAGGTTCTCGCGCCGTCTACGACGCCCACGGGTGTCAAGCAACGCCGGATCCTCATCGACCCGCACATTCCCAATCTCGTGGCCATTACGCACGGCATTGACTTGTCGAAGACGGAAGCTTACCTATCCGGCAAAATCATCTTCCAAGACAAGGCCTCCTGCTTTCCTGCCTACCTCCTCGATCCGCTCCCCGAGGATGGTGACATCGTAGATGGCTGTGCAGCACCGGGCAACAAGACGACGCACTTGGCCGCTATTTGCCATGCCAGGAGGCCCGATTTTGAGACGTCAGATGCCCAAAAGATTTTTGCGTTTGAAAAGGACAAGCGTCGCTCGCAGACCCTGACGAAAATGGTCAAGATTGCCGGTTCCCAGGGCTGGACGAGGGTTGGCTTTGGGCAGGACTTTTGCCAGGTCGACCCGACGGGGACGCAGTTTGCCAAGGTAGGTGCGCTTCTATTGGATCCGAGTTGCTCGGGTAGCGGTATCGTGGGCCGCGACACCATGCCGGAGCTGCATGTACCAGAGGCGTCACCGGCCTTGGCATCCGGCAAGATGGACAAAGCGAAGGGGAAGGCGACTGATGGAAAGGAGGAATTGAGCAAAAAGAGAAAATTGGACGACATAGAAGCCCACCAGAACAGCGTCATGATTGATGATGAAGGCAACGAAACAGTTGTCGACTCTGAAAAGGACCTCGAGGCACGACTACAGGCTCTTTCTGGATTTCAGCTCAAGATTCTATTGCATGCGCTCACATTCCCGGCCGCAAAAAAGGTGACATATTCGACCTGCTCGATACACTCGCAGGAAAACGAAGACGTGGTCATGAAGGTGCTCGGATCCGACCTTGCCCAGAGACGCGGTTGGCGCATCATGAGGCGCTCCGAGCAAATACGGGGCATGCGCGATTGGCCGGTGCGCGGACTTAGCGAGAGCTGCGGCGGGGATTCCGAAGTGGCCGATGCCTGTATTCGCTCCTACAAGGGCGACGGACACGGCGTCATGGGCTTCTTTGTGGCCGGGTTCGTGAGGGATGGCAGCCAAGACGAGGAGACGGACCCGGATGGGCCGTACCTGAGGGACGAGAGCGGCCTGATTATGCGGGACATGACTGGGATGCCGTACCTGAAAAAGACGGGCAGGCCGGTCGCGTTGCTACCGAGGGACGAGAGCGAAGCGGAAGACGAGGATGAAGATGAGGATGACGACGAAGATGAAGATGAGGATGAAGACGAGGAGGAGGAGGCGGCCGAGATGGACCCGGACGAGTCGTATGTGAGGGACAAGGCGGGCCGGATTCTTCGGGACGATGATGGGATGCCGTTTTTGAAGAGAAAAAGTCAGCCGGGGGATCTGGTGGTGGTGAGGGAAACTGATGAGGAGGATGAGGATAGCGGAGAGGACGAGGATGAGGAGGAGGAGAGCCAGGATACTGATAGTAGCAGGGATGGTGGGGAGCATGATGATGATAAAGACGGAAATGAGGACACAGAAGACTGGAGTGGATTCGATGATTAATTCTACGGACTACAACATGTAAAGACTTGCATTTCGGGTTCAGCGAGCACATAATGGATGATTTCGTGGTCAACCTTGCTGTTCACATCTTTGTCGCGTGAGCGGACGGCACGGTGCAACCACAACCTGAAATAAAACACATAAAGCGTGGAGGAAAGTCGATACTCTGCTATCGCACGCAGTACGTATTTTTACCATTTTATTTTCCTTTGTTGCTTAAAGTGCATCTGCTCACGGTGTTGGCGCGGCAAAACATCGGGCCCCGCGGTGACGATGGCACGGCGGCCCACTCACAGTGGATTACGGCACATGTGTCCTGCCAGGTCCGGATCTGCCATCATCCATCATCAACTTTCAAACAACATTATTGCCCACCGCGGCTCTATGTGACGCCGACGAGAACATTGCGGCACGATGCGCCGAGCGAATCTATTATTATTGGCGGTATCCAGTCTCTGCGAAGCCAAGCCTCATAGTTTTAGCATCCATGAGGATGTCCTGGCGCATCCAGAGGTATGTCCAGCTGTGGGCCAGTCCAGCGGCAACAACGACCATATCAAGGGATCGGGTGGCGCACTAACAAATGTCTTGTTGCAACGATTTAGTTTGAAGTCGTCTTTGGGAAAACTGTAATTTCCGAAAACGACGCGAACTTGCTCGTCCAACACTCGGCTCAACATACAGAAAAGTCGCAACCGACCTCGGCCGCCAGCGGGCACGGCAAGGACGATGACGAGCCACCACTATACACATACGAAATGATCAACATGGGAGACTACCGAGCAATCTGCTCAATACCCGTCATTGAGCCCTCGCCGGCCGAGAACAAGACGGCGACGGAGCTGGCCAAGGCAGAGGAGGCACGCGAGGAAAGCCGTGCCGTAGCTAGTGGATGGGAGCTCATCGCTGACCTCGAGGAAACATGCCTATACTACGTCTCAGGGTGGTGGAGCTACTCGTTTTGCAGAAATACGGAGATTGTGCAGTACCACGCGCTGGCGAGCAGTCCTAAGGGCCAGCCGCCGAAGCGCGACCTGCACTCACCAGAGTACGTGCTTGGCAGGGTGCCCAGGATACCATCACAGTCGCGGAGCACGGACCAGGCTACCATGGACAGCGAGATGGACCTGATCCCGGCCGAGATTCAAGAAAAAGGCAAGCAGAGGTTCTTGGTGCAGAAGCTCGAGGGCGGCACGATCTGCGACCTAACGGAACGAGAGCGCACGATTGAGGTTCAATACCACTGCGTTCCCGGACTCCAGGCTGATAAGATCAGCTGGATCAAGGAGGTGACAATTTGCGCCTACGTCATGGTGGTTGATACCCCGCGACTATGCAATGACGCTGCGTTTTTGCCTCCCGAGCCGACGCAAGCCAATACCATCACCTGCAACTTGGTGTCTGACGAACCATCGCTCTTGTTGGATTCGAACTCGGATATTCCTGAGACTCTAGAAGACAATGACAAGGAGGAGACTGGCGAACCTGTCGGAGGCGCAGAAGCTGTCGCGGCGGCAGCGGCCACGGCACTGAAGGAGCTTTTGCGAGACACAGGGGGCAAATTCAAGGGCAAGCGAGCTGTAGTCGGTGATATCACGGTTGGTTCGCGCAGCATATTGTCGGTGGGAGACGAGGCAGGCCGAGCGCCTTTTAAGCTAACGCCACCACGAAGCTTCATGACGACGGGTCTTGCGCAGGAGCCCAAGCTGCAGGTCATTGTCGCTCAGGGCGCCAGCGTCCAAGACGGCGGCGCGGTGGAGTCGCTGTCGCGCGAGGAGCTAAAGAAGCTGGAAATTGATCCGGAAACAGTCAAGGACATGGCTGCGCAGGTTCAGAAGCTGGCGGGTGACAACGGGTGGAGGCTGGAGGTGTCCGAGTCCGGTCTGGCAGGCGTGCGCGAGCTCAAGGGCTACATTGACGAAGACGGGGACGGAGATGAGGCGGTGGAGAAGAAGGCGAAGATGCAAGCGAAGCAGAAACGGACCACGAGTAAGGAAAAGGCCAAGAAGGAGAAGAAGACGCAAGTCAAGGGCGACGGGCACAATAGGCCTGCACCTCTGACACAAGAGGTAGAAGAAGCAGGAGGAGAGGTCCCCAACGAAGATATTGGGGAGGAGGAAGGCAGCCAGGAGATATTCTACAGAGATGAGCTCTAGTACGCCAAGTATTACAAGTATATCCGCTGGACTGGCAGACTCGTGGCGTTGTTCAGCCTTATACGTTCTTTTCTTATTGCCCTGCGACTTGTCCTGCAACTGTTTGGAGTACAAATTCTAGTACAAATTAGACTGTAATGGTAGCAAAACACGATGGTATCTGTAATAAAGAGGAGTTTCTCCATTCATCAACAAGCTCCAGTCCTTTTTTAATAATTATGAGTGGAATTTGGTGGCGGGCGGCGGGGCGGGTTTCTTCCCCGGAAAGATGAAACGGGCCGTGATTGGGTCCCGTGTCGGCGGTGCGGGTGGAGATGCACGGCATTGGCCAGAGTTGTGTGTGGCTGAATGATTGCTTTTTTTTTTTTTCATTTCAAGGGAAAAGGGAAGAGGCGGGTTGAGGATTGTGGTGCTGTGGGAAACTGATGCTGGTGCTGAAGCTGTGGTTGAGAAATACAACGTTGCCGTCGTATCCAGATGCCATAGGTACGTAGGTACTGTGGGACGAGGACGCTTTGACAGACTGGGATACAGACGTTGGCTGACTCGAAAATAGTTGCATGCACAGTCCTGGTTGAGAGACGGCACGGACAGAAAATTGATTAGAGAGCTTCTTGCTCAAAGGGTGTCTATATGTCAAGTCAAGCCAAAGTTGTAATGTGGATAGCACATCAGGTCAGCAGCTCTGTTGGCACTGTAACTAAATTGAAATATGCAGTGCAAAGTAAAGTTTAGTAGTAGTAACCAACCCCTGATGACCCATTCATTATTGGTGCAACCTTGATTGGCAGCATCTTCCATTGCCGCAGTTGCCGCGGCATCGATTCGAGGAACGGCGTTTGACATGAAACGAAGAATCATCTTGAAAACTCACTATAGACTTACCCAAGCATATTAATTTAGAAGAGTTCATGATACATAATCCACTATAGCGCTTGTAAAGTGTTGTGGGGTGCGGGGTTATATCTAGGTAGTTGAGTCGTCGCGATTTTATGAATCGTCGATACACTGAAGGATCGAATCCCCGAGCTTCGAGCAACAGCTCATCGACAGCCCAGGAACTTTTGGTTTGGAGAACCCAGAAATGGATGCAAAGCTGGACATCGCAGCTTCTTTGAATACGCTTTCAATGCGTCGGAGTCGAGGAAGCTGCTGGAAGCGCAGGACCATACCATGTGCAAAAGAACCACCGCCTCGTTCTTGAAAACATATGAGGACCTGGGTCCAAACATGGCAGCGGTGCGGTTGTGGCCGACGTTTATTCCTAGCGTTGGCCTTGACTCGGAGACATCTGACGAGTCCGGTCATGGTGTGCTCGAGATGGTTCAATTTTCAGTGGCAGGCATCGAGAGAGGGGAGCTCTGGACCATGGACCGCTTCGTGGACCTGATCTTGGGAGAGATTCCCCGACTACGGGACCACGTGCATGGCTATGGCCGAGGCTTCATGGAAAAGGGTCACCACAGCCATGCAGAGCGATGGAAAGACGACGTGGAGGTAGCCACTAGAGACGTTGTTGGTCAACTGAGGCGTACTCGGTAGTCGACTGAGAAACAAATGACGACTGGGGTTGCGCTAACTCATGATTTTCAGATACTGATAAGCTGCGGTGGCGTATTTTGATTTTTGTCAATAAGTGATTCCTGAAACAGGGTGAATGGGAGAGGCAAGGATATGACAACGGGCCATGGCACTAGTGGTGAAAAGGTTGAATGCGAATAGAGGAGGCCGAAGCAGCAGAGAGCAGGTTGAAAAGAAAGAATCAAATACTAAGGGATGATTATATACAAGATGTGGTTAGCACTCTCGAGTTAGCACTCTCGACATGTTTGGCTGACCGCCAGATTGACGAGTTTTCGTTGACGCCAACTACAGGTAGGTAATGTCTGAGATGTACCTAATGTACGGATGACTCCAGTTACAGTGGTTGCAGAAGCCGAGAAGCCATCGGCGAGGAGCCCCGGTCAGGCTGGACAGCGCCAGTATTCCAGGCCCTCTTTATTTTTAGTGCCCAAGCACCTGGGTCGACTTTGTGCCTGGCAAGTTGGCTGGGACTGCTGGGTCCCCACTAGCTGGCTTGAAGCTAACCCTGGGACTGGCTGGCTTGGACGGGCCGCTGCGCCCCCGCAGCGCTTTCCCCGTTGTGCTGCACCTCTCTGAAAATCAGAGTTCCAGCAGCTGTCATCACCACCTCACCAAACCAAGGAGGTTCCCAGCCATCCCAAATTTTTAATCGATTTCTATCATCACTATTTTATTTTTAGTCTATTTTCTTTTCTTTTCATGACCCCTGCACTTTCATGCCCACACCACAGTTTACATTATTATCCTTGCCTTTTTTTTCTCTTCCTCTCTCCTCCTCTCCCTCCCTCCTTTTTCGATTTCATATTATCTTCTAGTTATTTCTCCTTGTCAATATTGAACCACGTTGCGCCCCTTATCAGCCCTAACGTTTTCTGCTCCCGTTGGGTCAGAGGTCGTTCATTACAGGCAACGCACCCGCCTGCCCACACCACCACAGCAGCCCAACGGTGCGCCACAAAAACCAACTGTACTCCGTACATACAAACGCACAGCAAGCTTCATCCCTGGCGCAACAAACCACACCACCCGTCAACACAGTCGCCCTTTTTTTTATTCTGCATTCTTCCTGTCTTTATTTCTTTATTCTATTATTTCGTCTCACCCCACCCTCCAAACGAGACCAAGTCGCCTGCTTCCGTTGCTCTGGTACAACCACTTCTTCCGCCTGTCTCACGCCGCGATTCCTCCCTTCTTCGAATATCCGCTTCGCCTCGCCCTCATAACCACCGCCTGGGTTTCAAACACCTCGGATCCTTTCCTCGTCAATCGTCCCGTATCCGCTCGAAATCATAGGTCTATAATTATCCTCGCTTCCAACAATAGCCCCCCCGCCCACTATCACCATTGCGTGCCCAACGTCGCCGCCCCTAGCTACCAACATCCACCCTCCGAAACAAACAAAAACAACCGCCAAATCAATCTTCTTTGTCGCATGGGCTCGTCTCCGCGCAGGCGCAGAGATCCGCAACCATATCAACATTGACAGCTGCTTGCTGCGTCCGACATGCGCCCCTGCTCCTCTGCAAGCCCTGTCTGACCCATCTGCATCCTGCTCGACTGCACATCTGCATTCCATGGCATAGCCAGTCTCTGTTATTCTCGCCTCCTATTGATCCACTACGCCGCTGTGCTGCCGCCCTCAGTCGATCCGCTCCTCCTGTGCCCAAATAACTACCTGGACACAACTCACATAATGGACCCGTCCCTGTCCCAGTCTGGCCAGCGTCCACGACCCCCGTATCCGCGTGCTCCCTCGCGCGCCTCTACCATCGGCAGCAACACCCGCAGCGTGAGCAGCTCCAACACCTCGCACATGCAGCCCGCTTCGCCTGCCCAGTCCTTTTCCCACCCTCAGCGATTCCACTCCACCGCTGCCGCAGCATCGCCGCGATCGAGCTCCCGAGCCACACCCCAGCTGTCCCGCGAGGCCAGCGGCGAACTCACCCGCCCTCCCACCATGTCGACCTTCCTGCAGGAGAAGCTGCAAAAAGAACGCAGAGCTGAAAGCGAGAAGCTTGGCTCCTCTACCTCGTCACGACATAATCTCGATCTGAGCGCCTCCGTCGACCTCGGCCGCGCTGTCAACGATAGATCATTCAGATCTTCCGACTATGAGCCCCAACGGCCACAGTCCAGCGCCGGCATGGAGCCGGCCAAGAAAAAGGGCCTGGGCCTTAAAGAGATGGAGCAGGCCGTCTCCTCCCTCCACAAACAAAACTTTGACTTGAAACTCGAACTATATCATCGCCGCGAGAGACAGACCAAGATGGAAGAGCGCCTCGAAGCCCTCGAAGCTGAACAACACGACGCTCAGAAGTTGTCGGAAAAGCTGCTGTCAGATTTGGACAAGCGTGACAAGGCCATTGAGGAAGCCGTTAGTATGATTATTGAGCTCGAAGCCAAGGTCGACCAGCTGCTTAAAGAGCGCTCCATGGTCCAGCACGTCGAGAGCCAGGGATTCTACGCGTCAACCGAGGCTTTCGAAGAGTATAACGACTCAATAGCCAACTCGTCCGCTGTGGACCTGACGCAGCTCAAGGATCGCTCCAAGACGCCCACTGTCAATCGCATGCCCAGCTTCCTATCCGATCACAACGCAACCACCGAGAATCTGAGAAACGTATACATTGGAAACCGCGCTAGCATCATGAGCCTGCGATGTGTATCCGGCGGCTACTCGGAAGCTGATAATGCCATGATCAACGGCTTAGCCAGCCCCACCCTAAGTGTTCTCAGCGAGAGTTCTTTTGTTAGCATATACGGTCAAAAGGGCGGCGATACAACCGTCGTCCCTGACTTTGATGAGCCCATCGCACTGAGCGGCTTTGACGGGAGCTCTCCACTGATGTCACAAGAATCACCCCCCAAGGCCCAAGGGAACAACAACCATTTGCTCACTGCTAGATACCAACAAGATTATAGGCCCGCTACAGTAAAGCCCGTCAAGGATGGGTTGAGCTACGACTCATCGCTGCGGCAGCTGGAGAGAAGGGACCCTGGACCGCGCCCTGGCGCAGCAGATGCTCCCCCTCACCACATCGTGCGCAGTAAGGAATCTGGCAGCCAACACCGTACTAGTGGACACGGCTCACCTGCCCGCCGATCCATCAAGGAGGAAAAGAGAGCTGCACTGAGGAAAGTAGTGACGGACACTGGCGGTGTTCGCCTAAATGACCAAACAATGCCACCGACGCCAGATACCATCTCATCGTCGACATTGCAACGGTACAAGAACTCCAACGACGACCTCTCTGTGCGTCACCAAACATCAAACGAGAGACAAAGAATCTCGTCAAACGAGTCAAGGCAAACGCGAGAGCTTCAGGGCACGGAACAAAGCGGCGGCGTGTCTCTATCGCAAAAGGAAGCCCCTCGCAACGCACGCAATCCGCGGCCTGACGCCGACCCAATGCCTAGCTACGATCCGTACGGCGCCAAGAACATCCCCCGACCACGCTCAGCTGGCGATACGACAATTTCTCACAAGCGTAACCACTCCTGGGACAGTGACGACTCAGACACCAAGTCGCTACAGTCTAGCCTAGACATCTGGATGCGCGAGAGCGGCAAAGCTCCCAAGACCGTGGACCGTGCTTCTCCAGACCTCTTCGGTTTCCCGACGAGCATGGCCAACGGCGGCTGGGCCGCCAGCTCCCTCTTCGACCCTAAGCAGAGGCTCGGCGCCATGCCCGGCACAGACTACATGCACGACTTGCTGTCCTTGCGGGAGGCTCTACTGTCGCCTAACCTGCCGCCTCCGCCGCCTCCTGACAGACGCTCCAGCCTGCACAGCCAGGGACGGTCCGCCTCGGCCATGCCCACGGTTGACAAGCCGCTCGCCACTGAGGGCACATGGCAGCCGCCGCCGCCATCCGCCGCCGACGCCGAAGCAGCCCGGAACCGCCGCAATAGCGACGCGGCTGATCTCCGATCCAGCACTCGCACACCCGTCCAGAGCGAACACAAGCGAGGCAATAGCACCGCTAGCACCAACCAACAGCATCCGCCCATCTCGTGGCAGCAGGGCCCTCGCGCCGGCCTCAAGGGTCTCTTCCGACGCTCCCTCCCCGGTAGTGGCGGGCCGCCAGCTGCGTCCTCGCCCGCCAAGCCCGATTGCTTTACCGGTGCGCAAGAGACAGAAACAGCTTCATCATCAGGATGGGCATCGCGCAGCAGTGCCGCCGCGCAGGACTGCGACCGCACCGGGGCTACACCCCCACCGATTATGCTCAACAACCCACGACATGCGGCCCGGCGTAGCTCCGTCTTGGCCGTCGCATACGATGGCGGTGCGCCGGCAGCGCCGGCCATACCGACCGATGGCCAGTCGCTCCCGGCGGCCGACGCCATGTCTCAGCACAGCATCCCTCATTCGCAGTCGACGATGGGGACGCGGCGCAAGTGGCTGCCTGGCTTTTCGCGCAACAAGGCATGAGTATAACAAAGCATACAATACAGAGTACATTTTCAGCGCTTCCACAAGCAACATTTTTTTATCTAGTACCTCATTATCCGAGCATTCATCACTCAAGAACATCATTAGCGTCAAAGCTCTTTTTTATCTGGCTGTAACAGCACCAAGGAAGGGCGTTTGTCTTCATCATCGTTAGGTACAAAATTTTGTTATCAATATCATTGTTTGAGCATTTCTTTTCCATTATCATTTTGCATTACCGTTATCCAGGATAGGAACATTATCATTTTGCGTCACCATTATCCAGGATAGGATCAGAGCAAGGAGACCCGGTTTGTTTTCCATAGTATTCTTTCCATGCTGTCAGATTGGTGTCGGATTATTAACAGAATGCAAACTCTTGTTGGAGTCTAATACAAGTCCTACACAGACTCGTGCTGTAAAGCTCTGTGGCTTATACACTACCTATACATGACGTGGGGCGTCAAGGACGCTCATGTACACACATCTCCCGCATAGATTCGAACAGAAATAAAAGTTGCCGTCGGAGCTCTTGACTTCGCCCGTATTCTGGTTAGTTATTAGGTGCTTAGGTTAGTGGTTACTTGTGTTTATGGTTGTGTTCTGGTGGTTAGTGGTGATGGTATGTACTAGTACAAGTCTTAAAACCTTACCTCCGTCAGGTCCATCCTGTGTAACCACTCCTCGGAAAGCAAACCATCTGCTTCACGAGAGTTCTTTATATATCCAGCAAGTAGACTACAATCCATCTACTTCAGTTCGTCGAGCCGCATACATAGTATCCTCGCTTCTTCTCTAACATGCCGCGATGAGTCCTTATAAGCGAGGAGCGCCAGCGCGTTGACGCCTACGAGGAAGCGCTACCCGTGCCCGCATTACTCTCTAGGGTAACCTTACTTATTTATTCTTACCTAACTTGTCCACACAGCGCGTTAGCTCTTCTCCCGCATCCCCTCGTCCTCCTCCATCACCTCGCTCGCTATGAGCGGCATCTCGCCTCGCCCGCCAGTCTCGCCTCTGTTGTAGGTCCCTTCCCCTCTGGCCGCCTCAACCCACACCCTGTCGTCGCGCCGCCAAGCTCATGGGCCTCGTCAGCCGAGCCAATGCGGCTTTTTGGCTGCTCTGGCTCGCCGCGCTGCTGTGGTGCAGCCAGAACTCGTTTGACGACCCATCCTCCATCTTCTACAACCAGGCCGCCGCGTACGCGCAGCGCTACTCGGCGCTGCGCGGCCTCGCCATCGACGCCTTCCTGGCCAACGAGACGCGCGTCGCCGCCGCGCGCCCGCCCGACCACCGCGACGAGATCCTCTGCGTCGGCGTCCCCAGCATCAACCGCACCACGGAGGGCTTCCTCGCACGCACCGTCGGCGGCCTCGTCGACAGCCTCATGCCCGCCGAGCGCGCCTCGGTCCACATCATTGTGCTACTCGCCGACAAGGCGCCCGCTGAGCACTTTGCCTACGGCCAGCCCTGGCTGACGAGCCTCGTCGACGAGGTCCTCGTCTATGAGCAGCCCGGCAAGGATCACTCGGCGCTGCCGGGCTACCGCACCATACCCTTTGATAACCGCCCGGACGGCCAGCCGCGGGGCGAGGGACGCGTTGAGAATATGCGTCTTGATCACTCTGTTCTAGTCGAGACGTGTCGAGATCGCGGCGCGCCGTATTTTGCGTTTATCGAGGACGACATTGTGACTTCGCCCGACTGGTACCGCAAATTTCTCGAGGGCGTCGCGCGCCTCGAACTCAAGACGCAGCATTCCCACAAGGACTGGGTGTACCTTCGCTTGTTCTACTCGGAGATCTTTATGGGCTGGAACGCAGAGGAATGGGCGACCTACGCCGAGGTTATCTTTCTCATCTATACTGCCTTTATTTTAGGCTTCTTTTACCTTCGCCGACGACAGCGCCGGCGTTTCGTCGCACCGTCGGGCTACTCGGCCCTCATGAGCAAAGAGGACCCCGGCTCCAAGTGGGCTCAGTCACAACGACACTTGCAAAAGTTTAACCATCTGTCGGCGTTGGTGATTGGGCTCTGGCTACCGGCAGTCATTGCCCTCGTCTTCCTCGGCGGGCGCATATCCATGAAGCGCGTGAATCCGGTTCCGCAGCCTGGTATCCGCGAGATGCCACGTTATGGCTGCTGCGCGCAGGGTCTGGTGATTCCCAAACGACACCTGCCCATCTTCCATTCGCTTCTTCGCGATCCACCTTACGACTTTCCCGGCGACATGATGCTCGAGGGCCACGCAGACCAAAACGACCTAGCCAAATGGGCCCTGGAACCCAGCGTGATGCAACATGTAGGCCTGAAGCAGTCCTCCGAGGGCACTCGACTTGCAGAGGTGTGGAATTTTAGCTTTGAGCGTCGAAAAATGGCGTCGACGCACGATTGAAAGGAGGACAGGATGGTGCCAAAACCGACACGCATGCTAAGCGGGTTTCCCTGCCCGGTTCTGTCGCCCGTGGACGAATGTAGAACCTTTGGGGCGAAGGCGGTTGCGACTGTGTTTGCCCCTACAATATACGACCATAGAAGGGCGTAACGGTTCTACGATGAATTGCGACAAGCATGGCAGATGCTGAGCCAAGTAGCCGAGATGCCCCAGAGCCGGGGCACATGTTTTTGTAAATATTCCGATGGCGTGGACGAAGACGACTTGATTTTTTGATATGTAAGCACTTTAAGACTGTATTTCAGTAGCATAAGAGGTAGATGTTTCAAGACTCTACAAATCTAAAATGACGGGTTATATCTTGGATGGATGATGGAGTGATGTCGAGTTGAAGGGCTCCCACCACGCTCTTATAATAATAGCGGCGTATTAATACTGGGGGCACTGATAAGTTTCTGGTGGCGGCGGATGGATCGGCCACCAAGGAAAAGCCACAGTAAGCGCAGCCATCTACAACAAACAAACTGGGGCGGGACTCGGCCTTCAGCAAGACTGGCTAGTTACAGGAAAGCTGAAAAGAGTTTGAGGGTTTCGGGGCCGGTCAGCAGCGTGTCCCATCGCTAGTGGATGCTCCGGCCTGGGTTCGGTCGCCAATTGAGACAGTGCAACCCGGTGCCTGATGCGCGATGTTGTGGCCTGCCTTGATGGGAATAGTGAATAGTCTGCTCGGAGTAATTGTAGGGTACATGAGACCTCTCTAGAGCCCACACAACCTCCACAATACATCATCATCATCCCACATACCACAATGGCATAACAGTAATGGCAACCAAAAGGTTGCTCCGCAAATCAAAGTGCATTTTCGTCCCCGCGCTCTCCCTGCATGCCGATATGCCGGCATTGACCCCCAAAAGCCTCTTGGGGAAAGAAAAAAAAAAGCTTGGTTTGCACCAGCCAAGTTCCATCAGCGCCGATCCGAACAAGCACGGGGTTGGGACCTGGACCTGCATCCCACCACTTGGAGGCCACTGCTGCACCACGACCTGCCCGAATCGACTGGGAACTTGGGCACCTGCGGGAACCACATGGGCAAGACGAGAGGCGCCGGCGACGTCCGTCGACTGAATTACTTGAGTGACTTGTCGTCGTTGGGATCGGCGCAATTGCCCTTGTTTGGCAGGACTCGGTATCGAGATGGGCTGGCCAAAGCGTCTCTCAGCTTGCGCACAGAGGCAGCCAGACGATGCATTCCGATGTGGCCCTCGCACTGGTATTTCAGTCAGGAGCGGAGAATCGCTATTATCAGGTAATTAGTGACCGCCGAGTCCTGGTACACTGCCAAGGCATTGTCTTAGCTAACTAGGTAACCAACTAGTGCGGATAGGTTGTCGGTCCGTCTGACCAAGTCGCAGATACTACATCACCTTGCCCAACAAGGGCCGAGCTTAAGAAGAGACGGTTTCCCGCCAGCTCGACATTCGCCTCTCCCCTTTCATCCTTGTCCACGCTCAGCCGAGTCTTTCCCATCATCACCTCTTTGTTCCACCGCTCCGCCAAGATGCAGTTCACCGCCCTCTTCCTCTCCCTCGTTGCCGTCGCCAGCGCCGCGCCCGCCGAGCTCGTCGGCCGCGCCGCCACAACCTGCGGCTCCGTCTACTACTCGGCCGCCCAGGTCAATGCCGCTGCTCAGGCTGCGTGCGACTACGTAACCAACGGTAGTACCGCCGGCAGCTCGACCTACCCTCACAAGTACAACAACTACGAGGGCTTCAACTTCCCCGTCTCTGCTCCCTACTACGAGTTCCCCATCAAGTCTGGTGGTGTCTACACCGGTGGTTTGTTCTTCCCTCCATCCCCCTCGCGCTGAGATAAACGAACCCGGTTCTGACATGTCCCCAGGCTCCCCTGGCGCTGATCGCGTCGTCATCAACAAGTCGTGCGCCTTGGCTGGTGTCATCACCCACACCGGCGCCAGCGGCAACAACTTTGTCGGTTGCTCAGGCACGTCTTAAACCAGTTACCATTTCTCCTTCCGACATGACATGAATCCATCTACTTCCTTTGTTATATTTTATTTTCTTCTCATGCGAACGGGACGGGTTTCCCAACTATACATGCGCACATATATACATGCCCGAACATCGACAAAAACAGGAAAGGATCAAATTGCGTGGAGCGAAAAACTAAGACTTTTTTGAAAAAATTGCAGGAAAAAGTACGACAGAATCGGGAGATGACAAGAATTCGAGCAATGACAGCAAATCGGGCAACAACTCGACAAAATCCGCCGCCGTCGCAGCCAAGTGCAACAACGTGCTTGGAGCTGTGTCCGGCGCGGGTGCTGCCGTCTTGCTCTACATACTCTAAGAAGCGATCGAAAAGAACAAGAATGATGATGGTCCCACCATTCAAGAAACCCGTGCGTTTGCGATTCAACAAGATCCGTAATAACGTACTGCTTGTCGCCCGCCCGCAGGCCGACAAGACCCGTTCCATTAAACCTGAGCATTTGTGCAACGCCATTCATGCTCTAAATAACCATTGTATTGTATCGAGTAAGTTGCTCTCTCTCTCTCTCTACACTACACCGTGTAGCGGAAGAATGTGGCGTTGTCGCCCATCTCGCTCTCCCTTAGCTTCTCCTCATGCGTGTATTCCGCCAGTGGCTTATGCTGGGCGTCCCTTCGGGCGTTCTCCCGCCGGAGATATATGGTCATGAATATCGTGAGCACTAGACTCATGGACAATGTCCCGACTAACGCCAAATGCCCAGAAAGATACCGTGGGGCCTCAACCTGCCGAAACACGAACCCCGACACCGCACCACCCAGATTGCCCTAATGCGGAATGATTAGCACATGTTTGGACCAATAGGAGGAAGACGTCTGGATTTAAGATTCTTACAAAGCCCACATGCATGGCGATCCCCACGGCTCGCTTCAGGGATCCGCCGATATTGTTGCCGTTCCAGGCGACACCCTGTGGCACGTTGGGGTAGACGCCAACCGTCACAAGGAAGCATGCAAAGTACTTGACGCCGTGGCTTTGGACGGCAGCGAGCAGTGCAAATCCTAAAATCCTATATCAATCACCTGTGTTAGCAAGCTTGGCCCATTGGATATGCGCGGTAGCCTGTGACGTACGCGATGAGGTTAAAGCCAATCATGTAGATGCCGCGCTGGCCATGGCGATCTGCGAGAAACCCTCCACCAACGGTGAAGAGACAGGCTACGGCATACGGGGGCACAGACATGAGCTGTGCAACCTCGCTTGTATAGCCCAGTCCTTTGACAATGGTGGGCAGAAACACGGAGATGGAGTAGAGCGGAATGTAAATGCCAATGGTGATGAGCATGTGGACCCAGATTTTCCAATCTTTAAGGGCGTCTTTGGCCAGAGAGAGCTTGAACTCGTTGGACAAGGCCGACCGATCTTGCTTGAGTCGTCGGACAACTTCTTTCTTCTGCTCGGGGTTGAGGAACTTGACAGTTTCGGGGTAGTCGTGCATGACGCGGTAGGCGATGAGAGCTTGGGCACGAGTCAGCACATACACGGAATCAACAGACAGACGACGAGCCCTCTGTCGGCGTGGGGGTATGGTATGCCTCCTTACCGACAACAAACGTAGCCAGACCTTCGAGGATAAAGATCCAGTTCCAGCCGCTCAGGCCACCGACGCCCTTCATCTCCATGATGCCGCGGGCCAGCAGGCCGCCAAAGGCGCCTGCGGCCGTCGCTGCCGAGAAGAAGATGGCCATGCGCAGGCCGCACTCGTGGCGGCGGTACCACATGGTGATGTAGTACGTGATGCCGGGGAAGAGGCCACCCTCGGCAAGGCCCAGAAGACTTCGCACGGCGAGCAGCCCGCCAAAGGACTTGACGACGCCCAGCATAATGGTCATGAAGCCCCAGACGACCATGATGCTGGGGATCCAGATTGACGGCCGGAAGCGCTTCATGGCCATGTTGGAGGGGATCTCGGCAATGACGTAAAAGGGAAAGAAGATGGCGACGGCGATCTGGAGAGTTTAGCGGCGGTCGTGGAAGATGCCGGATGAAGATCAAGCCTTGGACTTACACTATAGTCGTACCCTTCCATGTTGAGATCGGCTTCGAGACCGGCGAGCTTGGCGTTTCCGATGTTGGCTCTGTCAAGGAAGGACAGGAGATAAAGCAAGGATAGGAACGGCAGGAGCGTGCCATCGAGTTTGCGCAGAAGTATCTTCGTTTCTGGCTGGGAGAAGCCCACTTCGTCGTCCTCATCACTCAAATCTTTGACAGCGGTGCTGTCGTCGATTGAGGAGGCAACTTCTATCTGGGACGCTTCCGGTTTCGGCATATTTTTCTTGATTAAATTCCTGACCTCGAACGTGATTGCATAAACGGTGAGCAAACTGGTTCAGCTTAAAAAGAGAAGTGAGACGTGGGTAAATACTTATACATGGGCATTGGACCTTGCTTGGATGGACGGCTTCCCCGCCCGTGTCAAACAGCACTATCTAAGAAGGGCAAGCTTCCTCCGAATCATCCGTGGTATTGCTCGCAAAGAGCCCAGACCCTGGCAGACCATCGGTGGGGTGCCGCGCTGAATGCGCCAAGATCTCATGGCTTCATGTTGGGCAAGCCACCGGGGGGGGCGGGCCTCGAAAGCTGGCTGGCCTTGGTAGTAGGGTAATCAACATGTACAACAAGAATAGTTGGACACGAATATCTATATCAAAGAGACGAAGCAAACAATGAAAGAACTTGTCATCGCACCGGCAGATGGGCCAGAAGCCCCGACTTGATGCGAAACGGGCTCCAAGCTTGGCCGCACCCTGTACTTTTTGCAACAAGCGAGAGTACCAGCTGCAATCTGGCCGGTAGCATGTCGATCAATATCAGGGATAACCTTCTTGAAGCGGGCGTGGCAGGCCTGTCTTTGGGCTGCCTTGCTTCAGCCGCAGTCTGCAGGTACGGGTCCCTTCTGACGGCAGAAGAGACCGGCAGATTATGCGCAGCGCCCATCTTTGCTGAAAAACAACAAGAAGAAGATTCGCAATTTTGCCCCAAGACAAGACTGTGGTGGCTTGCTTCCGGTTGACCGAAGCCTGTGGACCGTCCACAGGCTTGGGGCGCCGTGGCGTCGGCCTCGAAAAAAAAAAAAACGTTAATCTCCAAATGTTTCAACGTGCAAAATCAACGATGATGGGCGTGCCACGACTCGACGGAGGAAAAGGGTGAGATTCTGGGGTCCGGGGAAAGGGGGCGGAGGCCAAAATGGGCGGCGGGTCAAGCCTATTTACAACTTTAATTATTTGATGCTGCGATTGGGCGCCACAGGGTGAACTGCCACAGCCACACGCCGCCTTATTTTGAGTGCTCAGAGAAGGGCTACACCAAATTATAAGCTTTCCGCGCTCTAATTACTATTCGCTGGTCGATGCTTGGCTAGTTGGCTAGCTACCTATCTTATCTGGTGGGGGTTGTAAAGGGGAGGAGAGCCAAGCCCGTCTCAAGTCTCTCGACCAAGAAAGGTGTCTTCAAGTTGTGGGGGGAAACAGCTACATGGTTGCACTATGAAGCCTGATTGGAACAGAACACTTGTGAGTGCCATCGTCTGGTCGGAAGTGACCAGGGGTGTGTGTGGACGTGGCTGCTGGGCAAGATCCAGAGGCTAAGATGGCGTTTTCTAGGCGGCGCGGTGAAGTGCCCGGAGAAGCATGGCAAGCCTTGGAACAGCCTCAGAAGTATCACAGATATGTACGCCACCAACGGCACCGATAACAACGTGGTTATGTCTGACCTCGATAAAAACCGCACCAGCAATAGCACAAGCAACGACGACATCAGCGGCAGCAACAACACCAACAACGCATATGTACCGAGATCAACGATAGTAAGTACCCCTGGCATACCCTCCGCTTTTTCAGCAATACAAGGCTTCAATGTCCGTCTCCATGTCCAGAGGCGGAAACAGCCTGCTTCACCCACTTGGGAATGGCGATGAAACCAGACGTTACTGACATCTTGGCTACCTATCCAATGCCTTGGACATGTCTCTTCATCCGAATATCTGTCACTCTGTACCCCTCACCAAGTCCTGAGGCGGTTTGTGGCTTGTCCATAGAGCGGGCTTGGCATCTACCAACGTCATTCTTTATCCACGCTTGCACATCTTCTCTTGCACTAGTTGTACGCGAATAAATACATTCGTATTCAGCCTAGCAGATAATACCCAGCCGTCTATCCGCAGCTATCAATAAGCCCCCACGTTGCGGGGAAATCAAATGACGAGATGAAAACACAAGGGCGATTCACCAGAGAGCCCAGGGAAAGCCAACCTTCAAATAGTCTAACCTTTTCACCGAAAAGTAGACCACAGAATTGACCTTTCAAGTTACATTGGATTCATAATCCCGCTTTATCCCGTATTCACTTAGCCATGACCGTCTTATCTCGGCGACGCGTCAGGTGCGTTGCGCTAGGCCGCGGGGCAAGCCTCGCCGACGCCTCTTGTCAAGGCCGTAATCGACACAGAGGCGAGATACATCGGTTTCAATACTGTGGCAAGTGTAGTATAGTACTTTGAAAAGTGATGCAATTCCTCCGAGGCGAAACAGGCTCCCCCCAAGCCTCCGACTCAAAGTGACCTGTCGCCAAGTCGCAACGTATGCAAACCGGGCGCTCTACAGCTGTGTAGGGTGGATTGAGCTGACATGTATTGGAATTACGCTGAAAATGTTTGGATGAGCCCGTATGTTTCGCACAAAGTTGAAGGCACCTCGCCTGTCAGTACTGCCCGGACGACGACCGAACTGTCTTTGAGTGGAAACCACCAGGCGGAATCAATTGCTGACAATATCTGCAGGGAAGGACGCAAGCCCGGCCTCATCTTGGACAAGGATGACTTATGTAGTCGGAGAGTAAATATTTCACTCCAGCAAGGCTTGGCAGTGTTCAAGTGTGAGGGTATGATGAATTCAAGTATTGAAGCTTAAGATCAAGAGAGGTATAGATCGCACTTGGTCAAGAGGTATAAATCAGACATAATCAAGAGGAGCGCAGGAATATAAACAGAAAAAAGAAGAGACATTATCAGAGGACCAATCACTCGGTCGTTTGCTCACCCGCCGCCGAAGCTGCCTCGGTAGCAAGCTTCAAGATACCCCGTGCCGCGATATCCGGACCGCTTCCATTCCTCTTACACAGCGCCGCGAGCTCCAGTGCTTTCGTCTTGATGCTCTCAGAGTGTGGCCCCTGGATAACTTCCAAGACGGTTTCTGAAAGCTCCCTGGCTTCAAAGACTGGCTGTCGCTTCCGGGCGCCCTTGCGGCCGATGCCGAGCAGCTCGACTCGGTTGGCGTACTCGTAACAGTCTGTCCAAAACGGAAGTACCACGTGCGGTACTCCAGCCCTAGCAGCAGAAAATGATGAGATGACGAGTTCTGGTTCATCGTGGGGAGGATCGACTTACAAGATGGCTTCGTTATACGAGCTGGCACCGCCGTGATGCACCGCACAGGCAATGTTGCCACTCTGCAGGACGGCGAGCGGCGGTGATTCGAGCCAGTCAACAATCCGGACGAGACCACCGCCCATCTTGTCGCCAAAAGCAGCGCGGATCTTGGCATTGGGGCCTGTCGCATCATACTCGCCGTCTTTCTGGAGCTTCCACAGGACCTGCATAGGAGGGCCATCGAGCGCCTTACCCTGGAGCTGGTCCATTGCCATGCTCAGACCGCTGGCGAGCTCCACGGCCCAGTCTTCCTTGAGCTTGAACAAAGAGCCCAGATTGACGTAGATGGTAGGCCCGTTGGCGAGCCAGGCGGCAAGCTCGGGGTCGGATGCAGAAATGGGTGGTGCTTCGCTGATGATGGGACCGCAGGGCACGATGCGTGGATGGCTCGTGACAGGAAAATCTAGCTCAGGTAGGGTGCCGACAAAAATCTTGACGTAGTCGGGCAGACTCTTGCCGGTGTTCATCAAAGACCTCATGGGTTTGCCCGTCTTTTCTTCAACGTATCGTTTCGTCTCCGCCAAGCCGGGCTCGTTCAATATCTGATAGACCATGTGTAGATAATGAAAGATATTTAGTGGTTTTTGATGCCAGGGTACTGGGTAATCATACCCGCTCATTAAGCTGCATTCTATTAGTACGACTAATACCTGACCGACTCACGAGGGCAACGACACTCACGCTGGCCAGTTCCACATCATGGCGAACGGTTGATAGCTCGCCGCAAAGTCTTTGATGGAGTTTGGGCTGAGGTAGGAGAACTGCACGCCCGAGTTCCAGGCAGCAGAGATGGCAGGCGACAGCAGTACGTCTACAATGATGAGATCTGGCGCGACACTGTTGATGATGGCCGTGAAGGAGTGGTACACCTCCATGAAGCCCGGGCCGTCCCAGCCGAGCAGACATGCACACAGATCCCGAATCGTGGCCATGGTGGTGGAAGCATTCAGAGGCCGCGAAAAGGCCGGCGGCGGGACAGAGCTTCCGGCGCCGTACTTTTCCGTGTTCCTGGCCATGACGGCCTCGGCGTGGGTCTGGCCCTGGAGGGCGTGGAATGTGATGGGCGTGGTGGCAGCAGCATTCGCGCGCAGAGCCTCATCGGAGACGCCTCGTACCTGCTTCTCCAGAGACGCAAACGAGGCGAAATGCAAGTCAGCATGGGGGTTGGTGCGCAGCAGAGCGTCGGTCGCGGCGAGAAAGACGCCGCATTGTCCACGCTCAATGTTGGTGGCAAACAGGATTCGCGGGCCGGCAGCGGGAGCCGACATTGCTTGTTATTCTTCTTCCCGACGGCTCTGCGATTTTCCAAGTTATTTTTAGTAATCGGGATCGATGAGCGCAAACAAAGAATGCCGGTAGGCTGCCAAGAGAATGGGTGCGTGCAGAGGATGGCGATACAAGGGAGGAAGAGATGAATAAGACGATGGGCATGAAGAGGGTCTATTGAATGAGCGAGCATTGCTTGGACGTGGCGGAAAGAGATCAGCCTAAACGATCTGTCTATAGCAGCGACTCAGCTCTGGGGAATCAGAGTCAGCCCACTGAGCTTGTATACAGTCTACCCCCTAAAATAATGTAGCCGGAGTACTTCGCGGGTCCTAACCAGCCAACCAAAGCCCTAGAAACCAGGGTCTAGAGTTTGATCATAGTGAACGAAGTCCCTTGTATCTTGATAAACAGCGCGATCTTGATATCATCACAAGAGCGCAAAACTCATAACAAGAGCACGTAAAAAATAGGTATAATTTTAGTGTTGATTAGAGGAAACGCTCTCTATCTAATACGTATATAAGTCCTCTATTTTTTTCGTGATTAAAGGATCTTCTTGGTGGATTCTGAGGAAATACTTCGGTTGGCGGAAGTATCGCGGCTACATTATTTCAGGGGGTAGACTGTAGTACTTTGCTGACACCTAGTCTCAGGTTCCATGGACTATTCCTTTTTTCTTACACGCAACTACCTGTCTTCCAGTGACACATTGCGCAGTGAGATTTGGCAACTTGTCTTGTCACAACTGACAGAATGCTCAATATAGGCTCGTACGGCTGTGAACACCAGACGCCGGACGTTGAGCCCGTTGTAAATGACCTTTGAAGTCTCCGTATTACAGAGTACAGATAGTGATTTCGGTCACCCAGTCCAGAAGGCGGAGACACTTGTAGTACGCACAAGCACATGCGTCCGGGGGAATGGGCGACCTGGAACAAGCCATGTTCATGCACTCAAAACGCGTATTTTCACTCCGATGCAGATGGGCCAGGTTGCCCTAGGTTTAGTTGGTGCCACACCCGAGGGACAGAAACGGAAAAGGGAGGCTTGAGCTGAAGGAGGGGGGGGGGGGGCGTGTGGCTATGAATCCGAGCCAGGCACAGAGCCGTTCTTCTTCCATGACAACCTCCCTGGGCGGTATCCGAAACAAGGCGACGACTCAAGCCACCGCCATGCGCACGTTTATCATCTCGACGAGAAACTTTTCTTTTCCTCACATGTCGTCATCACGCAGTCTCAGTGCCTATTCGTAACCCAGCTCATCGTCCCCTGCCAATATTTCTCATCTGTTCCTGTGGATTGGGCGCGACGCAGAAAGCTGCTTAGCCAGCCCTTTTTTTTTTTTTCATCCCAAGTGATTGCGCAAACTGCTCAAGGGGACTTTTTTTTGCGGGATGCCAAAATGGCGAGCTTGGACCGGTATGGATGGAGAATCGCAACTCATGTCTCCCCCAACCCTCTCTAACTAACTAACCCTCTTACCCCTCTCGTCGCGCGCCGGACAAGCCCACGGGATGCCAGTCCTCGAAATTATTGTAGCTTGTGAGGCGTGTTTCGTCGGAGCCGAGGCTCAACAGGCACGCGAAAGCCGCCAGAGGCATATGCCGCTCCGGCCGCTACGTGTCACGACGGCCCTCACTGACATGGGCTGTTTTTTTTTTCATCCCACGAGTGGTGGGGTTTGAAGGCTAATGAGAAAAAGGTTCATTTTGCCTCTCGCTTCTTCCGCTTTTAGTCTGAGCTGGAGTCTGATCGACGGCCCTTGCACCCGCTAACTCTGGTGCTAGCAGAGTCCGTTGTGCGCCACAGGTCCAGTGCAAGAAACGAGATACACTGTATGGATGAGGATGGACGAAAACTTTCATTTGCTGAGTCGCTTCCAGCGCCTGTCAAAGCACAGGGCCATTACTCTCACACCCTTTGTCTAGATCAATGGGTAGCATGTACTGAATGTAGAATGCGAAAGATGGTTTCGCACTATAGATAGGACGCCAACGATTGCCAATGCCGGCGCGTTCCGCTGTTCCTCGACGGGAGGCAACCCCTCGTTCTATAGCAGGCGTAGGAATACAAGAGATCAAATCAAGGCTGTGGCGCTCTATGCGCAGGGATTCTCACAGCGGCCGCTTCCGCGTACATCAGCTGCTCAGCCAGCTGCGATATCCCAGATGCCATCTTCCCCAAGACCCAAATTACAAGTTTGCGGCTGCTATCGTCTTGAGAATGGACGCGACCAGCTCGTCAATGGTTGTGTTATCACGGGGAACAGTGTGCCCCTTTCCGTGGTCAAACAGTGTCGCGTTGTCCCCATTACAGACCCCATAGAGCGACATTGCGCCATAGAGGTAGGGGTCCAGGCTGCCGACAATGTGACATGTCGGCACGTCAATCATGTCCTCACACTCGTCAGCCAAGACAGCCTTGACCTTGCCGTTTTCGACTTTGGTGGGCGGCCAACCGGCGAAAAAGATGCCAAACTTGTTAAACAGTCTAATCAGCTTGCTTGTCGAGACTTGGTTGCAAGGGGGGCTCACCTTGATTCTGCGTGGCGTACCATGCTCTTCCTCTTGCTGGGCTTCGTGAAAAATGAACGAAGCTGCGGCCGTGGCTCCTTCAGAGTAGCCGAGAATGCCCTATCAGGAGAGGGGGTCAGTCACTTATTTGACAAGACAAGCGATGCGACGCCGATCATGGCTGACACCTACATCAATTTCAGCATCTTCGTCCAGGTACTGCTTGATGCGGGCAAATGTCCTGCCAATGGTTTCCTCTCCCGGTACGCTGGAGTCGTCGCCTTGGAGAAGAGATCTCAGAGTGTCTTCATATGACTCTCCATCTGTGATAGCGCGCAGGTTGTTGACTAGCTTGGCAAGCCCGTCAACACCGTCAAAGTCAATGTTGCGATAGTATGGCGGGGGGCCAAAATAATCTCCAAACCCCTCGGGGGGGTCGACTGGAAATTGGCCATCGACAAATTTGAAGCTGATATTGCCCGTATTTTCCAGTTTGGAGACAAAGGGGTCAAGTTGCGTGCGGAATGCCTGTGAGCCGTTAGCATCGAGACGGTCGCGCTTGGTTGGGGGATCCAAAGGTGTTCCTACCTTGGCACTACCGTAAGCGCCGTGGAGGCAAAGAATCTTCATCTTTGTAGAAATTGGTTGTTGAACCTGTGAGATTGGCTTGCCAATTTTTGTTTTACTGCTGCGTTGAAATCATCCCACCCTGTGCATTGAAAGAGTTAAAGGTCAAAAATTAGCCGCTGTCGCTACAAGATGGCCGGGCACGTGCCAAAGCTAGTTGACAAAGGGAACAAACTTACTGAGTCAGGTAGTGGCAGGTACGGGTACGGATAAAAGATGGCAGGGACTGATACTGATCCAGCACGGGGTGGCTGCAGTGTCTCGCCGGGTCCCCCCGCTGTGATCGGTTCCTCTGTGGGCATACATGATTAGAGGCAAACATGCCAAAGAGATGGCTCAACTAAGTTAGCCACAGGTACCTTCAGCGCGGTAACCGGGGAGCTGCCACCACGCTGCTAGTGAAGTAGTTGGCAGTTGGAGAAGTGACAACCAGTTGCTCACCGCGTGAGGGGGAGGGGGGGTGGCCATGGGCACGTTGAGACAAGGGCGCGCATCGCTAGTGTATCTATAAGCCATCCGCTAATAAGAGCGCTCATGGAGAAGGAACTGTCGAGCTCGTGGGTTCCGATGAATGGAGTCGTTAATTCATCTAGACCGTCACCATCGAGGATTTCACAGCTAGATGGAATAAATGAAATGGACAACTATCGACGTCGGAAAGTAAAACAGGAAAAGATCAAACGACCGGCGCACAAGGCTCAAATGCCCTGGCTGATTGGCCGTCACCCCTACAGTTTGCTCGTCCAACTATACAGCCGTCAGATGGCGACGCGGATCTTGACCACACCTTATTGACAAATGAAAACCCCAAATACGACGCGGATCTTGACCACACCTTATTAACAGATTGAAAACCCCAAATACAAGACCCACCATATTTTCGCTAACGGGAAAGGTCAGTCCGTAGCAGGCGTAAGGACCAGACGATGGCGACAGCAATGGTAGTACTTTGGTACAGACAAGCGTTGCTAGAGCGTAAAGAATGCTGAAAACTGGGGGTCACAAGCAAAGACAGCACACGCAGGATACAATGAGGGTATAATCTCGTTCCACTCAATCATCGTTAGCGTTGAGCGGCAGTTTCTTCACCGATCCAATATCGGATGTATTGTCCGAGGCGAGTGCCACCCTCGCCAGACACATGTATCCTTATCAGCAGTCACATCTCGCTATCACCATACATACTCAGCCTGGTCATATATGACTGGATCGTGATATAGCAGGGAGTGACGAGGCCGAGTGTGGTTGGACAGTATTCACATGCCATTGTCACAATGCAGCAGCATGTCCCCGAAACAGTTCGCTCGGGGATATGGCGGACCGGGCATGCCCCATGTCTTGATGCTTTCTGGTTCTTTTATGTCATGCAGAGCGACGGACAAGCCAGGATAGGGAGGTGACACTGCATTTCTGCAATGTAGTGCATGCATGGGTTCGGTCTGTTTTCTGGAGCAACTATGGAAAAGCTGCAGTGGCTGTTGCTCGTGATGAAGCTGGACCGTCAACGCATGCATTAATGAACACGTGCCGGAAGCTGGATGTCTCGCCGGATCATCCATTGGTTCGCCGGACAAAGATGTTACAAATTACACAGGCTGGATAAAGGATATGCCAGCAGCAAGGGTATGCGGCCGTAAGCAGAGGGTTACAACCACCGGCATGCATACTGAAGATACCCTGCTCATAAAACGACCACCCCAGCTCAATTATCAAACGATCCCGGTGGTTATGAGAAAGTGCAACCGTAGGAAACTCTAGGCCGCTGAGGTTATAATATAGCCGGTGAGTGTAAGAATGCCGGAATGGGAAGAGAGGGGGGGGGGGTGAGCGGCATCCCCGAAGAGCCAACATGGATGGGCATGGAGACTCGGACGCAGGAGACTGTGATGAGATTCGAAGGAGCATATACTAGTCTCAAGCTGAAGTGGCCTGTGGTCGATTACTAAAGGAAGCTGGAACGGCTCGCAGGTTCCGAAAGTGTTGCATTCGGATGGCCTTGTGGGAGTCGTGAGTGTATGAGATGGAACCTTGTTAGCCATTCGGCAATCTATAACAGGCGTTCTTTGGTTTAGGGCATGGATGGGGTATTAGTGTATTATTAGACTCAATAGTGATTTTTTTTTAAAGTTGGCATTACTCATGTGCCTGATTTTGATGAAGATTGTACGGTTGGTCACCGGTGCTTGACCAACGGAGGCGAGGGCCGTGTGTATTTTATCAGCTACGAGTAGCACTTTAATCACTTCAATGATCCTGGTAAAGTGGAGGTTGCGTTAGCTGGTTCAAGTCATCCGAGTCGGTAGGTAGACTGGCAGACTGGTTGGTTCAACACTAGGGTAGCGGCGCTCAGGAGGAGGGGCGAGTGAATCTCGTGGTCTTTCCTCAAACGACGATTTGTTTCTCACGTTTGGAGTTGATGAATTCTACAATGAACCTCACCGTGTCTTGCATGCCAATATTGAGGCTGATACCGAGCTAAGTGGCCTAGGTACATAGGTATTCCTTGGTTTCTCGGTGTGTCATTGTGCTGTGTTGAGCCAGGGAACTGGTACATAGATTGTGCCTGGCTCTAACAGCGCCACACGGCGCCACGACGCAAGGTGCATGCGCATGAGCGCCACCAAACGCTGCAGGTCTGGCGGGTGATGGACATGTGGCGGGTGGTGGATTCGTACAGCTGCTGAACATTTATCATTACAGTAGGCAGCTGGCAGACAAACACAGCGAGAATAAGATAATATCTATGCTCTAACTACCTACCAGGTAAGTACCTACCTACCTACCTTGCTACCTAGGTACCTACCTAGGTATGAGTAGCATCCGGCAGGCAGGCAAAGCAAACGGCCACGAGTATCCAAATTTAGGGAGGGGCAAACAGGTAACTACCTCTGGGCAGATGCAAACGGCCCATATGTACGGATACAGTCTCGTAGCTCATTAATAGAATGGCCAGGTAACTACAGTAGTACCAGTAACAGGTATGGTGTTAACTGGCAATGGAAGGTAACCGCACGGCGCACCCGCAGTGTCAGGTTGTCGCCGCTTCAGCCACCCTCACCAAACAGAAGCCGCCAAGCTGCTAAAAACTCCCCCTCCGAACCCTCGAGTGCCGGCCCGGCTTCCAGCACCCTGGAAAACGATCCCCCTGGCAGCTCATGGCCCGTGCTCCCCTGCCCGCTCCCACGACCCATCAAACCTCCCGCTTGCCTATCGCGACATGTTTTGCGCTACACATGTACATGCTCTGTACCGTCGATCCTACCAACTCAAAAACCCCCTTTTCTACCGGCCCTCCACCCAATCTTTACCCCAACAGCCGAGTCAGATGCTTCGGCCAAGAGCCGCGGCCGAGGCTCGACAGCGTTTCCTGATGCTATCGTGTAGATGACCAGATGACCTGGGGGATGGGGGAGGGGCTCACCGACACTGACCCCGGCCTCGATTATTGTACCAACACGAAACAGCAAAGAAGACAGAAGCAGAAAAAAAAGGAAAAAAAGGAAAAGAGACATACCAAAAGACGCAATTCCGAGGCCAGATTCCGCAGAGACAACCCCAGTCCGTTTTTGCCTACTGCAAGTACTTGCCCTTCTCCGTCTGCCCGAGCACTCAAGTCCTCCGCTAATTCGTCTCTGCACGGTTGACAGCCAAACCGTGTTGGCGACTCCTGAGTCCCTGCCGCCCGTCGTAATATTGGCCCATTCCAAAAGTTGGCCTATCATGACAGTCACTGGCCCGTGGCCTCGCGCGCCTCTGTCCTAGCACAGCGTCGCTTTCGCCCTTTTTGCTATGCCTGTTTCGCATCTAGCGCACCGCAATGTGCGTGTTGTGTGGTGCGGGCTGCAGCCGCAACCCGCCTGCTGGCGCCGCCGCTCATCAAAGTACCAATCAGCAGCACGGGAGCCCAAACAATACATGTCCGACCGCCGAGCCATGGTTCATTGCGCTGCTTTTTTCGTCCGCGCGCGCAACAAGCACGTTCGGACCGTGCTGCGGCTCACAGACGGCCAACGGCTGGCTCGCCTGCCTTCTCCCATCTCCATCCCATCTTGCCCCGGATGATTGGCCTCCCGTTGGCAAACTCGGTACAGAGTACTCACTCACAGTCGCCATCGACGGAACTGGCCATGCAACTTTGAACTTTGACTACCACCGCCAACCGATTACACGGTTTGACTGACGGCGTCGTAGTTACCACTCCCACCACCCGGCAGCCCCCACACGCCACGCTCGGTTCCAGGATTCAATTAAGGACTTGTCAAGAGTTGGGGGAACCTGGTGGGCAGTCCTTGACTACATATGCCCGTTTGGACTACCCGCCCTAACCATTTATGTGTTATGCTTCACCCCCGGCATACATATGTCTGTTCTGTGAGTTGCATGCATATGCACTCTGTTCTGGCCACCGAATCCAACGCTGGACCGTACCGAAATGGTGCAGCTTTGTAGGAAAGCAAAGGAGCGCATACCCCGTCTCAGTCTAGTTCATCCTGGAATGGCCCCTTGACAATGTCTCATGTCTCATTTTCGTTCATTATTTCCATGCATATCGACCGTGTTGATATTATTGGCAATTCTCAAGTATTGTAGCTGACAACTGACGCATTGTTCCGTGCCGCAGATGACAGATGGCTGGCTCCCCTGCTAACTATTCGTCCCCCCAGCTTTGCTCTCACCCTTCCGCTCATTCAGCTGCCAGCCGTCCTATCCGAACCTTCGCTTACTCAAGATTCAGCCTTACGGTATATCACTCAACCTGAACTTGGTACCAGAACACAGGGGAAGCAAAAACTGACTGACCAAGTCCCTTCAGGCCTGATACCCCGCCGCTTTTGGCGAAACATTGCAACAGTACCAAAAGACCAAACAAAAGACCCGAACCAGAGCTTCAACTTGTCTCTCCAGTATTCACATGGCGCCACATCTTTGCCCTCTCGGCTGATCTGCTCACGCCCCTCACGCCCCCCTCCACAGCGCCCCGCGATACCTCCACCATGGTCCATGCATGGTTGGGATGTCCAAACTGCACACCCCCCCCATTCCTGGCCTCGTCCGTGAACCCTTCCTTCCGTTGCTTCTTTGCTTTCGTTGTGCGGCATTCGCGGTCCGTGATTATCTATTTGACTGAGGTACTCACTAAAAGCTCACTTGATTGTCCCGGTCAATACTTCCCCGTTTTAATACTTGTCCCACACCCCCAAACCATGCAAGGCTATTGTCATACGCCTATTAAGATGTGTAGTCAAAACCATCCCTTGCCTATGTGCTCTTCAGTTCTCATCGGCCCCTCCCAGGTTCAATCTTCCTGCTGTCTGTTCATATATAGCTGCCCTCCTAGCTCACTCGCTCGGTTCCCCCCTTGGTTCTACTTCTGATTCTGTCCGCATCCTCACGAGCGGCGACAACTCTCTCTTCATGCTCTTTACACTGTCGCCCTATTATTAATTCATTATACCCAAGAGTCGAGCAAGTATATTTTCACGAGTCCCTCTTACTGCACATAACCATCATCATATATTCCCCCATCATAAGGCGCCAATTCGTTCTCCATTGCCAGGATGGAGACCCCCACGCCTCTCGCCATTGTCGGCATGGCATGCCGCACATCTGGCGATGTGAGAACTGTCGACCAATTTTGGACCATGCTGTCCCGGTCCCGACACGGTTCTGGCCCTATCCCCAAGAGTAGATTCAACGCCGAGGCCTATTATCACCCCAACCCCCAAAAGAGAGGCACCTTCAACCAGGTTGGAGGCTACTTCATCGACCGGGATTTCTCTATTTTTGATGCCCCCTTCTTCAACATTACCAAGCAAGAAGCCAGTTCTATGGGTAAGCCTGGGCATTCTCTGGAATGTTGCGTTGCTAGTGCTAATGGGTTTCGCAGACATCAACCAAAGACAACTTCTCGAATGCACATACGAGGCCCTAGAGAATGCTGGTCTCCCCAAGGGAAAGATTTCTGGCGAGAAAATGGGCGTCTTCATTGGAACAAAACGAGCCGACTATCGTACCGGAAGCTTGCAAGATCTCAACCAGACCGAAATGTTCGAAGCAACCAGTGGCCACAGCTCCATCCAAGCTGGTCGCATCTCATACTACTTTAATCTCAACGGCCCATCCTTTTCCGTCGACACAGCCTGTTCTTCCAGTCTGCATGCTATGCATGCCGCAGTGCAAAGCATCCGAAGCGGCGACTGCAGTTCCGCCATCGTTGCCGCCAGCAATCTGTACATGAACCCAGGCGATCTGATTCAAATGTCTATGTTGGGTCTCTTCACCCCGACTGGCAAGACATACGCTTTTGATCACCGAGGCAACTCTGGATTTGCCTGCGGTGAGGGTGTTGGCTGCGTCATCATCAAGCCTCTCGACCAGGCCATCCGCGACAACGACAAGATTCGCTCCATTATCGTCAACACAGGAATTAACCAAGACGGCAAGACGGTTGGCCTGACTTCGCCAAGCGCCAAGCAGCAAGAAAATCTCATGCGCGAGGTCTACGCTCGCGCCAACATCAGTCCCAACGATGTTGCTTTCGTCGAAGCTCATGGCACAGGTACCAAGGTTGGCGATCCCTTGGAGGCTACTGCAATTCACAAATTCTTTGGCCAAGGTCGCACCAAGAGAAGCCCTCTATATCTTGGCTCAGTGAAAACCAACATTGGTCATCTTGAGAATGCCAGTGGCTTGCTCTCCGTTATCAAGTCTACTCTCATGCTGGAGCGTAACTTCATCCTCCCCAACTGCAACTTCGAGAAGGCCAATCCTGCCATTCCCCTGGACGAGTGGAACATCAAGGTTCCCACTACGATTCGACCCTGGCCCAAAGGCAAGCGTTTCATCAGCATCAACAACTTTGGCTTCGGTGGCTCAAACGCCCATGTCGTTCTCGAAAAAGCGCCCCTCTCGCAGGTCGCCAAAGACCTTGCTATTGAAGCAAACGACAATCAAGTTGTGCCCCGGCTCTTTGTTATGTCAGGCAACGACGAAGGTGCGGCCAAGCGCAATGCTGCAGCTATTGGCATTTACACTGAGCAACACCCCGAAGTCTTCCAGAAGCGTATTATTCGCGACATGGCATACACGTTGGGTGAGCGCAGAACTCATCATAACTACCGCCTGGCCTTCACTTGCGGTAGCTTTGATGAGCTTGTCTCCACATTGAACTCTGAAGCCGTAATTCCTACCGTCGCGACCACCGATCCTTTGAAGTTGGCGTTTGTCTTCACTGGGCAAGGTGCTCAGTGGCCCCAGATGGGCAAACAGCTCCTCAACACTCACCCCATCTTTGCTGAGACTGTCAAAACTGCTTCTGATTACCTGGAAAGCATTGGAGCGGACTTTTCTCTCTTGGAAGAGCTGGTACGCGACAAGAGCGAATCCATCGTCGGCCTTGCCCACATTTCGCAGCCAATTTGCACTGCCATCCAGCTCGGTCTCGTTGAGCTGCTGAAGACTTGGAACATCAAGCCCTCCATGGTGATTGGACACTCCTCTGGTGAGATGGGCGCTGCTTATGCAGCCGGTGCTATCACCTTGCAGGAAGCCATGGCCGCTGCTTACTACCGCGGCCACTATGCTGCCCAGATGAAGCAGCGCAACCCAGACCTTCACGGTGCAATGCTTGCTGTTGGTGCTGGCCCTGCGGAAGTGAAGGGAATCATCAAATCTATGGGTCTTACTGGTGTCACTGTGGCCTGTGAGAACTCTCCCAACTCCATTACTGCTTCTGGTGATGAGGCCGACGTTGATCACCTCGCGGCGGAGCTTGAGCAGCGCAGCATGTTCAATCGCAAGCTTCGTGTTGAGATGGCATATCATTCATCTCACATGAAACTTGTTGCCGACGACTATTTGTCTGCCATCCGGACTATGGAACCAGTTCCAACCGAAGGCGTCGAGTTCTACTCTTCTCTTCTGGGTGCAAGGCTTGATAATACTGCTGCTCTTGGTGCCGACTATTGGGTCGACAATCTGACAAATCCCGTCCGTTTTTCGTCTGCCTTTGCTGAGCTTTATCAGATCGGAAAGCCAGACGCCATTGTTGAACTAGGACCACATGCTGCTTTGGAGGGCCCGATCAAGCAGATCCTGAAGAGCATAAGCCCCCAGGCCGCCGCCAGTGTCAAGTACTTCTCTGCTTTGATGCGCAATCAGGAAGCTACCACTACAGCTGTCAAGCTGGCAGGCAATCTTTGGAGCCGAGGTCACCCTATTGACTTTTCGGCCGTCAATCTGACCCCCCCTGGCCAGGAGCGGCCGTCGCTCATCTCGGATATGGTGCCGTACTCGTGGTCACAGCACCAGTACTGGGCAGAGTCGCGAGCTGGAAAAAGCTGCCGCCTCAAGCCATTCCCGCGCCATGATCTTCTTGGCATCCTAGATGACTTTTGCAATGAAGATGAACCCACCTGGAAGAGTGTTATTACCACAGACGACATTCCTTGGATGAAGGACCACAGGATGCAGGGGCTGCCTACATTTCCTCTCTCCGGTTATATTACAATGGCGACCGAGGCAGCTTCCCAGCGTGCGCAACTCCGCGGTATTGCAGTGGAAGATGTCGCTTCATTCCGCATGCGTGAAATCAAGGTCACTAAGGCATTGCTCCTGGACGATAACAGCACCTATGACCTCCGCTTCAGCCTCAAGTCATACGCCGAGGGCCTTGGGGCGTACTCGGATGAGTGGGATTCATTCCACATCTCTTCATGGACTCAGTCGCGAGGCTGGCTCGAGCACTGCCGTGGTCTCGTTGGTATCCAGAAGAAGAGTTCCGCCAATTTGATTCGACCCCTCACCTATGACTCTGCTGTGAAGCGCAGGGAATATATTGAGAGCAGTGACGCTACCAACGTCGACGTGGAGCGTTTTTACAGCGAGTTGGAGGCCAAAGGCGCTGGTTACAGCGGTAGCTTTGACAGCAAGGAAGCTGGCAGCCTTCGCGTCTTCAATAATGTCGCGAGCTGCTCCATTGCCCTCAAGGACACTGCTCAGTGCATGCCCCACCAGTTCGAGACCAAGAGTATCGTTCCCAGTACCTTCCTTGATACCGTCTTCCAAGCCGTCTTCCTCAACCTCGGTGCTGGTCGTGGAGACATGCCTCACCTGTTCATGCCTGCTGCTGTCAACGAGCTTGAAATCACACCAGAGTCGCCCAACTCAGTCGGCGACGTTGTCCAAGTCGTGACAAAGTGTCCCGAGACCAATCCGGCTGGTGCTGCTGACTTTTATGTCGATGTTTGGAAGCAGAGCCCCACTGCGCCTGTCATTTCAGTCCGCGGACTCCTGATGAACCCCCTGTATGGTGATGTGTTTGAGGGCCAAGCGCCTCGCTCGCTGTGCTACAATGTCAAATGGGAGCCGCTGAGCGAGCAGAAGGCGAAGGACAGTGCGCCAGAGGCTAATGAGCACAGCAATGGGCACAGCAATGGCCATGTTAATGGCGAGGTCAATGGTCATGCCAATGGGCACGCCAATGGTGTCGCGAATGGCCACACTAAGGATCACGACAACGGTATGTCGAATGGACACGCAAATGGTGATGCCAATGGTATAACCAACGGGGTGACCAATGGTGTAACCAATGACCTGGCCAACGGTCATACCAAAGGCCACACCAATGGTGATGCCAATGGCATTGCTAACGGTCATACCAATGGCCACGCCAATGGTGATGCCAATGGCATTGCTAACGGTCATACTACCGGTCATACCAATGGCCTTTCCAACGGCCATACCAATGGCCACGCCAATGGTGATGCCAATGGCATTGCCAACGGTCATACCAATGGCCACGCCAATGGTCATACTAACGGTCATACCAATGACCTTGCCAACGGCCATACTAACGGTCATGTCAATGGTATTGCCAACGGTCATGCCAACGGCCATACTAACGGTGTAACCAATGGCATTGCCAATGATGACGCCAACGGTGTGATCGATGGATATGCCAACGTCCACGCATATCCCAACAGGGTCGATTTGAGTGAGACTCCCATTACCATCATCTGCGATGCTGGCGCGACGCCATTGGCTTCAGCGTTGGCCGACCTCATTGAACTGCAGACTGGTGGTCAGATGCCAAACATCACTACCCTTGCCGATGTGGAGATATCTTCTGCCACGAGATATATTTGCCTGAACGAAGTTGAGCGACCCGTTCTCCACAACATGGATGACGCTACTTTTACCCGGATCCAAAAGCTTCTTTTGGACTGCTCCTCCATGCTCTGGGTTGGTACTGGCGCGTACCACGTTGCCACAACTCCGTTGAACAACCTCGCGCAAGGCATGATGCGTACCATCCGGTCTGAATCTAGCAAGATTGCCGGAACCCTGGATCTTCACCCCAGGTCGACTCTTCAGCCTGTTGATCAGGCCCAATTGATCATCACTGCCATGAAGACAACACTGGAGACCCCGGAAGATGACGCCCCTGTCGACTTCGAGTTTGCTGAAAAGGATGGCAAGTTGTTTGTGCCTCGTGTCTACAACCAGAATGATGTCGACCTCGAGCTTTTCCGTGCCACTCAGCCGTCTCGTCCCTACGCCCAAAACTTTTCTCAGCCTGGACGCCGTCTCAAGCTGACTGTTGGGACTTATGGTGCACTTGATTCTTTGTACTGGAAGGATGAAGCAGAGTACGTGCTCGGTGAGGACGAAATCGAGATCAAGGTGGCTGCCACTGGCATGAACTTCAAGGATGTCGTCATTGCGATGGGCCAGTTGGCTAGCCCTTACCTTGGAGTTGAGTGTGCCGGTACCGTTTCGCGCATTGGCTCCAACGTCACATCGCTCAACGTTGGTGACCGTGTTTGTGCCATGACCCATGGTGCTTATGGAACCTACGCTCGCTCTCTGGCGACCAGTGCAGGCCTCATCCCCGAAGGCATCGATTTCGCGACCTCGGCTTCTATTCCCGTTGTCTACTGCACTGCTTACTACGGTCTCATTGATCTTGCTCGCCTGGAACCTGGCGAGAAGATCCTCATCCATGCTGCGTCTGGAGGTGTCGGCCAGGCTGCCATCCAACTTGCGCAAATGATTGGTGCCGAGATCTTTGCAACAGTCGGCAGCCTCGACAAGAAGCAGCATCTCATCGAGGAGTATGGCATTGCTGAAGACCACATCTTCTACAGCAGAGACACTTCTTTTGGCCCGGCCCTACGAGATGCCACTGGCGGCAAAGGAGTGGACGTTGTAATCAATTCCCTTGCTGGCGACCTGTTGCGAGCGACTTGGTCTTGCCTGGCCCCCTTTGGCCGCTTCATCGAGATTGGCAAGCGAGACATTAATTCAAACACCAGACTGGAGATGGCCAAGTTCGAGTGGAATTGCACCTTCAGCTCCGTGGACCTGACCAAGGTGGCTGATTTCAGACCCAAGATTATGGGACGCGTCTTCCGCGATGTGATGGAACTCTTGGGAAAGAAGACGATCAAGCCCATTAGCCCCATCACGACTGTCAATATTGGCGAGGTCGAATCGGCTCTGCGTAAACTGCAGAGTGGCAAGACAACTGGCAAGGTCATTGTCAGCCATGAGCTTGACGGAAAGATCAATGCCACTCACCCCGAGCCCAATGCCAACCTGCTCAAGGCTGATGCCACGTACATTATCATCGGTGGTACGGGTGGCCTGGGCCGATCCATGTCCAAGAGAATGGTGCAGCGAGGCGCGAGAAACATCGTGCTGCTTTCTCGCAGCGGCAACATGACGCCAGAGCTAGAAAAGCTCAGTGCAGACTGCGAGCTCTCTGGCGCAAAGATTCATGTCATGGCGTGTGACGTTGCGGACCAGGCCAAGGTCAACGAACTCATTGCTCAGCTCCAGGGCTCACTACCTCCGATTCTCGGTGTTATCCATGCCGCGATGGTGCTGCGTGACACTCTGTTCGAGAACATGAGGTTTGAAGATTACGAGGCTGTTATCCGCTCCAAGGTTTCGGGAGGCTGGAACTTCCACAATGCTCTGATTGGGGCTCCTGTTGACTTTTTCATTGTTCTCTCGTCAGTATCGGGCATTGTTGGTAACCGTGGCCAGGCCGCGTACGCTGCGGCCAACACATTCCTGGATGCACTGACGGTCCATCGTCGGCAGCTTGGTCTTGCTTCCACATCTCTCAACTTGACGGCAGTTGAGGGTGTTGGCTACTTGGCTGAGAACTCGGCCAAGCAGACCGAGGTGCTCAAGAATCTGTCGGGCAGCACCATGGGCGAGAGCGAAGTGCTTGCTCTTGTGGAGGCGTCGATTGATGGAAAGATTGGGACTTTTAGCAATGACCAGGCTATTACTGGTCTTGACTTGAGCGACGCGAGCAACTTCCCGTACTATGCAGCTGATGCCAGGTTCAAACCCCTGCGAGATGCCGCACTTGCAGCGAGCGCTGCGGCTGGACGCGGCGACAGTGCGGCGAACATTCCTATTGGCAAGAAACTTGGAAAGGCCACAACGGAGGACGAGGCGATTGAGCTTGTGACGACTGGCCTGCGCGAGAAGCTGGGTGCCATTCTTATGCTGCACCCTGATCTGATGGTGGCCCGACAGGCCACGACGACCATCACTGCGTTTGGCTTGGACTCACTCAATGCGATTGAGCTGCGCAACTGGATCGGAAAGGAGCTGCAGGCACATTTGCAGGTGCTGGAGTTGTTGACGAGCGGAACGATGGCTGATCTCGCTTCGCAGATTTTGCGCAAGAGCAGAATCCAAGGTGTCTGGACCGAGGAGAAGAACGCATAAATTGATGCGCATGAATTTCGACGGGAAGAATGATGTTTTTTTTTTTTTTTTGCGACGTATTACGGATGGGAGTTTTCTTTTCTTGTTTATTTTTTTCCTACATCATCTCTCATGTCTTTTGCTATTTATCAGGGCGGCGTTGATACCTTTTTTTCCTTTACGTCTTTACGTATTTGAGATTGACACATGATGGTTTATTCACCTCATCTCTACATAGAGTTATAATGGAATTGCATCAAGGTATTTTCTTAGCACAAGATGAGCCGTTTTTGCCGTTTTTGTCATTAATGTCAACTATCACGGGCGTTATTACTATTGATTAAAGGAGGAGATGTAAGTTTTTCAAATAGAAGTGGTACGAGTTAGTATTGATTATTATTAGAGTTCTCCAGAATAATTTGCGCCGCGGGGCGCCGACGAGCACACCATTCCACCATCCGAACTCGGCATGGTGATTTTTTTTCTTTTCGTATATTAATCTGTAGCTGTCGCACTCTTTGCAAGACATTTACCGATTGCGACAGCTTACATACACGCAGCTGAAGGATGAGACATTGATCTATGCGAGGACAGTACAAACTTTTTCAGAAAGAACAGCCATGAGATAAGGTCGTCGCAGCCAATCCAAGCGAACTGCTCGTGCGCCGGCTACTCTTTTGTGCGCCAGCCGAACACCCCCCCCCCTTCTTCCTTCTCTCGTGCCGAATTTTCTCCTCTCTCTTTCTGTCTTGAAAATGTCCAAGACTTCCCTCTACGACGAGGCTCCAACACCATCCTCGTCCTCACCCAAGGCCGCCGAGACCATGATGGAGGTGACGATGGGCGGCGCCCGCGGGCCGCTCCTCTCTTCGCACGCGGACAGCGGCGGCGGCGCCCTCTACGGCAGCATCCTCCCCGGCGGCAGCAGCAGCAGCAATAACAGCAACCCTCCTCCTGAAGACGACGCGGACCTCGTCACGGCCACAGAGCAGCGCGACCTCCAGCGGGGCCTCGCCGAGCGGCACCTGTCGATGCTCGGGATCGCGGGGGCCATTGGCACGGGCTTGTTCCTGGGGCTCGGGGGCGCGGTGCAGACGGGCGGCCCGCTCGGGGCGCTGCTCGGGTACGCGACGGTCGGGCTGGTGGTGTGCGCGGTGCAGTTTGCGCTCGGCGAGGTGTGCGCGCTGCTGCCGGTGACGGGCTCGTTTGTGCGGCACGCCGAGACGTTTGTCGACCCGGCCTGGGGCTTCGCCGTCGGCTGGAACCTCGTGTACGGCAACCTGCTGTCGATCCCGTCCGAGATCACCGCCATCTGCGTGCTGTTTGAGTTTTGGACCCCCGGCACGAACCCGTCCGTGTGGATCGTCACCTTTGTCGTCCTCACCGTCGCCGTCGGCCTCTGCTTCGTCCGCGTCTTTGGCGAGGTCGAGTTCTTCTTCGCCCTGCTCAAGATTGCCCTCGTCGTCTTCCTCGTCATCCTCGGGCTCGTCATCGACCTCGGCGGCGTGCCCGGCGTGCCCGCCCTCTACTTCACCTACTGGAAGCACCCCGGCCCGCTCGTCGAGTACATCGCCAACGGCCGCTGGGGACACTTCCTCGGCTACTGGAGCGTCATGACGTCGGCCGTCTTCTCCTTTGCCGGCGTCGAGTCCATCGCCATGGCCGGCGCCGAGACGCGCAACCCGCGCAAGGCCATCCCCGCCGCCTGCAAGAACGTCTTTATCCGCATCGTGCTCTTCTACATGCTCTCCATCCTCATCGTCGGCATGCTCGTCGCCAGCAACGACGAGCGCCTCGCCGGCGGCGGCAGCTCCGTCACCCAGAGCCCCTTTGTCATCGCCGCCCAGGCCGCCCACCTGCCCGCCATACCCTCCGTCGTCAACGCCGTGCTCATATCCTCGGCCTGGTCCTCGTCCAACCAGGCCCTCCTCTCCGGCACCCGCGTGCTCTACGCCCTCGCCCTCAAGAAGCAGGCCCCCGCCGTCTTCCTCCGCACCACCTCCTGGGGCGTCCCCTACGCCTGCGTCGCCCTGTTTTCCGTCTTTATGCTCCTCAGCTTCATGAGCTTGTCCAGCGGCGCCCTCACCGCCTTTTACTGGCTCGTCAGCCTCACCGCCGCCGGCGTCCTCGTCTCCTGGATCGCCATCCTCATCAACCACATCCGCCTCCGCCTGGCAATGCGCGTCCAGGGCATCCCCGAGACGCGCCTGCCCTGGCACAACGCCTGGACCTTGTACGCCTCGTGCTGGGCCCTCGGCATGTGCATCATCATCCTGCTCACCGCCGGCTTCCGCGTCTTCACCAAGGGCAACTGGAGCCCCGAAGCCTTTGTCTCGTCCTACCTCGATATTCCCCTCGTGGCCGTCGCGTTTTTGCTTTGGAAGTTTTATAAAAAGACAAAAATTGTCAAATTATCCGAGATACCCCTCCGCGCTGCCTTTGAGCAGGCCGAGCAAAAGGACATTCACGACGAACAAGATGCATGATCATCATCATCATAATCTACGAGGCTTCAACGAGCATATTGCATATAAAGCATCTGCATTGAATTTTGTATACCCAGCCATATTATGTAGTCAACCCCGCGTCACATCTTTTCACAACGTACCTTGCCTTCACTGCACCATGCAGTGTCTACGACTACTCTGTTAACGTCACATCATTCATCCTTTTTGGTTCTTCGTCATGCCAGATGTATTGATCCAACTAGGCTATCCAGAAAAAAGGGCCAGATATCCTGCCGCAAAATGTGCCATCGCTTTTCGCTGTTGCATTAAGTTCCATCAAGATGAGAGCACTGCATCGACGTGCGAGTGATGAAATGACCACGAAAAGACAAATAAAAGTAAATTCTCAAATCAAAACGCCTCGCAATGCCAGGCTGTGTGAATGCTATATCTTGGTTGGCCTTGTTTCCAAATGCGCCGTTCCCAAGCGCTCAAAACAAATATGAGTACAAAAAAAGCATCGTGTGCAGCGTCATGGTAGGTTGTTTGCGAAGCGCCCAGTCCGTACGCGAGACGGTAATGTAGCTCAGTCCATCAAGGAAAGACGCCTTGTCTCCAAGATTCGACTCGGTCCATCGAGCCGGGGTTGTGTGGCATCTGCATCTGGTTGTTGGGTTGCATGCCACCATACACACCATTTGCGCCGTTGTACACATGCATAGCCCCAAGTGTGTGTGTGCTACGTCCTGCGTAGGGATTCACATAGACGCCCTGCTGGGGTCCGTGGTTAAAGGCGATGCTGTTGGGTCGATTTAGTTGACCCTGCCCAACAACTTGGGCAGAAACTGGGCGCTGGTAACCACCACGTCCGCCGTATCCGTTGTTATATGCTCCATTGTAGAATCCCCCCTTCTGTACGGCCCCAGGCACGGATAATGTCGAAGGCATTTGCAGACGCATGGCCGACATTTTGGCCTCGTTCTCGCGCGCAATGCGTTCCTCCTGCTCCCGGCGCTGTATTTGTTCCTGAACTCGCAGGTCCGGGCTCTTTCTCGGGTGCACCGAGAGAACACTGGCAAGACTCGTCCGCCGGTCTTTATGGTGTCCGGTAGAGCCAGCCGCAGTGACACCGTGTGCCATCTCCTGTTGGCGAGCCATTTTCTCAGCTTGCAGGCGCCGGCGGCGCTGGCCTAATGTCTCTTCTTCTTCCGGCGCTCCATTTACTACCTTGGTGTCCTTGCCATCTGCACTGCCTTCTAGCTTTCCTGCTTCTGTTGGGTCAAATTGACTCAAAAGCTCGGCAGAAAAGGCTGCGCTAACAGGTCTAGCCGGAGGCAAAGTAAGCCCCTTGTCCTGCTCGACATTTGACGCGAGGCGCTTCCTTCTGTCAGCCAGTGTTTCACCTTCAACATCTTCGGGAGCAAGTAAGTTTAGAGAGATCATCGATTGTCGCGGTCGTGTATCACCCAATCGAGTAGGCGCCATCAACATGCTCTGGGGCCGAGGTGCGAAGAATGAGTTGTCCCAGCCTTGCAGACGCGCACGACGTTTGCTCAGGGGCTCATTTTCTTCAATCTCTCTCTTTTCTATGAGACCAATCGGGCGCTCGAGATCTGCCATGTTCTTTGCGCCTTGTTGTCTAGCGGCGATGATGGCAAGAGGGATATCCTCGTCATCGGAGCCATTCTGGTCCAAATGCGCTTCCGGATCCTCCCAGAGCAAGTTGACACGCTTGCTCTTGCGATCATTTCTCTGCGTCTCGGCGACGGTATCGAGTTCGAGAAGTGTAGCTTGCGTACCGTGCGCGAGGTGGATATTGTTCTGGATGCGATCCTTTTGCTGCTGTTTGCGAATCTGTAATTCCGCAAGTAGAGTGCTTGGGACTCCGACATACTCCTCTAATGCCTCTTCATTCTCCTCCTCCCCACCAATGGGTTCTTCCCCATTGTGCTCCAGCGAGCTTGTGGGCATTTGTCTGACATGGTCGCTGTCAGCTTCGCCTGTCAAGTGAGGAGAGTTAGAACCGCTGTGCAGTTTGGAAATGTCTTGGCTATTGCGACTGTGACTACGGCGGCCGAGTGCCATCCATGAAGATCGCTTTTTGCCCCCGTTCTCGCTGGATGCCGGCGGCAAGGATGGTGATGAAGCATGGGACGGTCTCTTAGTTGTCCCGTAGATTTCAGAACCAAGTTTTCCAGCAAAGAGGTGATCAGTGAATGCCCCAACCGGAGCACTGACACCAGCGTCCAAAATATCGTCAAGGGCATTCATCGCAGAACCGTTCTTGGCTTCGATATCGGCCGTGATAGCAGGCGAATCAAAGTATGCGCTCGCGCGAAGCTGGGAAGGGATGTTGCCCATAATGGACATTCGACTCTTACGCTTCTCGACAGTCTTGGGCTCGGTAATACGTTTCGGGATCCGAAGTGTGGAAGCAAGATTATCACAGCTCTCCTGGGCTAGAGCTGGAGGTTCCACGGTCTCGGCAAGAGGCTCATTAATTTTCTGCATCTCCTCAGGTGACAGAGGGAGGAAGGAAGGTCGACGTTCGTGGTGACGCTCCTTCGCAGGCCGCGGATCAGCTAGCTCAGTCGTGCTACCCAATATCGGCATGGCAGAAGCTCGGCGAGCGGCGTCGCTACTGACGGTTTGCTGGGTGCCGCTCATCATGACACTTAGGACTTTGGACTGCCTGGTGTTTCTTTGGAGGGCCTTGGGCTTGTTTGACAGCTTTGGGGGAATGTTCAAGGTGGCCGGAACACGTGCCGGATAATAGTTCATCTGAACGCCCGAGGCCGGGTCGAAGAAAGACTGCGGACGAACAAGACCAACGGGTGGCGGAGGTGGTGAGACAGAATCATCGCCGTATGAGAAAGTCGGCGGTTGAGGAGGACCTCGAGGAAGTTGCAACGGGGCAAGGTTGAAGATATGGTCGTCCAACCCATCCATATGCTGATCAACGGCAACATAGCCTCTCGCGATAGGTAAACGCTCCTCGTCAAAACTGTGATTATTGGTGCCGGTTCCATGATCAGGGCAGTGAACTCCATCAAAGTCAAAGAATGCGACTTGAGCCTGATGAAAGGTATCTTGCGAATGAGAAGTGTCGGGACGGGGTTCGCGGTCAAGCATCGTAGCATCATCTCTATTGCGCTCTGTCGAGTAGCTCACGGCAGGCTGCTGCACAGCCCACCCCTGCATCATTTCGTGGAAAGCATTGGTGGTGGGCTTATGATTGCCTTCATCCTTGTGGGCAGCTGCTTCGTGGACGGTGGGCTCTAATTCAAGCGGCGGTGCATTGTCGGCCTCGTCCAGAACGGTCTGTGTGAGTGAAATAGGCTCAGACTCGGAAATATCTGCCAATGACAGTTTTGAAGAGCGCACACTGCGGACGGAGCTCTTGCCAGGGCCGTGCCGGGACAGAAGGCTGGCGTCTTCGGCCTCCGAGGGCGATGCAGCCGTTAGCGAACCAGGGATTAAGCGACCACTCCCAGAAGCACTGGGCGACTTGACGAAGGCAGCAGGTGAATAGCCGCCCTGGCGTGCGGCAATGTTTGTCGATACAATAGACGATGTGGACGAGAGGTGCCTCTTTAGCTGACTCGGGGCAGCAAGGCCGGTTTCGTCTCCTGTTTTGAGGGTGGCGGCGAGGATTGATGATCGTCTAGAGTCGCTTCGTTTCAATTCGCCGTGTAAATCTCGGATAGCGTCGTCGATGGAGCTGGTCATGGATAGTTGTTGGGCCGTCATTTCAAGCTGCGCAACGCTGCTAGCAGTGCCAGGCCGGCTGGTAATATCGGCAGGCAGCACTCTACTGATGGGTTTGGGGTGGACCATCTTGGTGTTGGCAAGGACGGTGCCGGTGTGGAGGGGTTGCATTTCTCCGACAGGGACCAGAGGCGAAGATGCGTCATCGCATTTGGAGCGGGTGTTGGCAGCGGCGGCACGGATAGCGTCAGAGATGGAGTCGGTTCGTTTTCGCATACAGTCAGAAACAACCATTTTAGATCGAGTAGGACTGGCTCCAGGTTGCCGAATCGGTGATGTTGAGGTTGCGACCTTGTCACGTCGGGTGGGAGAGGCCGGAGCAGACTCTGGGGTAAGAGTCTGAGGCATGGTCATGGGAAGGCCTCTATTGGGGGGATGGACAAAGAGCCCGAGGGGCGTGCATACTCTGTTGGCAATGGGGCTAATAGTCTTGGACTCTAGGCTCGGAGACGGATGGTGTTGCGTGGGAGAGGTTGCAGAGATTGCGGTGTCTGTTGTTGTGTCGCAGGGCGCGATGGGGGGGTAGTGTTTTGATGTCTCGGCCATGATTGGCGAAAGATGACCGTCGGCGGTCACCGCGTGGACGCAGGTCGGAAGGGGCAGTCAGGTATAGGTTTTCTTCCAGACGGGAAGCTGTCGATATGTTGTAAAGGCAGGCGGGGTTAGAAGAGCGACGGGAAGCAAAATTGCGACCGTTGTTGTGACGCAGACTGAAAGCGAAAGTAAGGATTGGTGGTCTCGAAAAGGGCCGAGACATTCACGATTCAAGAGGGGTGAATGCCTGGTATGTCTCAAAGGGGAAAAATCGAGTCGGGACCCTACAGAGGGCGATTTGATGAAGAGATGCGATACCGTGGTTGGGTAGGATGGTGGCGAGCAAAGCAAAGCAAGGATGAGGCCGCGGATAAGCACACAAGTCGACACGTCGGCGAAGTCGAGCAGGATGATGGCAGCAGGGGCGAGAAGCACTCAAAGGTGCAGCAAAATGGAAAAGGCGGCAGAAGGAGACGCAAGATGAATGAGCGAGGAAGCGTGGTAGCAGCGTTGGACGAGATGGTCGTGTGTTGGGCCTGTGGAACGGAGCGTGTTGCGCGGTGTGGCAGACGCTAGACTGTTGCGGGACGCGATGGTGATTGCTTGCCCGACAGGTCGCGACAAGGTAGTACAGGGAGAGCGGTACGGATAGAGGGTGGCGATGGCCAAGATGGGCACGTGGTAGCTCGTGGTCTTTGGTTGTTCAGGCAAGAAAAGCAATGGCGTTGAGTGGTGAAGATTCGGTTGGGCAACAAACAAGAAACGAGAAACGAGAGAGAAAAAGTTCCAAGATTTGGATGGATGGATTGCCAAATATGGGCTGTCCGGGTTGGTGCCAGGATTTCAGTGGCGGCGCCGCTGTGGACAACGTGGTTCGGTTGGGCGAGGTTTTTTTTTAGAGGGGTCCGGGGCAGGGGGATAATACTCAGGTACATACCTACTAATGTACTTGTACTACTAACAGTACTAACAGGTACGACCTGGTAGTTACCTACTAATACTCTGTAGTCCGTACTAGTCCGTACATGTAGATGTACTTTTTCCTTTTCCCTTTCCTTTCTATTTCATATATTTAATCATCTGCAGCCCGGTGGGCCGGCCAGCAAGTTGCCATTGCGTTGATGTGTCTCATTGCGGCGGCCTTCCCCTGGAACCTGCAAACTGCACGGACTGCCCACTGCCAGGGCATCCATCGGGTGCATTCAGTCGCTGCCAACCTGCAGATTACGAGGCCTTGTCCACTGGCAGCCCGGTAGAAACACTCCGAGCAGCCACTTCAATAGTCACCCGAGCAGCCACCCAAGAATGAACTAGGTGGCCACGACACGAGACAATCGACTCCGGCAGGCATAAACAGACACACTCTCATTTGGAATAATTCGTACTTTCTTCTCTTTGTTCCTCTATCAACTGTCCGAATCGTTGCTTGACCATCCACCACCACCTCGCTGATCCCCTCTTTCGCCCGCACGATCCACGACCCAGCACCATCGATAACAATGCACCAAAACGCCTGCCGTCTGCCACAATCAACCACCCACCAAGCCGCTAGCCTCACTAGCCCATCACCAACCAAGCTTCCATGGCTTTGCCCAATCGGCGAGTCACCAAGAAAAGAGAAGAGTCTCGAGTTGACTGGTCTTGAAAAAGTCTTGTCCCGTATCCGAGGCCCACTTGCCAACCTCGTGTTGTACCAGTACTGCCCAAATTGCTAACCACGAATGAATAACTGCCTTTTTCCTCAATTATTTATTGACTTTGACGGATTACGGATAACTACATAGGTAGGTACAAATTACTTATTGTTATTGCTTTATTACCTACGTCCGTATCTCCCTCTCCACACCCCCATGCCCATCCCGACAAAGAAACGGTTCCACGGGCACTGCCTTTATTAGCGCACTCCACCACAATCATGGCCAAGCTCGTTTCCTGCACAGAGAGACTCTTCATTAGTTACTTAATATAATTCAGTTATTATTAACAGACTAATACGAATTACAGACGCCAGAGACAGATCAAGGCGCGCCAATCCGGCGCCCCTTGCATCGAACCAGGTGATTGCCTACGTCTTCTTGGTCAGTAAGAATCCTTCATCAGCCAGTGACAACACTCAGCCAGCACTGGTTAATAATTGTGAACTACCACACCAGGAACAACACCAACGGCGTACGTGCCACGCCTTGAAACGCCAATGTGCCCAAGACTTTGCGGATCGCTGCGCTGTCCTCTCCGTACCTTGCAGGCTGCAGCAAGACGACATTCGCCGCCGCTTTAAATTGCAGTGGCTTGAAACGGCCGTCAACGCTGAGTTCCGATACCAATTCACATATCGGAATTTCTGTTGATGGCAAAATATCAAGACGGCAAATATCTGCGGATATGTCAGCTCACATCGCCTCGCTCTAGCACTATCTCCTGAGGCTCATCGACATACCGGCATACCGACATGCCACAGTCTTGCCAGTCTCCCTGCCAGTCCACATGCGGCTGCATGCGCATAGTTATAAGAAACAATATTTGTCTGCATACTATGTGAAAGCCAACGCATCATGGTTGCAGGCTATGTATCAGCGTTTCACGCGGCACAGTAATCATGGCAGCATCCAATCCACGCACAGCAGTAGCTGTGGCTATGCTAGCACAGCCGATGCTACAATGTCGCGACCTTGACGTATTCACTATTATGTGGTGTTATCCCGGTAATCTTGATACCTGTAATTTGTAATACACCCCTCGGTCGCTCTGGTGAGGCGCTGAAGTTGCGCAACGGGTTTAGTACTCCGTGTACATAATTACTGACACATAACACAAGGGGTCGTTCGACTACGTATTACCTCCTCAACTCACCCTATCAATTCTTCCAGTCCAACATTCGTCCCCATGTAGCTCAAAATCGCATCCCTGTGATACGAATAGGGGTGACGTCCCAATCTCTGGTAACAACCAGCCCGCGCAGGTTTACGGGGGCACGTGAAGGATGGGATATGAATAATCTATCGCTCCATTGCCATAGTTACTCAGGCTTTATATGTATTGCCCTTGTGCCTTTCATCCCCTTGTTTCCCCAAACTGCATCGCTTCCGACTGGCCAGACCCGAGTCCTGGTTCGCACTAGTCCACTTCCTGCGCCAGCAACTGGCGATGGATCATACATACTACAGAAATAGGTCGCCAAGGGCTGGGAAAATAAGTAAGTTAGTTACGAGAGCAATCCCTGGATACAGCGGACGGACAGTTCTTGTCCAAACGATCCAATACGTCGGGCTACCCCTACAGTAACTACACATCCTTGCATAATTCGAAAGGGATGGGGCTGTGTGTGATGGTACGGAGCACCGGAGTTGACAGTTCGACACTCCTACCAACATCCGCGCTCGGTGAGTCAGTAGAGACAGATGGATAACTGGACCTGTTTCGCCTCGGCTCTAACCAACTAGTTCTCATCCGTTCGCACCGTTTTGTGGTGAAGATGACGCTAGTTGACAATTGACGACCGAAGCCGGCGCTCGTCACCAGCTATGTACCTGTACAGTGTTGGTATCCGAATTTGGACTGTATATTTCAAGCCAATTTGACGCAGCATTCCACAGTCTTTCTGAGCTGGTAATAATTTCCCGCACCGTACCACGACTTGCTCTCAACCCCCACCTGCCTCGAAGCACATTTGCGCGCCCCACCATCCCTCAATCACTGGCAGGTCTGGCCAAAAATCAAGGACGGCCAGCCCATCTGTAGGCGATCCCATCGCTGCCTGCATACACACATCGGATGTGTCTCGCATCAGCGTCACCGTCACCGCCATCTACCAGTCTTTGTGCCACTGCCTTGCGGTCCCTATCTTGTTCCCCGCACGCTGCAGCTGGCGACGACTGGCAGCACACGACCATTGGACTTCCCGGCCGTTCCCCCTCGTTCCGCGATTCGACCCTTGCCAGAGGCACGACAGGCAATGCTGCCAGAGTGACTCGACGTCCTTGACGGCCATACCACCGGATCTGAGCTCGACGATAGCTGATTTCTCCGGCCTTTGTCCCGCGTTTGCACGATACAGGCCGCCCTAACAATGAATCCTGACCCTCCACGGAGGCGCTTCGCCCCCGAGCCGATTGAGACGACGTACAAATCCCACCGCGCCGCACCTTTACCACTCCCCGGTATTCGCGTCGGCCCGAACCCAGAGTTGACTCCAGAGCCATCCCCGCGTTCTCTTTCCCCGGCCTCCGCATATCCCCGCATAAGGCGACGCTTCGCCCCCCAGTTGATTGAAACATCACGAAGAAGTCACCGTGTCGGAGATGCCGGTCCTGCAACACGCCCTACCGACAAGACCGACATCACCCCATATACCAATCACATCTATACCGCAAAGGCCAAGTCAAAGAAGCGGCATGATGGCCCGATAGCCGAGGAGGAGACGCTGCAGCGGAAGCAGCCGACCCGGAGAGAAACCGAGGAGGAAGAGGTCAAGGAATATCTACTCGAACTCGCTGCAAAGGAGGCCGAGAGGCAGATCCAAGAAGACGCTCTCGCTGCCTTTCCCAACAGTCATGCTCGTGAGGGTGGCGTCGCCCATTTTTATTTCCGCGATGGTTCAAGCAGTGAGGAGTCCCCGGGTAGGAGCCCAGCGGAAGACGATCGTGGTAGGCGTCGGTTGCGAAGGAAGACGTCGAGCCTTGATCTAAATTGGTGGCAGAGGCACATGCAGGAGCACGCGGAAAAGTTGGTTCATGAGAGGGAAGATGCTGAGGAGGCAAGCAGGATGTTTGAGGACCTGGATATGACATCTGATTCGGAACTGGACAAAATGGACCTAACGGTACCACCCGACGCATTGTGGACCACAAGCCGACGTGCTTCGCTCGGAGACAGACGAGATTCTGCAAGTGAGCAGGCCGAGGCAAGGAAATGGGCAGCCGCTAAAAAGGAAAACGAAGCCCTACATGTATTACGGGGCCCCGCCCCCGAATCGACAACCCCCGACCGATCTCAACCTCGTGCACAACACCACCTACAACATCAACCGCTACAAAAACAGCCGCCGCCGCAGCATCTACCGGCCAATGCGTCTGGCATCCGACATCATCACGATCCCTTCGGCCGCCCCTTTGCTGCCCTCGGCATCCGGCCCGAAGCTGCGCAGCTCCAGCGCATCCGCAAGTTTGCGTCGCCTCCGATGCTGGGAAAGGAGCTCAACTTTCGCAAGTGCCCTTCGCCCAAGCAAACAAAGCTCGAGACGGACCACTCGTTTGTGCTTTCACAGAATGCAAAACATAATCGGGACTTGTCGGGCAAAAGTGGCCTGTGGAGGGGCTACTGCTGCAGGTCGGAATCCACCGGCGGCTACCTTGTCCCGGCGGAGCTGCATCCCCCAGCAATGATGGCGACGCCCCGGACACCCGGCACCCCCAAAGAATTGTTTGCGCACGAAGTCGACTGCGTCCTGGCGGTGAGCGACGAGCCCGCGTCACTCTGGGACGCGGCGGCCGCGGAGTCGCCCGGCAGCTTGCCCGGGACGTGCGCGGGGACGGCCGAGCACCGACTCCGCAGCCGCGCCCCCAAGGGCCTGCACATGCTCCACGGGCTCGACGAGCGCCTGCAGCAGGAAAAGGTGCGCGCCGAGCGCGACGACAAAATTGCGGTCGAGTTTGGCGACGAGTTTGTCACACAAGTCTACAACTACCTCTCGCTCGGGTACCCGGCCATGGCGCGCTCCTTTGACGAGGAGCTCGCCAGGATTAGCCGCGTCAGTGTCGAGGATCTGGGCCGTGATGACGACAAGCAGCTAGCCAAGGGTCACATGCTCGAGATGAGCCTCGACGACACCCCCGAAGAGGCGCGCTGCCCGCGCTGGAAGGCGCTGCGCGTGTACATTGTCGAGTGGGCGCGGCAGCACCCGGACCTCGACAATCTGAATCCTCTGGCGTGGGGCGTGCATGAACGACGTGGCAGCTGGGCAATCTAACACAATGTGCTCAGTAGTATTAAACGGAGCCTGGAAAGAAGTGACAGGAAACTGTGTCTTCCTCCGTGGCTTTCTGCATCATCTGCATCATTATACCCTCGATCATCCGGCGATTTCATCATCCAATATATATATATACATATATTGTTTCACGGTCCCTATCACCTTCATCAGCGCACGTTATTTGCATATTTTCTTTGCATGGGCTAGCGCGGAGATTTGCCAGGTTTCTGGAACGCTTAGAACTTCCATATTCATATGGAGTAGGCGTTGTTGTCTTGTTTACATTCGTTGCCATTGTTTTGTCGTTTTCTTTCCAGGGCGCGCATTATATCTCTATTTAATTTTATTACACGAGGATGTTCTTTCTTCCCTTCTGAAACGTTTGGATATATGACTCACATTCGTTGTCGTGACGCATACACAGTAGAGTAAACGACATGAAACATACCCGTTACACATAACCACGACCGAGAATAGTAAAAATTACCGAATTGACTACTGTATTGAAAGGTAAAAAACTCAAGAAGTTCCTAACCGAGGAACATAGAAATATAAAAATGTACAACACCCGGTGTTCGCTGGTCGTCACCGAGCCAACTACTAATCTGGCGCTCAAGCGTTTGTCGTTCGGAGATCAGACGGGATCCAGATTTTTCACTCGGCTATGGCCGTACATGTTAGCAAGGTGAGCATATTTGCCTTATATCACATTCTCATATGTAGCCCGCGTAATGAACCTGTGCAAGACAGTGGACGACACTCCCCATTGTGCAATAAATAAGACCAAGTCAAATGTATATTCTTTTCTAACCAACGCCGGTAAATATGTGGGATAAAACGGGTGACAGCGTATTATAGTCTCAAACACTTCCCTCTCCGACATGGTACAATAAAAACGGATGCTTTGCCAATACATATCAGAAAAATGTGTTTCCTTCCCTTTGCCATCTAGCCAGTCCGCAGATCGTTGGTGCCCTCCCCCCGTCGTCTGAAATCATGATGAGACCTTTTGCCCTGCTTCCAATCAAGTCTTTCGTTTGCCTTTTTGCATTCTGCTTACTTTTTCCATCTCTTGTTTTCTTTTTTTTTATGCTTGTTGCAATTTTTTTCACTTGTGCTTTGAGAAGAAGCCGACGACTTTTTGTAGCTTGGAAGGCGGCGCGGGCTCTGCATCACTCTCTTCGTCCTCGCCCATAGACTCGTCCACGTCGTCGTGGTCCACCTCATCTTCGTCCAGAGACTCCTCCACACCATCGTCGGCATCATCCTCTTCAACGTCTGAATCGTCGTCGTCGCCGTCCGAGTCGGGGATAACGCCGTTGGCCATGTACGTATCCTCATCGTCCGCTAGGTCTTTGACGGGAGCACTATCCCGCGTCTCGCCCTCGACCCAGATGACGTTGTCGTCAGACTCATCCTCGGCATCGCTGTCACCACCGCCGTGCTTCCCAGACGACGTACCTCGCTTCATCTTGCGACGGAGCTCCATCTGGCCTTCGAGTAGGTCGAGTTTGCCCTTCAGTGCGAGCAAGCTGTTGAGGCCTTTCGCGCGTTCGGCGAGCACCTTTTGCAGGCCGTTGAGGCTCTGGACGACCTTGGGCTGAGATGACAGAGCGCCGCCATGGGCAATGAGCGTCCACTTGACCCATATCATCAGGTTGCCGGCCCGGCCTGGCCGTCGGTGCAGGCGGGCGGCCAGCTTGTTTAGGAGAATGCCGGCAAGGCTGCTGTCGATGCGCTCTATGGTGTTTCGGATGGTGATGAGGTCGGTCGTGTGCAGGCACGATTCGAGCAGATCCGTGTCGTCGGTCTTGAGCGCTTGCGTGAGGACGGTGGTGAGGGACTGGAGGGACGGCGGTGCGATGGCGGTGCGTGAAGGTTGCACGGCAGTGCTGGTAACGGCTTGCTGAAGCAGGCTGGAGACGTCAATGGTCTCGTTGCCGCGCAGGAGCTCGCCAAACGTCGGGGAGCCCCCCTCGGCATCTGAGCCGGCGTCATTACTGTCGTCTGCGGCGGCTGTGGAACTGCTCTTGATTTTGTTGTCGTTGGGGGCCTGCGTTGTTTCATTGGTGCCGTTTACTTGCTCCACGGAATCTTCTTCGTCCGAGGCGTACTCGCTCTCTGCGTCGGAAGAGATTTCTATCGTCTCGATATTTGAGCCCTGCAGGGTATCTGTGCCAGCGACGGAAGTATGTAACTCGTCAATTGTGTTCTTCGAGGAAATGTTGGCGCTCTTTTTAGCCACTGGCGCTACCAGCTTCGCTGGAGCTTTGCGTTTGGTTGACATGGGCATGAGGCACGAGGCGACGGAAAAGTTGCCCGCCGCTATGAATATTGGAGAGAAGAGCAGGAGTCAGCCCCTATTAGCGCGTGTTTAGGGAGTCTGATACAATCAAGGGATGATAAGAATTTTGTGAGACAGGCGATTTGCAGACCGCGATGTACAGTCGCTCGCAGTTTGGAAAATTTCCAAGTCGTCTGTGAACTTTTTTTTTTAGGCGGGCCGGTTGGTCAAAGATGCCCGAAGTCGACAGCCAGGAAAATCGACCTTACCTAAGCATCTCTCTTATCTTATCAGCCAGCTCTCATCATTCAATGGAGCACATTAGCAAAGTCACGTGAGGGGTAACTGTTTTTGTGCGTGGCTGCAACTGCGAGCCGCCATGTATGCGGCCTACCTCGATTTACTGTTGTTGAATTCAATGGCATTTATTCCAATTTCTTACAAGATTGACTGTGCAAGGGCGTGTTTAACTGGCCTGCGTGCTGGCGAATACGTCAGTTCCGTTTTCGTCGCAGTCACCTGACAGGGCGTCTGGCTGTTTGCGCCACAGGTTGTGGTTCAAAAGGGTGGCGTGCGGTAATTTATGGCACCCCTAGTCCGGACCCCGTTTGAACGATATGGTCAAAGTGGCCAGGCAGAGCAAGCCGGCAGGAAGCAGACGCGGTCCACAATACGACGCGGTCCACGGTCCGCGATCCACCACCCTTGGCCAGCAACTAGTGCTTCTGTTTCTTTGTGTCGGGGACTCATTAATTGGCTGCTTCACGCTTGGGCATTCGGGGGGCGGGTTGCTCAGTTCGGGGACGGGATCGCGGCAGGAGACAGCAGTGGGTGGAGGTAGTATGAGGCTCGGCGCATGATGGTTGACAGACAGTAGGCGCAAAGCTTCTTACCTGGGCAACTAATAGACGACATTGGGTTGCAGAGGGTCGCGCAGTACGGAATAACAGTGCTGTTCTGGAAGGTTTGGGGTCCTAACATAGCCCAGCTCCATCTTTGTGTCGCCCAGCGGCACGAGGCATCTTATCTGGTTATGTGATCCGATCTGCTGTATCGAGACGTGGCACCATGGTGAGCAATCGGCAAACACCAAGACGCGGCGGACGTAGTGGCACGGCACGGCAGGCGAGGTTGCACACTGCTCCCTATTAGTTGCCAATCGTGGCAGTGTAGATGTAGGTCGTCATGAGGTACCTAGGTAGTGCGGTGGCTACCTCGGTCTATTCAAGATGAAATCGCGGGGGAGAGATTGATGGACGTGGATAGATGATGTCGATAAGAAGATGGAGGATGAACAAAAGCCTAGGTACCTAATAACTACTAAGGTATTGTATATAGGTAACTTTAGTGCTAGGTACGGTCCATCTAGTTGGAGCTTCAGAGCTCAAGCTCCAATAATTGAGTCTCGGAGCTCCCCAGCCACAGCAGGCTGGGCTTGTAAGGCAAGCCTCCGAATATGGGGTGCTATGGAGATTCAGCCAATAAGCTATTGCCATGGAGACGCTAGACGTGGTCTCAGCCACATCTAGCCACATCTAGCCTCTTCGGGCTACTCGGCCAAGTAAATTTTTTCCATGCTTCACGCCTCGCGCACTCCCCCAGCATTTACCAGCCCTTTCACAGGACCCCGGTATAGGCATATCCAGGTCGTCCCACCAAAGGAACTTGTTCTCTCATAAATACCAGCGCGCGTCCGGCTGGCAAAAAAAGACCGACGTGCACGCGCTTTCCCTTCCAGACCCTCCCCGACTCGGCCTTCAGCCCCCCTCCAGGTACCTCTCTGCTTTTGCGCCCCGGCGCATTCTGCTCTCTGGACCTGTACAGCATCCATCTCACCCACCGCCTTGCAATTTTCATTTATTAATTTTCCTCTACGCCTCTATCTCATCTGTCGCATCCGACTTCTCGAATCACACGACCCGGTTTTCGCATCCCGTCCCAGTACCGCGTTTGCGCCAGCCTCGCCTCTACACGATTCTACACGGTCGCATTCGCAAGATCGCATCATAACATCACGGCATCGCGCGCCAGCTTGCAGATCGCATCCGCGCTTAACATTAAATCGCCCTGCGCGGTGGGATTCTGTTCTGTTCGTTACGGTGCCTGAGGTTACGTTGTTGTCTGCAGCTCCCTCACTTTCGCGATCCGTTTGCGCCACTGCTTCTCACAGCAACACCGCCCCGTGCACGGCGCGCTTCAGTACCCACATCTTCTCGTGAAGTTGCCTTTCATCGCTCTCGCCACCTTGTCTATTTAATGCTGCGCCGGCCCTGTTGAGTTGCATACACACACAGCGCAATCTACATAACGCGCCTCCGCCGCAAATCATCGCTATGGAGTGGCCCAAATCCGACGCCCCAGCGCCAGCCAGCGCGCCTGCTTCGGAGACCAAGCCGCTGCCCTCTCCGTCGCAGTCGGAACAAAATGTTGATAGCAACGGGTAAGTGCACCTGTTTTGATTGAGATGGCGCTTTCACGCGCCAAAGAATTGTCTCGTTCATTTTGCTCATCCAGTCTCCTGCGCATAGTCTTGCCGCCGCCGACATCCTCACAAAACCTACTGAGCCACTCTCGTCCGAACCTTCCGCCACCGCTCCCGCCGTTCCCGTCGCGCCTGCCTCTTCTACAGCCGTGCCAGCCGTCAACGGAAGCGCTGCTTCTTCGGAACATGACGGCACCAACGGCATTTCTCACCCTGTTGAGTTGTCGAATGAGAAGCCCGCTTCGCAAGAGACCACTTCCTCTGAGTTGCCCACGCAGCAGGTCGAAGAAGAGCCCACTGCGCTGTCGTCAATAGAGATAACAGCAGTACCTGTTCGCGAGAACAGCGACAAGCCTGCCGATAAAACGCCCCCTGGGCCTGCTGTAGCGAGCGCGCCAAAACCTTCCAATGAGGATAAACAGGAGCTAGCTCTGGAGGAAGTCAAGGAGGGAATCGAGGGACCAAAGGAGGGGGTTAAGCCTGTACCAAGCTCTGAGACTGAAGACACAAAGATGGACGAGCCTACTGTAGTTGGAAAGCCAAACCATTCGGCTGAACCAGCTCCAGTTGAACCCAGCTCTACCTCTATTGCCAACGAAAAGACACCTACCGCCGAACCCGCCAAAATCCAAGAGCTGGAAGATGTCAAGATGGAGGATGCCCCGGAAGACTCTACCACCACCACTCAAGCTTCTGTGCTGCCTACAGCTCTTCAAACGCAGAATAGTGCTACACTCCCAACATCTGAGGTTGATCTTCAACCCGCTAGCCTGTCGCAGCTCAACATAGAAACCCAGCCCGCCACGTCCCCTATCACTGAGTCGGTCGAAGTTGATATGAGCGATGCACCGGCCGTTAAGGTCGCTCGTGAGCGCGAAGACGACGATGCAGCAGAGGAGCCTGCTGCGAAGCGTGCCAGAACTGAGCCTGAAGAGGACAAGCCGATGGCTGATCGTTTCGACCAAGATACAGCCGTAACCGAGCCTGCTGCTGCTCCTGATGAGGCCGCTGCCGCTGCTGAGAACGCCCCGGGCCTGGATACGCTACCGAACTGGAACGATCCGGAAGCCAACGGCAGACCTTTCAGTGCCTTTCAGCGCCGTGAAGTTCGCAAGACAATCGGCAGACTGAAGAAGACCAAGGGAGGCGGAAACTTCCGCGACGCTGTCATTAAGCTCTGGCCACAGCTGCGTGAAGCTTACTTGGCCAAGGTTGAGACGCCTATGGACCTCTCCGAAATCGACCGCAACGTGCGCGAGGGAGAAGGCGCTTATGTCACCTTTGGAGAGTTCAAGAACAAGGCGTCCCTCATCTACCTCAATGCCCTTACTTTCAATGGTCCGACTCATGATGTCACATTTGCTGCTTTCAATGTCGTCAAAGCTCTTTGGGAAGAGCTTCTCGCTGCACCCGCCGAAGAACCCCCGAAGCCCAAGGCTATTCCAAAGGCCAAGCCTATTCGTGAATCTCGCATCGTTGCCATTGCCGAAGCCCCCGCATCTCGCCGCACGTCTACCGGACCCCGAGGTAGTCCCTCAACGGACGCAGATGCCAAATCGGCTGCCGGCGATCGCCGCGGCTCGGCTGCCACCGAGGCTGATCGTCCAAAGCGCACAGTTCGCGCGCCTAAGCCTAAGGATATTGACTACACAACCAAGCCTTCACGGAAGAAGCTTAAGCCCGAGCTTCAGTTCGCCATGGAGGTCCTTGGGGAAGTAATGCACCCCAAATACGAGCAGCTGAACACGTGGTTCCTCGAGCCTGTGGATGCGGAGGGTCTGAATATTCCGGACTATTATTCCATCATCAAAAAGCCTATGGACCTGGGCAAAGTTTCGGCGATGCTTTCTGCCGGTGACTTTGCCAACTTGAAGGACTTTGACAAGCATATACGGCTCGTGTTTGAGAACTGCTACAGCTTCAATGGCCCTCCTAGCCAAGGAAATCCTGTCTCCCAGACAGCCGCGGAGCTGGAAGCTGTCTATACTTCACAGATGAAGACCAAAGATGCTTGGCTGGCCAAGTTTGCCAAGGCAAATGCACCTACCTCGGCCGATGTCAGTGATGAGGAGGACGATGAGGAGGATATTGATGACGGTGCCTCTGCCGAAGACAATTCGAAAGAGATGCAGGAGCTGCAGGCCAAATTGGATGAGGAGACGAAGAAATTGCATGCCATGTTCGTTCCCGGCGCCAACCAGTCGATGATTGACATTCAAAAAGGCATTGTCGACATGGTACAGCAGGCTCTTATTAAGGCTGTGGCTAGCGCCGGTGACGGCCAGCCCAAGAATGACAAGAGCGCGAAAAAGGCTAAAGCGCCCAAGGGCAAGAGCGCCGGTGGACGAAAATCCACGGGCGCCGTCCCGGGCAAGAAGGCGGGCGGCGGTAAGAAGGGCGCGGCCAAGAAGAGCTTGACAGCCTCTGATAAGGACCATATTGCCAACGCTATCAACGACCTGGAATACCCGCATCTAGACCGCGCGATTGACATAATTAAAAAAGACACTGGCCAGAACGAGAATAATGATGGCGAGCTGGAGCTGGACATTGACCAGCTCAGCAATGACGCTCTGCTAAAGCTCTGGGAGCTGTGCAAAAAGGTTCTGCCAGGCTTCGCTAAGGACTCTGGGCACTCGGCGCCTGCTGCACCCGAGCCGGCCCGGCCGTCCAAGTCCAAGACAACGGCCGGCAAACCCAAGAAGAACAAGCCTATGAGCGCACAGGAGCAGGAGGCAAGAATCGCACAGCTCACAGCTCTACGACAGATGTACAAAGATGGCGGTGATGGGCCTGATGCTGTCGGCCCTGGCGGATTCACCATGGAGCCGAGGCTTGCAGACTCAAGCGACGACTCAGACTCGGAAGAAGAATGATTTTCCAGATGCAGTGAACGCAAAGCGTGCCACAATGTACGAGTATGACTACGTGATGAGGAATGTGATTGCATACGGGTTTCAGTCGCAGAGAAGAAAAGTTCTGGCATCTTTCTTATTTTTTGCTTAATCCTTTCGTCGTTGCACAGGCAACAAAGTTGACTTCTTTTTGTTTCCCAAGCCCCCTCGCTGGTGGCAAGCAACTGGTTTATTTCTAGACCAGAAAGATTGGGTGGCCTCTAGAGGGACGGCCGTTGAGGCGTCACTGGATTCCCGCGAGGGATGTTTACTTCAAAGGAGCCGGGGGGAGGCAATCGGCCTCGCAGGCGCATTGGCGTTTTTATTTTTTCCCTTGTTCTTTTTGTTTTTTTTTTTTTGCATTTTGACGCGTGTGATTCTCCGTTTGGATTGATATGAGAAGTGAAGTCAGTGTCATTCTTCTCTTAGCAAGATTATAATTCGTTGCTGATTGCAATGGTGACGCAGCCCTCGAGGCTGCGTGAATAGATTTTACGCTTTGAAGATAGCAGCATTCGAGGTCCCAACCACGTGCACTTAGATGGATGATGTTTGGTATGTGGCTGTTCACGCTCCAACAATTGTACCGCCTGTTGAGGCCGTATCTATTGTCAGGATTCAAACGCATTGGTGGGCATGGGCAGCTTCCTGCGTAGCCTGCTGCATATCTCTACGTATTGGTCTTCCGTCTCAGGCGTAACCAAGCCATGACGGATGAAAAAGTCAATCATGACGGCGCATACGTTGGGCTTGAACTCGCCCGCGCGCATGCGCCGCACCACCTCTTGCCAGTCCATGAGCATAAACTCGTCCACCTCGCCGTCATCGCCCGGCAGCGGCACCAAACCCAGCGCGGCCGCGTCGTCGCCGGCAGCTGGCGGCGAGAGATCCAGGTCGTAGACGTAGAGAATCTCGCCGTGGACCAACGCGGTGCGCGGGTTTCGGTTCGCGAGGGTGACAACGCCGGCGGGCCGGAGCCGCGGGGCGACGATGGCGGGCAGCAAGCGAGCCTCCTCCTCGGACTCGGCGAGCATGCAGTCGAGCGGGTCGTCATCGGCCTTGACGCCACCGGCGACGGCGCTGTCGAGCATACCTGGGTAGGTGTAGAGCGAGGCGCTGCGGCGGGCGACCCAGACGCCGGCGACGGCGCCAGTGGTGGAATCCCGCACGTAGGCGGTGAGGTGGGCGCCGCGCGTGTTGATGCCGAAGAGCGCGGCGGCGAAGCGCTCAACGCGGAGCAGGGACGGCTGGTCCGGGTAGGCGGCGTTGCGGACGCCAGGGATGCGAAAGGGCTCGCTGTGCAGGCCGTTGAGGGTGGGGAAGCGGCCGCAGGCGAGGGCGGCGTCGACGGCGTCCTGGAGCGCGGCGTTGGCGAGGGCGGCCGTGGGCGCGGCTAGGGTGACGGTGGCGGCGGCGTGGGCGATGGCGAAGGCCGGTGGCCACGGGAGGCGGGAGACGGTGGTCGGGTGGATGAAGCCATGGGGGCGGGGGTCAGGTGCGACGAGGAACCGGTAGTAGGGGCTGCAGTTGGTAGGGGAAAAGTCGAGAGGGAGACTGGCGATGTGTGTTGGTTAGAATGGGGGGTGATGGGGGGATGGATGTGGCTAGCTGAGGTTCTCACTTGTCGACTTTGGTGATGAGGTCGAGGAGGGACGGAAGAGGCTGCCCGTCGGTTGAGGTCGTCATGATCTATGTAAAGGCGGTGTGCTGGGATACTCCCGGGGGAGTTGATGAAGCTGCGATGATGAGGATGGACGGTTGACGACAAGAAACGGTAGCCTTACTCTGTCTGTTTGGAGGAGGCTCCACTGACCCGCCGTCGACCAACGGCGACCAACAGACGATGTTGTAGCAGAATACATGATTTCACTGCGATAGGAACAAAACAGCAGGATTGGTTTGTGGGAAATGTTACATATTATTATCATTCTTATTATCATTCTTATTATCATTCAAGGCCAGTGCGCCAACCCGAGTGTGGTCCGTGCCATGTGAGCGCTAAATTATAAAAAAGGAAGGCACCGCGATGCCACCACCCCTCTCGTCCAACCAACCCAACGACAGCACCATTCATTCTTATTACTGGAATCAACTTGGCATCGCTTACAAGATGCGACCATGTGCCGCCTCTTTCCGCCCTCTTGGGCCTTTATCCTACCGGCTCGCGGGCCGTTGACGACGTATTGCGCGACGTGCCCTAGCCGCCTGTCTCACCAGGATAGAAGACGGGCTGGTTGTGGTGAAGCCGTTGTAGTTACATGGCCATGCTCTTTGTCTCTGACCAACAATGTATAAGACGACAACGATGATTCAGAACCCCCCTTTTCTCTTTTTGCCTGAAACTTTTGTTGCCAGTTCTTATTCTATTCATCGTTACCGGTGCCACATTGTACTTGCTGCTTCGTGTTTTCTGAGAGCCTCCGACAACACTCGGCCAATTATGGTAGCTTGGTCAGCGCGACCGCTTCTCGCCGGCCTCTCTATCGTGGCGACTTTCCTGGCGCCTTGCAAAGCCAGCAGAAGGAGGATCCCTGGCGCCTACATCGTCGAGTATCAAGATGGCCATGTACGAAGCCCTTGTTTCATGCTATTGGAAACATCCTTTACTCACCATTATTTCATAGAATTCGGCGAGCGTCGTGGCTGCCATGGGCACGCATCTGGACCATGTTCGTGCCCACTTCAACTTTGCTCATTTCAAGGGCGTGTCCATTCAGGTTAATGACAGCATCGAAGCCCGAAGCGCCGCCTATGGCATGTCCAGCACGGCCAGCGAGGCCAGCGCGGCCAAGAATATATGGCCCGTGTACGCCTATGACAGACCCGTCTTAAATGCCACTCTAGCGGCGCCCTTTGCTCGCCGTGCCCGTGACGACACATACACCCCTCACGTCATGATGCAGGTTGACCAGCTCCGTGCTCTTGGCTTCGACGGCAAGGGTGTCAAAGTAGCGGCCATTGACTCCGGTGTAAGTCATAACCCCACACACAAAGACAAAGGTCCCAAAACACTTGCCTTCACTCACACTCATCATCATCCTCTTTATACAGGTCGACTACAAGCACCCTGCTCTCGGTGGCTGTTTTGGTACCGGCTGCAAGGTCTCATTTGGCTACGACTTTGTCGGCGACGCCTACGGCAACGACAGCAACGAGCCCAAACCCGACGACGACCCCATGGACTGCGGCACGCACGGCACGCACGTTTCGGGCATCCTCGTCGCCGACGCCAACGACCAGGGCTTCACCGGTGTCGCGCCTGGCGTCACCTTTGGCATGTACAAGGTCTTTGGCTGCTCCGGCGGCACCCGTACCGACATCCTCATGGCCGCCGCTGCCCGCGCTGCTGAAGATGGCGTCCAGGTCCTCAGCTGCTCCGTCGGCGGCACATACGGCTGGTCCGATGACGGCTTCGCCTACCTGCTGAGCAAGCTGGCGCGGGACAAGGGGATCGTCGTGGCCGTCGCCGCGAGCAACGAGGGCAGCAAAGGCGCGTTCTATCCCTCGGCGTCGTCGAACGGCGATAGCGTAAATTCGATTGGCTCCGTGGATCTGGAGGGCAAGGACGGCACTGGAGGCACGCCCAGCGCATTTTCGTCCTGGGGGCCGACGATGGACATGGAGTTTAAACCCCAGTTTGCGGGGCCGGGCCTGGATATCCTGTCGACGCTGCCAGGCGGCAAATATGGCAAGTCCTCGGGCACGTCCATGGCGGCGCCCATGGTGGCCGGGGTCATGGCCCTGCTCATCCAAGCCCTGGGACCGATCAAGCCGGAGCGCATGCAGCAGCTTCTGGCCGCCAGTGCCAAGCCTCTCAACTTCAGCGACGGCTCGCAAAGCCGTCCTGTACTGGCGCCGGCCGCGCAGCAGGGCGCCGGCCTCGTGCAGGCCATGAACGCGTTCCGCAGCACCACGCGCATCGCGCCCTCGAGCCTGTCGTTCAACGACACCGACCACATGCGACCAATGTACAATGTCACCGTCACAAACGCCGGCAACGCCACCGTCGGCTACCACATCTTCGTGCGCCCCGCCGTCTCCCTCTACGTGCTCGCCAGGAACAGCTCGTACCCGTCCGCGTTCCCCAACGACCAGACTAACGCTACAGGCGTTCTCAGCGCCACTGTGATCCAATTCACCCTCGCGGCCGGGCAGAACCACACCTTTCGCGTGACGGCCGCGCCACCGCCCACCGCCATCGACACCAGGCGACTGCTGCTCTGGTCCGGCTTCCTGTCCGTCCGCGGCAACGACTCGTCCACCGTGTCGATACCGTACCAGGGCCTGGCCGGGTCCCTTCGAAACGCGACGACGCTGCCGGCTGGCGGCACCGCCGTGGCGCGCTCGACCGACCCGGACCGCAAACCCGTCGCCGCCAACACCCAGTTCGTGTTCCCCAAGGACGGCGCGGCCGCCTCCAGCGACGACTTGGCGCGGATCGTGGTCCTCCTCGCGCTGGGCACCAAGAAGATGACGGCCGAGATTGTCGCGGATCCGTCGGGCGACGTGGTGGGCACGTTGGCGGGGGGGGAGTATTCCATGGTCACGCGCGGCGATGGCTTTGGCTTCGATTGGGACGGCCAGCTGGCCAACGGTTCCTATGCCGGCGCAGGCACGTACAAGGTGCGCGTCAAAGCGCTCCGGATCTTTGGAGATGAGGCGAATGCGCATGACTGGGACAGCAGCACCACAGTGCCCATCCAGATTTCTTACAAGCAGTGAGAAATCTTTCGTCATTATTTTCTTTTCATCTTGTTATTTATACCAGGCTTACGAGCATTGTTTCTTTTTGAGTATATATTTGTGGACACAATGTCGAGCTACCTAGAGTGTACATATAACACGGCCTTAGTTTCTCTGTCGTGTGAAACGAGACACTCATTCTCGCACAAAAAAAAAGCGAACGGTCCAAGAACAAAGTAAATATCCATTTGGAGCATCAAAACGCGTAATAAGAGTAATAACTCCGTCTAACAACCTATAACTACAACACGCGAAATACTGGAATCAAAGCGGGACCGCTCGCCACTACTTTGAGGTTCCAAGCCAGCCCTCACTCCTCGGCCTGGCGCTCTGCCAGATGCACTTTTTTGTTTCTTTAGTATACACGCTTGAAGGGAGGAACGGGCTTGCACTCGGCCTCGTCCAGCGTCGTGGAGATGACGCGACGGTAGCTCAGGTCGACCTTGCCGTGGGGCGTCTTTTGGAAGGACAGCGTGTGCTTCATCCATTCCTTGTCATCGCGATCGGGGTAGTCCTCGCGGGCGTGGGCACCACGGGACTCCTTGCGGGCGGCGGCAGAAGTGGCGGTTTGGATACTAGAAAGAAATCATGTTAGCCAAGTTCCGGACAGGGAAAGGGGTACCTTCATATATGGTAGGGGGTCAACATACGCGCAAGTAAGCAAGTTACGGAGCTCCAGGGTCTCCACGAGATCCGAGTTCCAGATCATGCTGCGGTCCTTGATACCAACGTCCTTGTAGGTGGCGTCAATCTCGTTCATCTTGCGCACACCCTCATCCAGGGACTCCTGAGTACGGAAGACGGAAACCTCAGTCTGCATAGCCTTCTGCATAGCAAGACGAATCTCAGCAGTAGTCCTGTGGCCATCAGCATTGCGGACCTGGTCAAGAACCTCAATGTGTTCAGCACCAGCATCGGCAGCAAGGGGCTTGAGCTTGGCACCCGGCGTGAAGTTGTCACGGATCGTGTGCGAAACGGCACGGCCAAAAACGACGAGATCGAGAAGAGAGTTGGCGCCGAGACGGTTGGCACCGTGGACAGAAACGGAAGCGGCTTCACCGCAAGCGAACAGACCGGGGACAACCTGGTCCTGGCCCTGGGCGTCAACAGTAATGACCTCACCAGTGTAGCGGGTGGGGATACCACCCATGTTGTAGTGGACGGTAGGAAGAACGGGAATGGGCTGCTTGCGGACATCGACACCAGCAAAGATACCGGCAGTCTCAGAGATACCGGGCAGACGCTCAGCGAGAATTTCAGCGGGCAGATGGCTGAGCTGGAGGTAGATGTGGTCCTTCTCAGCACCGACACCACGGCCGTCACGGATTTCCATGGTCATGGAACGAGAGACGACGTCACGAGAGGCAAGATCCTTGGCGGTAGGGGCGTAGCGCTCCATGAAACGCTCACCCTCGGAGTTGAGGAGGTAACCACCCTCACCACGAGCACCCTCGGTGATGAGGCAGCCAGCACCGTAAATACCAGTAGGGTGGAACTGAACGAACTCGAGATCCTGGTTGGGAAGACCAGCGCGAGCAGCCATAGCCATACCATCACCAGTGCAAGTGTGGGCTGACGTGCAGCTGAAGTAGGCACGTCCGTATCCGCCCGTGGCAAGGACAGTGTTGTTGGCAAGGAATCGGTGGAGGGTTCCGTCCTCCTGGTTGTAGGCGAGAACACCGCGACATTCGCCATCCTGCATGATCAGGTCGAGAGCAAAGTATTCGATGAAGTAGTTGGTGTTGTGAGCGAGGGACTGGCCGTAGAGGGTGTGGAGAAGGGCGTGACCGGTACGATCAGCAGCGGCGCAGCATCGGTAGGCCTGGCCACCCTTGCCGAACTTTTGCGACTGACCACCGAACGCACGCTGGTAGCTGGATTGGGAGTTGTGTTAGCTTGACGCAATGGGGAGAGGCGCAATTGGGGTTGGGAAACTCACATTTTGCCCTCGTCGGTACGGGAGAAGGGGCAGCCGTAGTGCTCAAGCTCGATGATGGAGGCGGGAGCCTCACGGGTCATGTAGTGGATGGCGTCCTGATCACCGAGCCAGTCCGAGCCCTTGACGGTGTCGTACATGTGCCATCTCCAGTCATCCTCGTGCATGTTGCCAAGGGCGGCATTAATACCACCCTGAGCGGCGACGGTGTGCGAACGCGTAGGGAACAGCTTGGAGATGCAGGCAGTGTTGAAACCAGCCTCGGCAAGACCAAAGGCGGCACGGAGACCGGCGCCGCCAGCTCCAACAACGATGGCATCGTACTCGTGGTCCTGTTTGGGGGGTTAATCATTTATGCCGGCGCAGAGCGATCGAGGGCCTGTTTTCGGGTATACGCACGATGACGGGGTACTTGTTGCTAACGAAAGGAGAAGCTTCCTTGGCGCGCAGAGGTCCGTTGGCAATGACGCGAGCTGTAGAATTGGACCGTCAGCATATTGTTGTTGTGGTTGTGTTCCTTTCTGGACAGCTACTCACCAGCCGGGCGTGTGGTAGAAAAGGCTCTAGCTTGCGCCTGCGAGAACTAGAAGCCGAAAGCACATCAGTAACGAGGCATTGGGCGGTCGGCAAATTAAATGCATCCTGTAGATGAATTGACTGCGGCGCGCTGCGAAGCGCAATGGCTCGAAACAGGGCCGCGCTCGCGGTGGTGGCGAGAGCGACCTAGCCGAGGTTATCGTGAGGGCAGGTTGAAGGGCAAGACGCACCGCTGCAGGCCGGGAGGCCAATCTCCTCAGTAAAGAAGCCATTGTGTGTCGCAAAGATCAATGGCCTGACTGCATAGACTACCGGAGGAAGGGACGAGGATGTAGACGGGAGAGGGGAGATGTGTCGACGGGCGATGCGGATTGCACGTGTAGGTAGGTGGTGGTCGGGTTCAGGAAGCCAGCCGTTTGGTGACGGGGAAGAATTATGGAGTAATTTGGTGAGAAAACCGCGAGTCGGGACGTCTTTGGCCAATCAGAACAAGATAATGGTAAGCGGTGGACACTAGAGTGGCCGACCATTCCCGGCCTGGTTGATGAAGAAGCCGAATAAGAAGCCATCTCGCGCATGTCCGTCGTTGCCACAATGTACTGAAGCTCTCCTAAATCTGCGTCGCATCTGGTTTGGCAAAGAGCTACTCACGATTCATCATTGCGTATTTTGGCATTTATTTCCAAATTCCTATGCCCGTACATAGCTAGAATGCCATTGTTACTCGGCTGTACAAGGAAGGACTCGCGTCAGGCTCGACCGGGTTCTCAACAGGTCTCCTCCGGTACTAATTATCCCAGTACCAATTATCGCAGTCATGTTTCATTTGTCACGTCCTTTTGATCTTTCCACTTTGGCTATTTTCTTCCCGATCGATGCCCATGGTTCAATGTACCGGTCATAGCTCGTGCAACAAGTCACGTGCATCCTCAATCCTCCCGATCACCCACTTCAACTCAGCGGGAACACCCACTCAGCGCAAACTCTAGAAACGCGATAGTTGATGCACGCCGTGCCTATCTCCGATATCCGATAACCGAATCAATGTCAAGTCATTTCTAGATGACGACTTTCAGACGCCGATCCCCTTTGTAGTTTCCATGAACAGTCAGCCCGCGGGCTGAAACGCTGACATGACCTGCCCATCGTACGAGACTGCGCGTAGGCTGGCGGCACATCAAGCCCCAGACAACAACTCCCATCCATCTTCTTCATCTCAAAAGAGCAATAAACAGCCCTGTATCCCGACGTGCCATTCCAGGCATGTCCAGCCCAGAATCTCCCTGCTGACCCCGAATTATCACGCCACTATTTGGGTAGACGTTTAAATCAGGCTGTCCAACTGCCACCAGCGCCCCGGCTGCTTCACAAACTCGTCTCATTTGAGTCCTTTCACAGCCCGCAGCCTCGAATACACACACCATGGCAGACTATTCCTACCCGCGGCTCTTTGCCAGCTGCCAACAAATCATCACGCAGTTCTTTCAGCGGCGGCCTCTTGTCGCCAGCGCCACCCTCGGCCTCGGCCTCGCAGCCATCCCCATCATTTCCCACATTGTCCGCTCCTACCGCGGCTTCCTGGCACTCGGTCCTGGCGGGCTCCCGTACAACTTTCTGGGCTGGTCCATGCAAGCAATCGCACAGCCGCTTGCGCGACACGACACTAGAGACTCGCGGCCCTTTGCCGACCCGCGCATCTTTGGTCGCTATGCGCCCCATGGCCGCACCGCCTACCTGGAGGACGTGCCGGCCCGCCGTGGCGAGCGCCCCGAGGTGCCAACCTACGTGGCGCCCCAGAGACAAATGAACCATCATTCCGACGCGTCGCGCATAGAGGCCATGAAACGTGACTTGGCCGGGTCCGTCGCTCCACAGGCCGAGGTCCTGACGCTCGCGCCATCGCAGCTCGAGGGCCCCAAGCATCAAGCTCTTTGGCTTGGCGAAGCTGCCGAGAAGCCTGCATATCTTGCCAAATCGACAAGAGGCGAGTTTGCCCATGTCCATCCCGACGGGAGTTCACATCTTATTCTGAGCCTTGCCGATGCGGAGACGGCAACGGCCAAAGGATGGGCTGAAAGACATATGCTCAGCGGTGTTTTGTTACCCTTAAACTATGTATTCGTCTATGCCCCTCGAGATGAAGATGAACTTGAAGTTTGGCAGCAGTTTCTGGCCGCCTCGATTTCTTTCAATACTGCCTCGTCCGAAGCCGCATGCAGCCACGCATCGTAACTAAGCCGCGAGCAACACCACTCACTCAGCATGTACATATTTATCTATAAAACCCTTGGATATCTTTCATTGACCACAAATCGCTTCTCTTCGAGGAAAGGCGCCTCGTTTCGCTATACACACTTTCCAACTAACACTTCGAGCTCATTCATGAATCGAGATGCTCAATGACATTGACGGCTCATGTCCCACGTAGGAAAAGTAAAACCGGTACTGGCGAGAAGATTATTCGGCCCACCTCACTAGACAAAGTGCAAACTGAATTCTAGTCCTTCTGTTGTATAAAATTAAATAACCTTTGCTAGGCGCTTGATTGGTCACGATAGACGCCGCCATTCGCCACGACGTACTTTCGCGAGGGGGGTAGGAGCATCCCGAACGAGACCCCAATATGCAATACACTTACTTTCCGATTAAACTTCACCTGTGATGTGTCAATGGTACTTATGTTCGCGGCCTTTTTCACGCCAGAGTCGGGCTATATACTTTCCTGGCGGGCGACGCGCGAAACTTATATTTTGGCAAACTTACAAGTGATCTTCCATGCCAACCTTTTGTTCTCTAGAGAGCTAGAAGTTCAAGACTTTTTCATTATATCTCTTCTACCACTCTCTCCTTCTTACCTCTCGATTTGTAAAGAGTATTGAAGTCTTTTCGTTACTCTATACTTTTCAACTACTGTCAACCACTGTCAACCGCCAGCACCAGTCCCAGCCATGTCTTCTACCAAGAAGCCCGCCATTGGATCCCGGTACTTCCCATGGGACAACCTTCCCAAGAAAATCAAGACCACTATCATTGATCTTGTTGCCAAGGACGATTGGCCTTGTGGCGCTCTCGCTACCGTCTCGCGGGAGTTCCAAATGTTGATTGAGCCTCACACCTTTCAGAGCATTACAGTGACACCAGCACGCATCGCCGAGTTTGGCAAGATGACTGCTCGAAATCAACACCACGTGCAAAACCTGTGGCTCTCCTTGGAGTTGCAGCCGTACATTTGCGGTGACTGCCTTGAGAACGACGACGAAGCGGTGGTGCTTCTTCTTACAGCCACGCTCGCAGCCGCGCGACAAGAATGTGCCATCATTACAAATACCATCCGCTGGCTCTTTAGCCACTTACAAACCTGGTCGCTCGATCGTAGACAGGGAAAAGGACTGGTGCTCGACATCAGCGCCCACTGTACGAGTGACAGGGAGCACGCCTTCAGCTACCTCACATCCGAGCCCTACTGGAGGGCTGGCGATGCCGCCTGGATCGATCGACACGAGGCGATTCTCAGAGACAATTCTCCATGGGTCAGACAAACCGGATGCGAGATGCGTATTGTTGAGTGGCACCAGCTGCACAGCTGCTTCCGCGAAGTTTTCCCAGTACCGTTGCCCGCCAATATTAGAGAATTCTGGGACGACATGCCAAAAGTGCCCCTTATCACAACCATCATGATACGACAGCAGAATCGACGTCGTTGGAGCCCAGGCATTATAGGGAGGATACTGTCGTGCTGTCCAAACGTCCAGGAACTCATCTACGAGCCCTGGAGGGAATGGTTCCCAACCCGCCAATATCGGGCGGATGAAGGTAAGCAAGCTTTCTTGCATCGGCGCGTCTCGTGATGCGAAATCTTTCACGAGACAGAGATTAATTTTGTTGCTAACGTGCAACAGACAGCAACCTCTTGTTCGAATCGCTGCCAGCTCTTCGCAGCCTAGTCATCTTTGAGAACTTCAACGAAACCTACGCGGACGCGATGCGGCAACGTGCTCTCCGGTCCCTGCCCACGACACCCCGACGACTTGTGCGAGCCAGTCTCGGCGTCGAAGAGTTTTCCGCCTCGTTTCTGGTCGAGGCCGCGGGTTTCCTGCGCAGCAGCCTGGAGAGCGGGTGTGTCTGGCCGAACCTGACCTCGTTCGCCATGACGTCTCGGCTGCTGACCGATGATATGCCCCAGGGCGGCTCGCCGAGGATCCAGCGGCTGCTGTGGAACGCGGCCGCCGCCGCGCGCCGCATGCCCAATCTGAGGGTCATGGAGCTGTGGCACGGGCAGGAGGGCCGGGCCGTGGTGTTTCGCTACCAGCCGTCGGCGCACGACGGCGGCCCGGCCTCGGTCGTCTGCCGCGGCACCCGGGCAACCTACCTTTCGGATCGAGTCCGGCAGGCGTGGAGAGACACTGCGGTGCATGGCCGCAGTGCTGGTGTTACTTTTCGGCAAGAGCGTCTGGATGGGAAACTTGTCACGTCCCATGCGGCCGCTATTTCAATGCTGCAGCTTGTCAGTCGGGTCATTCAGCCAATCTCTCTGCAACAGACGCACCAGGAGATTGCGATGAGACAAAGGCTTCGAGTCATGGGGCTGGAAACATGATGCCTTGTCGAGGCAAGGACTCCCGATATACGAGAGGCTGGTACCTTAGCGACGGTGGGAAAGAGGTCATTTATATTGCGGGTTTTTTGGCGGAAGAATTGGATGTGAAAATGACTAGATTGCAGGCCAGGATATATAAAATTCAATGAGCGTCATCTTCAACATATCAAACTGCACCGTGAGATCTACATTACTACTCGCGTCGCCATGGTGAATAACAGCCCCCCTCTCGTCCCATTATGCTTGTGCTTTATCCGTGTCCTTATGCTCGCCTTACTTCCCGAAGCAGCTCAGCTTCTTGCCGCAGCTCGGCACCACCATGGTCCCGACCTGTGCGACAAACAGCCAGACGGCGACCCAGTCCGTGTCGGAGTGGATGTGGTTGCGCGCGACAATCAGCTCCGTCCACATGATGACGGGCCACCCAAACACGAGCATCAGGGCGGCGCCGAGGATGATGGCCGGATAGCGCAGCGCCTGGAACTGCGACGCGGTCGACATGTATCTCTGGTCATCGAGGATATCGAGCAGGTCATCCTCGTCTTTGAGCGCGACGTAGATGGCGACGCCGATGGCGACAACGATGCACGTAAAGGCCATGAGGGAGTCGCCAATCATCCACACCATGATGAACTTGTGCCAGCCGGGGCTCAGCGTGCGCCAGCCAAAGAAGAAGAACTGGTAGACGCCGAAGCCCTCGGGCTGGCTCGTCGCCCACGACACCCAGGCGGAGACGGTGTTGAGGACCATGACGCCGGCGGTGCCGAGGCCGAGCAGGACGCCCATGAAGATGTTGCCCGAGGTGATGCCGCCGAGGTAGCTAAAGGCGTAGATGAAGTTGAAGTGCACCGGCAGCAGCGACAACGCGTGCAGCTCGCGCGCCTGGCACGCCTGGTACCACTGGATCTGCGTGTACCAGTTGTACGCGAGGAAGCCAATGTTGGAGGGGCAGTTGTTGGCGACGCCGCCGATGAACTGCGCCGGCGCGAGCATAAAGGACGTGTAGAGTAGCCAGCGATTGGTGAGGCTGAAGCCGTTAACAATGTGAATGGCGTCGGCCATTTTCTGTTCGTTTTTGTGTTTTCTTCTTCTCTCTCTTTCTTCCTGTGTGTTTATGGATTTGCTAGCTGTGGTTGTCAAGACGGAGCCAAGTTGAGAGTTGAATACAGTCAGTAATAAGGTCGCGAATTCTTCCTCGTTTTGGAAGAAATCAAGCCGACAGAATCAAAAATCTCGTCGGTGAATCAGGGCAGACGCTTCTATCTCTTTGTCTCTTTGCGCATGGGGCTCAGCTACGCCTACCTAACAAGGCGGTTTCAGCCCACCCAGCTCCCCCCGACTATTCTCCCAGTAGTTATCAGTTCAGAACTGGAAAATAAAGATAAATAAAACCCAATAATTCCGCCATCTGCGGGCGCCTCTTTCAGCCACAAGAGGCGCGAGGCTAAACACCACATGGTACGGGCCTTGCCGTGCCTCTGGTGCTTTTGGTCTTTTGGTTTCATCCCCCCCCCGTCTGGCGGGCAGTGGGATGTGGGCGCAGCCGGGTCTGGACCTTTCAGCTCGGGCAGGGCTGGATCGCGCATGACACCGCCTCGCAGGTTGTGGCGTCAAGTATCCATGCTCGGCTGTTTTTGGGGGTTTTAGTTCTAGCCCTCCAGATTAGCTCCTTTTCGCCCTTTTGCCTTTTTGCCTTTTGTGGCTTCAGTTTCCTTCTCGCTTCGTCACAAATGTTGGACACGAGCGGGGATGGGGGCTTCAGCTCGAGGGTCAGGGGGTCTCTGACGCTTCTGGCGCATAGAGCGGCCTGATTGGCCACTTTCCGACGGGATGAGGGCTTGCGTCGCAATCTATTGCCTCGAGTCTTTTATTGATTCATATGCGGCATCGCGAGACAACTGCCGACGCCAAGCAAAACGGATCGTGGCTTGCTGATATCCGAAGGCTGTCTCTGGCACATCCTTTGTCGAGACTTGGCATGCGTAAGTTAGTAACTAATAACTCCGCAACGTTTTTAGAACAGGAGCAGAGAAAACTGCATGCATTGCTATGTGTGTGTGCAAAATATAAAAAAGAAAATTAGAACATGTAGATATTTGTACATCAAACGAGGTGGGTGCTCATATTTGAGATTTCGACCTTGGTGGTTTCAAACAGTCTCAGAGAGTTCGCTCCAGTCATGCACAATGTGACTTTCTCCCACCGTCTCCTTGAGCATGCTAACGAGTTCGTCCGCAGCATGAAGGAACGTAAGGTAAGCGGACAACGCAACGCAGTAGGCGCGGAAATCCTCGCTCTCCATGTACTCGCGGCGCAGCTCCACGAAACCGTGCTTGGCGCAGTAGTCGCCGTAGCATGTCGCAAGGAGCGGCGTGGGCAGACGTTCTGGGAGCGGCCCGCCGCTGCGCAGCGACTGCTTGGCAAGCACAAGAACCGACATGATGTTGCTGATGCACGCATCGTCGGCAATGCCAGACGTCTTGATCAGGCGCTTCTGGTACTCGATGGGAAGCGTGGTGCCGGCCAGCATCACCTTGGTAAGGGACTGATTCATCAGGATCAGGAGCTCCTGCGCTCGGCGGAGGCTCGTCTTGTCAAATGGCGACATGGTCGTCTCAAACTTGAGCATGGCAATCGGGTCATTGAGCGCAGAGAGCGACTGTCCGACAGCAAGGCCCGTCGAGGTAATCACATTTCTCACGCCGCTGTAATCACCACCGATGGCTGATCCGCTGCCCCAGTGAGAGATGAGCAACGCATAGTGGTCGCTAATTGTGTGCAGGCTGTTGGCGAGCGTCTTTGCGACGTGGTGCGTCCCCGAAGGAGGCTTGGGCAGCATCTGCACGATCAACGCAGCCGCAAAGCCAATGAGAACGGTCACCAGCCGTCTCCAAAACGTCTGATAACCAAGGCCAGGCAAGCCATAAGTACTTAGGTGGTGCATATCCCAGCTGTACCCGATGATCATGGCAAAGGTGGACGCGCCCAGACCTGTACCTTGCAGATACGCCTGCGGGAGCCAAAGCCTAGCCCAGATGAAGAGGATGATACCAAACGGCAAGGCCGCAGCTAGGCCATACGGGTTACCTATGCCAGTACCTGCAGAGATATACCAGATAACGAGGCCCAAAAGCCCACCAAAAACAGTTCCGACAGCGCGAGTCATGATGGAAAACGTAAAGTCTGACATGTACATGAGGATGCAGGTTTGCGCCGTGACGAGAGTCCATATTCCCTTTTCTCGGTAGTAGAAGCCGGCCGTGTGGGGAATGACAGCTGGAATACCGGTAGCAATGGTTACGGCAACAACGCGCAGGGCATAGAGACTGCCGGGTGCAGTCAGCCAGCTCGAGATTGCCGCAATGGTCCTGGCTATCGGGTTTCCGCGCTTCTTGGGAATACCGTGTCCCTTGGACACGACTTTGATTCGTCTCTCTGTTTCCCTGGCCTGCGTCTGGATTCTGTCTGGGTCAATGACGGCCTGGCCAGACAAGGCGGGGGCGTCGGTGCCCTGGTCGGTGCTGCGTGCGAGACGTCGCCTCAAGGGACCCCAGAATTGATTCGTGGTTCGTGTCTCGAGTAGCTGAGCTACTTCTGCCGTCAGTTTTTCGTAGGCGGCTGCCGTGGCGATGATGTGTTCTTCGATAACAAAGGCAATGACGAGGCCAGCGACTTTGTTTGCTTCGTCCTTCATTTCCGTCTTGAAAAGACCGTCTTCGTCAAACAAGTTGCCGTGTATGTCGATGGCGGCCTTGGTCGTATCAGCAATGCAAGCCTCGCGGGCCTGGGTGAGTCTAGTGCCGATTTGTCTGACCGCAATGGCCGCTTGAGGGAGTCTGGTACGAGCAGATTTGGACATGAACCAACGATTCATGTTGACGAGGCTCAACGCTTCCACGAGATGACTGATGGCATCTGCGGTAGCATCCAAGACAGCCTCGGAGCTCGTGTGCAAGGCGGCACGCATGTCGTCGGAGCCGACCACAGTTCCGGGGGCGATGAGGGCGTTGATTAGTTCGGGGTTTTGGAGTATCTTGGCGTGACGAGGGTCGCGGGGCCTGGCTTCCTTGTCGTCGGACGAGGCGGTCTGGGGCGGGTTGATGATATCGCGGAGCTTGTCAATTTTGTCCTGGCTGGTGACACGGGCGACTTGAAAGTCGAGCAAGGCAAATGTAGCGGCCAAGACATCCTGAAACTTTGTGTAGACGGCCTTGACATCGTCGGCGCTCCACTGGCCGCGGGACACGTCGAGGGGGAGAAAGGCCATGTTGGGCTGGAGCTGGGCGTAGAGGGTAATGGCGCGTCGCTTGGTCCTCTTGAGGAGGTTGGCGTCAAAGTCGAGCGAGCCGGCCACAAACTGTCGGCCGGTCTGGATGGGGTGGTTGAGCATAGTGAGCAGGTCCTCAATCTGGCCGACGGCGACCTGGCTGGTGGACTGGGGGGAGACGAAGACGGCGCAGGCGATACCAATGGCGCAGCCACAGGCGGCAGGCAGCACCACAACCTCGGGCAGGCGAGGGGTCCAGCGCGTGAGGGTCGGGCCGATGACGAGGAAGATGTCGATGGCGATGAGGCCAAAGAGCTGGGTGAGGACGGTCAGGTTAAAGCTGTAGCGCAGGCGACTGACAAAGTAGACAAAGAGGCAGCCCATGACAAAGTAGACGACGGTGACGCGGGTGTCGAGCATGAAGCCGTCGTGGACGAGGATGGTGGCGATGGCGGCCGTGTCGTTGTTGCCCGTGGCCTGGGCCGTGGCGCCGACCTGCTGCTGCAGGGCCTGCAGGCGG